AATTTTACCCTTGGCAATGGGCTGTACACCCCATTCAATAAGTGGTGCTTTGAGGATTGTTTGTTATTTTACATAGAGGGCCATCGTATAAATGTACTATAATTTACATAGCCAATCCTCTGTTAGTAGGTATCTCTCCCAACCCTACTCCCAATTCTCACTGTATGAAACTGTGCTTCCATGAGCAGTACCGTGCCTGCATCTATTTGCCTGTGTCGGCAGTTTGATTGAAGTCATCTTGTCACTGGAAACTTACTCAACCACCAGTCAAAGAATGCCTGGGACCAGAGAGCCAAAAGAAACAAGGAGAAATTCTTTCCTACAGGCTTCAAGGGGATCATGGCTGTGCTGACACCTTGATCTTACACTTCTAGCCTCCAGAACTGTGAGAAAATAAATTTCTGTTGCTTAAGCCACCCAGTGTGTGGCAGCCCTAGCAAAATAATACAGTAATTTAATGGGAAAAAGACAATCTTTCCAACAAATGGTTCTGGAGAAACTGGATATCAAAGGTGGGGGGAGGGGAAATGAGCCTTGATCCTTATCTCCCATCATAAGAAGAAAACTAAAAGTTAATCTTTTGTGACTTTAGATTAGGCAAAAGTTTCTTGGAGAAGACAAAAATAGAAAATATTGGGAAATGGTACTTCATCAAAATTTTAAATTTTGGCTCTTTGAAAGGCATTCTTAAGAAAATAAAAAGACAGACCACAGATTGGAGAAAAAGATTGCAAAATATACTCTGGCAAAAGATTGGTATTCAGACAAATAATCAGTTCATTTTTTAAAATGGGAAAAAGATTTGAAATAACACTTCACCAAAGAAGATAAATAGAAGAAAACAAGAACATGAAAGCATGAACAACAGCACTGGTCATTAGGGAAAAACAAATGGAAGCTACAAAGAGATATCACTACACACCTACCAGAATGACTAAAATTCTTTAATTGACAATACCAAGTATTGGGGAATGTGAACTAAAACTCTTCCCATTGATCTCAGTAGTGCAAAATGATGCAGCTGCTTTTCAAAGAATTTGGAGAGTTAAAGTTAAACATATACCTATAACTCAATTCAATGTATCTATAATTTAATGTATTTAAAATTCAATGTAAATATAGTCTAGCTACTTAACTTGAAAGAAATGGTAACATGTACATAGGAACCCATATATGAATACTCATAGTAGTTTTATTCATAATAGGCAAAAAACTGGAAACAATCCAAATATCCACCAAAAGGTCAATGAATAAGCAAGTCCTTATGTATAAATACAATGGAATACGCTGAGCAATAAAAGAGAGCAACTGTTGATAGACACAACATGGTTGAATCTCAAAAGTATTGTAAGTAAAACAAGTCAGACACAAAAGGCAATCTTCTGTCTGAGGCCATTTATATGGAAGTCTGGAAAAGTTAAAACCATAGCGATAAAAAACAGATCAGTAGTTCCAGAGACCAGAACACAAGGAAGGAGGTTAACTTCAAAGAGGCATAAAGGAATTTTTTAGAAAACTGAAAATGTTCTATATCTTAACTGTAGGGATGGTTACAAGACTGAATACATTTGTCAAAACTCATCACACTATACATTTTAAACTGGTACATTTTATTATATGTAAACTATACTTCAGTAGAGGTGTGTGTGTGTGTGTGTGTGTGTGTGTGTGTGTGTGTTTAATTAAAAGCATTCTCTTTCAATGCTAACAAAAGCCAACCTGAAATAATTGGCCAAAAACTTTTATAGCTTGTGAGTCACCCCGGTAGAGACACAACAAGGGGAGAATTACAGTGAAACCATCACGCATTGATTCAGTTGAATCTCTCACGAAGATCAGGAATTTTCCTTTCTGAGTCATTTTACTTGGTAACTTCCACTGCCTTCGTCCATCAATAGTACTGAACCAGGGGCTTATTACAGGAAATCACTACTTGGTTTTCATAATTCAAACTCTATTTTTAACAAATCCTGGTTATGTCTTCTACAGTGAGAGATATACCTGTCAAGAGCACCAGCTAATCCTGTTTACTGGTCATTGTTTTCTCTCTACATAGGTCGAGTTACATCCAGAAGTTACATGTTGAGTGTGGAGTTAGAGAAAGGCGAGTTGATTAGCTGAGCAATCTTTCACAAAATAAAATAAGTCAGAAAGGAAGGGGATACCATGAAAAATAAAAACTCCTGTGCCCAACCTTCTCGACCCACTAGCACTATGATGAAGTAACCAACACTAAGGTTTTATTGAGTAAATGTTTCAGAACACTTTCTGGACATATTCAAGCATATGTATGTAATAATTTGAACCACATGGAATTGCTATTATTATAGGTTAGAGATTGCTGAATATCAACAATTTCTTATAGTTCAGCCAATATATCCTACTGTTAATGTGCATGCTCTCATACTCAATATAGTGTTCTATAATTCTCTCTTGATAATGTAAAGTGGCCATTTTTCCAGATCAACACATACATAACTTTCTAAATGTCTGGACAGTTTGTCATTGCATGGTCGAACCACACTTCATTTAATCAGTTCCCTTGTGGTGGATATTGAACTTGTTTCCTGTCTTTTGCTCTCTTGGTTAATATAGTTGAATGATGAAAATGGTTATTATCGTCAAACATGAAAGCGCTATGCTTCCATCTCCAGTTTAGGGGTGTGCCCACCCGAAGAACAGACACTTGGGTTTGTGGATTGAATTTCTGTGTCTCTCCCTCTTGTTAAAATGTTTAAATACCCACACAACAACAATGAAAACTATGTGAAATTCAGTCAACTATATTATTAAATTTGGATACAGACCCAAGTTCATCTTTAATGTTAAAGATGCCAACTAAGTTAAAATCTTTGAATGCCCTTCCATTTGAAAACCCCTCCCCCAGTTATTATTATTATTGTCACTGTTTAAAGTTTTGCTTTTATCACTTCTCACATTACTCTCTTATTCAAAAAGTTTTGCCTGCAGAATAAATGAAAACTTGACATTCAAGGCCCTCAGCCCCCAGCTCCAATGTACCTTTCCAGCCTTGTGTCCCCTCTGCCACACGTGGTCTATGCTGCCACATCTCACTCCCCCACCTTTCCTTTTACTGAAGCTGAACCCTCTGCTTGGGATGTCCTTCCCCCTCAGCTCCTCAGTGGGGATTCTGCCCACCTACACAGTTCGCCTGTACCGCCATTTCTCAGTTCTCCTTCGCCCCTCCAAAGTCAGTGCGATGTTGTAAGGAAAAATGTGCCTTCAAGTTTGTCATACCTGCATTGGAATCCCCAGCTTCTCCACTTTCTAGCTATGGAAACTGGGGCAAGTTACTGGGTTTCTCCTAGCCTCAGTTTTTCTCATCTGAAAAATGGAATATAATCATTTGGTTATGCCTAGGACATTTGGGAGGACGTGTAGGTCCGTAGCTAGAAGGAAAATGTGTTCACATGTGTAGAGCATGTTTAAAGCATTTATGCTTCTCATTGAGTCATTCTGAGTTATAGCTTGAGAAGGCTAGAACTCATCCAGTCTTTATGAAGTCCACTCAGATAGGCTCCCAGGGGCTTTAGCATTCCTCATTACTTCTACATGTTCCTCGGTCATTTTCCTGTTTCTTTGTCCTCACCTGGGACCCCTGCTCCATCTGAGAGAACGTGTACATCGCCAGAGTGGGGAGACATCTCAGAAAACACAAACCCTTTTGTAGATTTATAGCATTAGTATATATTTTTTAAATCTCTGTATAATCAGCCAAAGGAAGTGAAAGGTGAGAAAGAGGGAAAACACTGTATTCTCCCACAGGTATTATCAAGCTTATGTTGAAGTGTTGAAAATAATATTTTAAAGTGCCCGGGATATTAAAAAGCAAACTATAACTGAGCCATGAAAAAAATTCATCACAGATTCTTCTCTTCTTGTGCATGCAGAGAAGCCTGTCTGGTCAGAGAGCTCCCCAGCTCAAGTCATGGAAGAGGAGGAGAAAGGAAGGACTGGGAAGGTCTAATTAACATTTAAAAGCAAAGTGGGTTTCTCAGGAGAATGAATGCTTACTAGGGAGTAGAACCACTAACAGCTGCATTTGAGAGAGCTTGGGAAAATATTGAAAGAGAAAATGGGAGTTGGGAGCATCTGTTGTGCAATGCAACATGAGAAAGGGAGGGAGGGAGACAAACCAGGAAAGACTATTTTAAGAATTTTTCTTGTATGTAATGAGTATGAGCCCATTTTGCCATTTTCCAAGAGTCCAGAAAATGTCCATATTAATTTTCAGTTACTTTCTAATGACACTGTGCTGAGATGGGCACAGAAGGCCCAGTTTTACCAAAGTCTGTAAATACCCAGGAGCCCCTATCCCCTCCCTTGCAGTGTCAGTTCTGTACTGACAATGTTATGATCGGCCACGCAGTAAAGTCGGCCCTGTGGAGCCGCATCTTCCCTACCAGGTTATATATAAACCGCTTGAAGGCAGGGACTGTATCTTACTGATCCTTGTGCCCTGCCCGGGATCCAGCTTCCGATCACCTAGTTAGAGAATTGCACAAAGTTCAAAATTAGTGTGAAATGAATATGTGGGTGATGGATTAATGGGACTGAACGTAAAGGACGATTTCGTTAGCAACATCTGCTGCACGGCTGTCTTTTCCCTCACCAGCTGATGGACTCCGAGAAGGACCACGTCTGTCCTCACCACTTTATTCCCAGCACTTGCGTTTTGCTAAAGCACACAGTGGGCCTTGGAATAATTTTTGAATCTCCAAGAATGCGTATTTCAAAGCATCTGAAATGCAAGAGAGCTAAACGGAGGTGAGCTGCCGTGATGAAGGCAGCTGTTCAGAAGTGCAGCGCCCACCTGACCCCGGTGGGTGGTAAAGAACTGGAGTCGCCCACACGACTCCTGGAAACCGCGGGTGATCGCCAGCGCCGGCCTCTCCTCCGCGGCGATAGGTGGCGCTGCGCCCAGACGCAGCCGCGGGGTCCGCGCGGCGCCGCTCTCTGGGCGGGGTGGAGGAATCGACGGAAGGACCTGTGTTGACCCGCTTCACCGCTCTGCTGGCCTGGCGTCCCTCGGAGTCTGACGGTTTGCGCAGTCCAGCATCATGGGGAAGAGGGACAACCGGGTGGTGAGTACTTGCGGGGAGAAAACAATGGGCCGACGCGGGGCCCGCGGCAGAAGAGCGAGACCCCTGTCTCTTCCCAGTCCGGCCCGAGGGTCGGTTGTGGGCTTGAGGGACCTGGGGCCTCAAGCCCCAGCTGTCCCCGCAGCCCCCACGCCTGCTCCAGACGCGCGTGCGCCGCGCGCGCTGTTGGCGCCTTTGGATGGGCCCCACACTCTCCGCTCGTTCTTGTCCCCCTCTTTCTTCGACTACCCCCAACCTCGCCGCACCTTTTGGGAGCCCCCAGCCTCTCTTCCTTGCCGTACTGGGGTTAGCAGTGCCTTTTACTTTTTTTCTTTTTAATTTAAAGAACTGCAAAAATTCAGGGAGACCTGTCTTCTTCAGTATGAGGCCCGTGGAGGCGCCGGGACTCGCCCCCTCCTGGAGTCTCCCACTCCACCTCCACGCCCCTCTCGTGCGCAACGGGGTCGGGTGGAGGAGGCGTCCAAGCGGTCCCTGCTCCCGGGGGCCTGCAGCGCCCACAGACCTAGCGCATACGTACTCCCTTTCGAGAACCAGGATGGAAGCATTTGGCCTGTTGTCTGCAGTGCCCAGCACTGCCTGGCAGTTACAAGGCCCCGTGAAGGAATGAATGGCGTGAAAATAGTTGGCTTTGGAGTCAACTCGGAGCATTGACTCTTTGGAATGTCAGTTTTGGTTCCTCGGGAGTTGCGTGACTTAGGACAAGTTACTTTTACCCGAGCCTCAGTTTCTTCTGTAAAAGATCCGTGTTATCCTCAACCTAGTTGAGGCCACATAAAGATGTCCAGGCCATTGCTTGCCATGAAAGTTGTTACTATTCTAATAAATGAGATGAAGGCGATGCATAATCGAGTAAGAAATGGTACCTAATAGAGATTTGAAGTTCCGAGGGCGTTCGAAAAAGAAGGGACTTTTGACAAATGGAGGTGAGAAGGTATTCTAGATGGCTACTCGGTTCGTTGGTTGGTTTGGAAAACCCAGGTTATGCATCAGATTGGATGTGCGGTAAACTTAAACTTAGGTGGCAGCCCCACAGTTCCTGAGCTTGCCTGTCAGTTTTGACCACTGAGCAGCACAATGAAAAATAGTGCAATTGGACTAGCTTTTTCTTAACTATTATTTCCTTTGTGCATTTTTGGGGGTGGGGGTGCTAAATGATCTTTGCTTTTATGAAATAATGACGTTTACCATCTTCAAAACATGTTTTAATTTTGCGTAGTCTTCATAAATCAAAGCTGTCTAGGAACCACTGTAGTGAACATTGATTATAAGGTTAAGGAATATTCTTTTCTCCTGCTTCCCTGGCTATGGGTCCGAGCTTTTGTTGTGGTATCCTGATTTTGACAGAGTTGAAAGAGTATTCTGTTGGGACATTCTTAGGCTTGAAATGTTCTGAGTGTTTTGGCTCTTTAACGTGATTGGGCCTTAAATGTTTAGGAATTACCAGGCCTTGGGTGCAGTTTCATACAGAAGCCTAAGATGTTTTGTTTTATTGGGGAAAAATATTGATCCCCTTGAAGCATTTGAAAAACTTTTCAAACTAACTTCATGTACCCCAGAGCATTTTGGTACTCAGGGCTCTACTTATTATTCGGTATGATGTCTTGGCACAGTGTTCTGGTGACGTTTTGTCTGCACTAAAAAGGTTGTGGAAATGAAAACATGAAATTAAGAGGTAGAAGAGGCAGATCGTCAAATGCATTTCCCTGTTGTATGGGGGAGGAGATGGAACTGTTAAAACTGGGGCCCAGATTTGGGTTATCTGCACTTAGTTCAGTACCTCATAATTCTTAATTGTAAAAAACAAAATGCAACTATTAGCATTTTGTTCTTACATTGATAAAATTATAGTGTTAAAGATGACAGAATTATTTTTTAAAAACCATTAAGTTTCAGAAATTAAGTTTTAATTTTTAAGTTTTAACATTAATTTTTAACATTAAGTTTTTTTCTTTTAAATAGACTATTTTAGAACACTTTTAAGTTCATAGTCAGACTGAGCAAAAAGTAGAGTTCCCATGTGCTCCCTGACCCCACACCTACACAACCTCCCCATTATTAGCATCCTACTGCAGAGCAGGACATCTGTTGCAGTTGGTGGACCCCCACTGACATACCCTTTTCACCCAAAGTCAGTGGTTTCATTGGGATTCACTTTGGTATTGAGCATTCTTGAACAGGTTTGTTTGTTTTTAATTTGACCTTTTAAATCTCAAGATTTGTCAAGGGCCCTTAAGTTCAAGATGGTTACTTTTTGTGCCCATTGTTTTCCCAGCTTCCTTCATGTTTTGTTCTGTTACTTTGTGCTCTCTAAATAGATGTAAACTAAAGTCTAGATAAAAATAAGTAATCAAAGGAACAAATGAAGCTCTGCACATTTTGTCCTTAGCAATTTTACTGCTTTGTTCTTTCCACCCTGCCCACTTACAATCCTTTGAGACCAGTGTGCTACCCTGAGTTTCAAAAACAGATTGTTTTCTGTTACGCAAACTCATGCAGCAGTTTGAGCCACAGACAGTTCTAGTTATATATGAATAGGAGCATTTGACAATATTTGAAGTGACTAAGTGATAGATGGTTTCAAGAAATTGCAGTTTCTTTAACTGATGCCTAACCACTCCCTTAATGTATTGCTTTTCAACCTGACGCTAATAAGTGAAAAAGCTTTACCTTTGTAAGATACTTTTTTTTAACCTTTCTGTTGTGTATAGTAAAAGCATTGTTGCTTAACAGTTACGAAGATGAACTATCAGGTGTTGTGCAAGGAGTCTGGCACTTTAGATGCACTGATAAATAATATAAATAATGGAGATATTTGGAGTATACTTAAACATATACTGAGGGTAGTGTTTATGCTCAGAAGCTTGAAAGTTAAGTTTATTGAGTACTCAATGATAATCTGATGTAATTTATCTGTAAATTGTTTATAAGTAATAGTCCTTGCATATAAATACACTATGCTACTGTTTTATTTTCATCTGAAAAATAAACAGCAAAGTTGGTATGTATTTTGGGAAACCAGTTTCACAGTAGGTATTACAACATAAAAATGCTCATGTACTTTTAAGGTAATTGAAGACTAAAACATGGTAAATATTGTGTTACCATTTCGTTAATTTTAGAATAACCAATTACCATTGCACAATTTGTGACTTTTTGCTTGAAGACAATTTAGCTTTCTGAATTGCAGTAGCAGTGTTGTGATTGAATTTTTCACATTTGTTTGTGTTAATATTATGGTGATGTTTGTGTGCAGATTGTTTAGTTTTATTTTTCTTTTGTAAAGGTAACGAGTTATTTTTTTAAAAAATCTCCAGTGTATGAACTGATAAAAAGTGGAAAGTGGGCATATCCCTTTACATTCTGGTGTATGTGTGTGTAGGTTTTTAAAATTTGATAGATGAAAAGGAGTACAGACTTCCAGCCAAGATGGAGGCATAGGTAGACACACTGTGCCTCCTCACACGGCCAAAAGAAGGACAACAACCAATTTAAAATAAAAACGGGGGACTGGGATCCTCAGGTTTGGGATGGCAGCTTGGAGAGAAGGCCCCGGCTAACCCACCTCTGCGGAGATCGCTGGCAAACCCTCTCCAGGAGCCCCAGGCCTGGCTGGACCCACAAATGGGTGAGATAATAACTTTTGGGTACCTGGATGGAGGCAATACAGAGATTCTGTATTATTCTTTAAGCCCTAAGTCTGGAAACGTCAAAATAAAAGTTAAAGAGAAAGAAATAGTAAACAGACTCACAAAAATATAAAAAATAAAAGTGAAAAAAAAACCCAAAACTGACAGAAAATCAAACAATATGGAAGTCTGACAACCAAAGAGTTAAAGAAGAAACATTCGCCAGACTGGTAGGAGTGGCGGAGATGACTCGGGGCAAGGCAGCAGCTGGAGGACTGGGGCGGGCAAGGCGGTGGCTGGTGGAGCGTGTGGTCCCTCATTCACCTGCAGATAAACTGGGAGGAACAACTGGGGAGCAGTCTGTCACACAGAACACACAACCCAGGGATCCAGCACCGGGAAATAAAGCCTCTGACTGAAAACACCTGTGGGGAGTGAGACAGCAGGAGAAATGCCAGCCTCACAGGAGAGTTTGTTGGAGAGACGAACTCTGTGGAGAGACCACAGGGTCCTAGAACATACACAAGCCCACTCACATGGGAATCAGCACCACAAGGGCCCAGTTTGATTGTGGGTGGCCAGGAAAGTGACTGAAAACGGGCAGAGAGCAGAGCAAGCGCCATTGTTCCCTCTCTGCCCCTCCCCCACATACAGTGTCACAAACCAGCAGCATGGGTTACCCCACCCTGGTGAACACCTAAGGCTCCACCCTTCACTATGTAACAGGTGCGCCAAGATGAAAGAAAAGGCCCAAATGAAAGAACAGATCAAAGCTCCACAAAAATACACCTAAGTGACGAAGAGATAGCCAACTTGCCAGATGCATAGTTCAAAACCCTGGTTATTGGGATGCTCCAGGAACTCACTGGATACTTCAACAGCATAAAAAAGACCCAGGCAGCCAATGAAGGTCACATTATGCAAAATAAAGAAAAATCTACAGGGAACCAACAGTGGCAAGAAGGAAACCAGGACTCAAATCAACAGTTTAGAGCAGAAGGAAGAGAGAAATATTCAACCAGAACAGAATGAAAAAACTAAAATTCAAAAAAATGAGCAGAGGCTTAGGAACCTCTGGGACATCTTTAAACATTCCAACATCCGAATTATAGGGGTGCCAGAAGGAGAAGAGGAAGACCAAGAATTTGAAAACTTATTTGAACAAATAATGAAGGAAAACTTCCCCATTCTGGCAAAGGAAATTTCAGGAGTCCAGGAAACTCAGTCCCAAAGATTGGGACCTAAGGAGGAACACACCAAGGCACATCATAATTACATTAGCCAAGATTAAAGATAAGGAGAGAATCTTAAAAGCAGTAAGAGAAAAGGAGACAGTTACCTACAAAGGAATTCCCATAAGACTATCCATCTGATTTTTCAAAGAAACCTAGCAGGCAAGAAGGGGCTGGAAAGAAGTATTCCAAGTAATGAAAGGCAAGGACCTCCATCAAGATTCTCTATCCAGCAAAGCCATCATTTAGAATGGAAGGGCAGATAAATTGCTTCTCAGATAGGGTCAGGTTAAATAGGAGTTTGTCATCACCCAGCCTTTATTATATGAAATGTTAAAGGGACTTATTTAAGAAAAAGAAGATCAAGAATATGAACAGTAAAATGACAACAAACTCTCAGCTATTAACAACCAAATCTTAAAAAAAAAAAAACCCAAAACTAAGTAAACAACTACAACAGGAACAGAACCACAGAAATGGAGATCACATGAAGGGTTAGCGAGAGGGGAAAAAGGTACAGAGAATAAGTAGCATAGATGGTAGGTAGAAAATAGATAGAGGGAGGGTAAGAACAGTATAGGACACGTAGAAGCCAAAGAATTTATATGTACGACCCATGGACATGAACTAAAGCAGGAGAATGTGGGTAGGAGGGGGTGTACAGGGTAGAGGGGAATAAAGGGGGGGGGAATGGGACACTATGGTAGCATAATCAATAAAATACATCTTTTAAAAAACTAGAAAGGCAAAACATTTTGATAGCTACTCTTTTTCAGACTATAAGACACACATACCCCCAATTTGGGGGGAATAATGGTTGTTAACGCTGCTGTTCTGTTTACATTTACATTGGTGAAATACTATGTTTTTATGTTATTAAATATTTTACCGCATTTTTTGCTTCAAAAAATTTTTTTTCCTATTTTCCTCCTCTAAAACCTAGGTGCATCTTATGGTCCAAAAAATACAGGTGTTTATCAATGTGGTATCTTATTTTTAGGCAGCTTGCTTTTTTTTTTGCTTTTCATTTGAGAACTGTTAGATATCTTTCCATATCAGTTACTATAGATCTATCTCTTTCTTTTTAATAGCTACATTATATTTTATTTTGGGGTATACTTTAATATACTTAATGAATCTCATTTTGGTAGCTAGTTTGGTATTTTCATTTTTCCCTATTTTAGTAACTTAATTTCGAACATCCCTGTATATATGTTTGCATTTTTTGGAACTGAACAGTTTTTACAATTTTAAACTCAAAATAACTTACCATTGGGTACTGCTAAAATTATGACATGGCACTCCTGTTTTAAAATGATGATCTTAGCTTGCACCTTGTACTTGCTTCCAGTTAGGGTTGTCGTTACCATTAGCAGAGCCATCACTTCCTCAGGCACTGAGGCCTGTTGGTTGTCATATTTCCACACAAGCTGAAATTCTCAGCAAAGGCAGTTGAATGAAACATTTGAGGGCATAACAGTTGGTATAAAAACATTATGCCGTTGTCTTTAATGTTATATTTGATAATCCACACTTAGCCCTTACTCTGTAACATCTCTGACAATAGGAGTGTTCATTTCTGCCTATAAGGACGTCATGTTGAAGGCTTAACTTTTTCATCCAAGTAATCAGGCAGTGTCCAATTGACTGGAATCCAGTTGACTGGAAATAGTTCTTAGTGCGTTGTTTATAGTGGTTTTATGTAGTTTACTCTGTCAGAGCAACCTACAAATATTTAACTAATATTTGTTATGAGGGTGGAAAATGCTAGTCATTTTTATCAATTTTGTTAAGTAAATGCAACAAATTTAGCTTCTAGCTTCTTTTGGGATGTTAAGTATTAGGCTTAAGGCCTTAAAATCAACCTTGAATATAGTCATTTTCAACCAAAATTCTTTATTTAAAAATAGAAGAGTTTTGTTGACTTTAATTTAAAAAGCTGAATATAAGAACCAAGAGGTTGAGACTGAATTAATAACAGATTTTATATCTGGAACAAAATCAATTTTAATAGAATATCTCTTTGCTAAACAGTGTAATTAGCAAACTTGCCTTATTTTGTGTCAATATGTCTTTGAAAAATATATCTAAAAATGTGTTCTGCAATAGTGAGTGCAGTATACAGAGCATAATTTAATTTTTTGTAGACTTTTTATTGAGCTAAAATACAAATAAAATAAAGTCACTGTTTTCAACTTTTTAGGTGTATAGTTCAACAGCATTAAGTACTTTCACAGTGTTGTGTACCTATCACCAATATCCATTTCCAGAATTTTTTTTAGTCCTCACCCAAGGATATGTGTATTGATTTTAGAGAGAGAAAAACATTGATCTGTCGCCTCCTGTGTGCGCCGCAACTGGGGATCAAACCCTCAAGCTAGGCGTGTGCCTTGACTGGGAATCTGACCACATCCTTTTAGTGGGCAGGGGTGACACTCCAACCAACTGAGCCACCCGCCAGGGCCATTTTCAGAACTGTTCCATCATCCCAAACAAGAAGCTTTGTACCTTTTAAACAATAGCTCCTAATTACCTCACTGCCCCAATTCCTGGTAATGTCTATTTACTTTTTGTCTCTTTGACTTTTACTATTCTAGGTATTTCATATGAGTGGAATCATGTAATACTTGTCCTTTCGTGTCTGCCTCATTTCACTTAGCATGTTGTTAAGGTTTATCTATGCTGTAGCGTGTAGCAGTTACACTCCTATCTAAGGCTGGATAATATTCCGTTGTATGTACTCATATATACCACATCTTATTTATCCATTCCTCTGTAGATGGACACTTGAGTTATTTCTACCTTTTGTGAACAATACTGCCATGCACATGGTTTACAAGTATGTTTGTGCCCCTGCTTTCAGTTGTTTTTCAGTTCCATTTAGAGGTGAAATTTCTGGGTCATGTGGTAATTCTGTGTTTAATTTCTGAGGAACCACCAAACTTTTCCACAACAGCTGTACCATTTTATATTCCCAGCAGCAGTTTGAAAGGGTTCCATTTTTTCTATATCCTTGACAACACTTGTTATTTTATGCGCTTCTGATAATAGCCATCCTAATGGGTGTGAAGTGACATACTGTAATTTTGATTTACATTTCCCTAATGACTAGTGATATTGAACATCTTTTCATGTGTTTATTGGACACTTGTGTATCATCTTTGGAGAAATGTCTGTTCAAGTCTTTTGTGTGTTTTTCAATTGAGTTGTTTGGGTTTTTTGTTATTAAGTTGTAAGATTTCTTTATTCATTTGGGATATCAATCCCTTATCAGTTATCTGTAAATATTGTAAATATTTTCTCCCATTCTGTGACTAGTGTTTTCACTTCAGTGCACATTGATGTGTACATCAATTTTGAAGACATCCTATTTTTTTTCATTTGCTTTCTGTGCATAATGTAATTTTGATGTTAATAATTAGTGAGTAAAATTGTATTTTGTGTGGCACAATACTTCCTGAGATAGAATAGGTAGTAGAATAAGCAATGAATTTGAAGTTAGATCTGCTTTACCTTCTTTGGAACTGAGTTTCATTTGCTGGAGAGCAGTGTCATCACGCTCACAAGGTTATTGGGATTTGGTTGGCAACATAAGCCCTCTTGTAGTAAGAAGAAAGTGTCATTATGATTTTCATCAAATCTCTGGTAAAAAAAGCACATATTTCGTGAAAGCGTGATATTACTCATCTCTCAAACTTGTGAGGCTTAATAATGAACCCTGGCTGGTGTGGCTCAGTGACTTGAGTGCTGGCCTGCAAACCAAAGGGTAGGAGGTATGATTCCCCGTTAGGGCACATGGCTGGGTTGTGAACTAGGTCAGGTCACCAGTAGGGGGCACACAAGAGGCAGCCACACGCTGATGTTTCCCTCTCTTCCTCCCTTCCCCTCTGTCTAAAATAAATAAATAAATAAATAAAATCTAAATGAGCATTAAATTTATTTTTTGTAATGGAAATTTGATTAGCCAGATTAGATTGTTCATGCTTATGTGGAGACAATATGCACTTAATTAAAATTGTTTGATAAGTAAGTGAGCTTTTGCCTTTCTAATGGTTATTTTAATGGAGTAAATTTCTGTTCTTTCCTAAAGGCCTATATGAACCCAATAGCAATGGCCAGATCAAGGGGTCCAGTCCAGTCTTCAGGGCCAACGATCCAAGATTATCTGAATCGACCAAGGCCTACCTGGTATTTGTGAAAGAATTTACCTATTTATAAAGTTTTTATAAATATTTAAAATATTACTATTGCCGCTTTTATTGATTGCCGAGCAAATGCCAGATATGTAATTTTTGAAGTAATATTTGATATGTGCTTTTTTGAATGCATGAAACACATGTACATGTGTAAAGCAAACATTTGAGAACCCAACACCCAAGATAACTAACGCACTACCAGGTATCCTTTCATACCAGTGTCTTTTTTATCCCCTAAAAATGAACTTAACCTTATAGTGTTCTGTTTTAAAAGGGTAGATGTGAGTAATCACATCCTTTGTTGAGGTATAACTAGGTGTTAGGAAGGATAATTTAGGTCTTGTATCTTGCTGGCTTTTTAATGTTAGAATTTCCCATTATTAGATTTTTGCTTTAAATTAATGTTTTTGGCCCTCGTTGAGTGGTGCTGTCATAGCACTGGCCTTACTCTCTTTCTTACTATTAAATATCATGCTCCGATGTAACATATAACAAGCTTCAGAGTTGAGTTTCAGAGTCCTTCTAAAGTGACTCAGAAAGCTGGACAGCTACAGTTGAAAATTGTGCTTACATATAACACAATCCTTTGACCTGAATAGGAAGTAAGCGTGTCCACCTCTGACACTGTTCATGAGTGCTATTGTTAACTTTGCAGCGTAATGCCAGGAAATAAACTACTCCAAAACAAAGTATATTTTGTCTTTAAAATTGAGGAGAAGGAATGAACTTTAAAGGGGATGAGCTCAAGTAAGTATATTACATGTGTGTCAGCGGTCCTCAAGAAAACTCCCAGGTTAAGTAACTTGCTAGGTCTCATAGATAGTTGTATTCATGGGTGAAATTTATTATGGTGACAGGATACCAGCCACAGTCAACAGAGGGAAAATGTGCATGGATAAAGTCTCGGGGAGACTGGGCACAGGCTTCCAAGGCTTCCTCTCCTGAGCAGTCACACAGGACGTGTTTCATTCCCTTAGCATGGGTTGTGATAACACATGTGAGGTGTTGCCAACCAGGAGAATTCATAGAGAGTCTGTGCCCAGGGTTTTCACATGGGACTGGCCAGCCTCTGCCTATTAGGTGCCAAAATTCCAGACTCTCAGAAGGAATGTAGATGTTCGACCTAAAATATGATGTTTATATAAACAGGCACAGTGAACCACTCTTACCAGAGACTGGTAAGGACTCTCCTAAATTCCAAGTTCCCTGAAACAGCCAGGGCCAGTGTTGTAGGTAGTCCTTCCTAAGAATAAGCAGTCAGGTGTGCTGTGTTCTCTTTTTGCACATGTGCGAGATACATTACAAGATGGGAGATTTAGTGATAGAATACAGTAGTTCAAGCAAATACACTTTTGTTACGAAAGCTTTGTGATATTAGGCAGATTTCTTACCTTCCCCAAATTACAACTTTGTAAAGTAATACTACTTTTTCCTCAAAGGATTGTGATGAAGGTTAAAGGAAAATGTATTTAAAACAGTGCGTGTAGCACATAAGTGCTCAGTGTTTCCTGTATGACCTTTATAATGCATGTGTAGAAAAGGAGTGATTGCTGTTATCTGATAGGCTTTATTATGATAATTGATTCGCAAAGATATGGGCACAAATTTGGAATGTATTGACACTGGAATGGAGGTTTACTAAAATATTGAGGTTTGTTTATGAAATTTTATTGTATTGTTTGTAAGCATCCATCTCTAATTTGAATTGCTTGAAAACATATTTTTTACATTTTACTTTTTAAGGGAAGAAGTGAAAGAACAACTGGAAAAGAAAAAGAAAGGCTCCAAGGCATTGGCTGAATTTGAAGAAAAAATGAATGAGGTTTGTAAATAGTACCTTTTTAAAAAAAATAGACTAATATTTATTATAAGAAGAATTAAACAACCATTTAGTAAACCAAGGTTTGGGTCTAGCTCTTCAGATTGAAGGGGCTCCATATATTATAGGTGTTTTTGTTGTATTGAGTACAGGTTTATATGTAAATATGATTTTTTTTTTAAATAGAGAAAAACTATTTCACAATAATTTGAATCATCTGGAAGTTTTCTAAATGTTAGTAGGTTCTTTATCTTCTCTCCCTTATCACCATGCTGCCATTTTACCCTGAGATGTCTATGGTGATATTTGCTTGTTTTTGATTATGAACATATATGTAATATTTCAGCCACAGTATAGGTTAATTTAACTTACAGTTTCTGGAAAAAAGAATCTAACCATCTTTGTTAGAAAAAGTTCCTCAGCCTCACTAATAATACCTACTCTCTTTTTATAAAAAATATATTTTAGCCCTGGCTGTTGTGGCTCAGTGGATTAAACACCAGCCTGTGAACCAAAGGGTCACTGGTTCATTTCCCAGACAGGGCACATGCCTAGGTTGCAGGCCAGGTCCTCAATAGGGGATGCTCCAGAGGCAGCCACACACTGATGTTTCTCTCCCTCACTTTCTCTCTCTCTCTTCCCCTCTCTAAAAATAAATAAAATCTTTAAAAAATTATATTTTATTGATTTTGCTATTACAGTTGTCCCAGCTTTCCCCCTTTGCCCCCCTCTACCCAGCACTCTGTACTACCTCAGGCAATCCCCCCACTATTGTTCATGTCTGTGGGTCATGGGTATAAGTTCTTTGGCTACTCCATTTCCTCTGCTGTACTTTACATCCCCCCGGCTATTCTGTAACTGCCTGTTTGTACTTCTTAATCCCCTCACCTCTTTACTTATTCTCCCACACACCCCTCCCTTCTGGCAACCATCAAAATGCTCCGCATATCCATGATTCTGTCTGTGTTCTTGTTTGCTTAGTTTGTTTGTTTTTTTTAGATTCAATCTTTGATATGTATTTTTTACCATTTTATTATTCATAGTTTTGATCTTCTGTTTCTTAAATGAGTCCCTTTAACATTTCATATAATAATAGTTCGGTGGTGATGAACTCCTTTAGTTTTTTTCTAGTCTGGAAAGCTCTTTATCTGCCCTTTAATTCTAAATGTTAGAACAATCTGGGTAGAGCAATCTTGGCTGTAGGTCCCTGCTTTTCATGACTTTGAATATTTCTTGGTAATCCCTTCAGGCCTGCGGTTTTCTTTTGAGAAATCAGCTGACAGTCTTATGAGATTTCCCCTATAGGTAACTAACTGCTTTCTCTTGTTGCCTTTAAGATTCTCTTTTATCTTTGACCTTTGGCATTATAATTATGATGTATCTTGGAGTAGGCTTCTTTGCATCCATCTTATTTGGGATTGTCTGTGCTTCCTGGACTTGCATGTCTATTTCCTTCACCAAATTAGGGAAGTTTTCTTTCATTGATTTTTTTAAAATAAGTTTCCAATATTTTGGTGTTCTTCTCCTTTTGGCACCCCTATGATGCAAATGTTGGAACACTTGAAGTTGTTCCAGAGGCTGCTTACACTGTCCTCATTTTGGTGGATTCTTTTTTCTTCTTGTTCTGATTGATTGTTTTTTGTTTCCTTATGTTCCAAAACATTGATTTGTTTTCTTGGCTTCATACATTCTTTTGTTGTATCCCTGTAAATTGTTCTTTGTTTCAATTAGCATATCCTTTGTTTCTGATTGAATCTTTTCTATGCTGTTGAGGTCCTCACTAAGTTCCTTGAGCATCATTATAACCAGTGTTTTGAACTCTGTATCTGATAGATTGCCTGTCTCCATTTTGTCTAGTTCTTTTTCTGGAGTTCTGATCTGTTTTTTCTTGTGGGCCATGTTTGTCTCTTCATTTTGACAGCCTCCCTGTGGTTGTTTCTATATATTAAGTAGAGCTTCCGTAGCTCCCTGGCTTGATAGTGTGGCCTAATATAGTAGGTGTCCTATAGGATCCAGTGGCACAGCCTCACCTATCATCCAAGCTGGGTACTCAAGGGTGCCCTTCATGTGAGCTGAGTACACTCTCCTTTTATAGTTGAGCTTTGATTTCTGTTGGCAGGTCAATGGGAGTGATTTACTCAGGCTAGTCAGTTACAAGGATTGGCTGTGACTACTAACCACCAACCATGGAGGATCAGCTGTACAGGGGTAGGGTCATGGTGCTCTGACATGGACTGTAGTTGCCTACGAGGTGCACAGGCTTCAGGGTTTCCTGGGTGGTGCAGAGTAAGGGAAGCCCACACCTGTGTTCTGCCCGGGTCCACCCTGCATGAGCTATTAAGCAATCTGAGATGACTGCTTCTTGTGATGGACTTGGAGATTCCAGGTGAAGGCAAGCTATGAATCTAAGGCTGGCTGCTGCTACTACCAGGCTGAGGACCCCTTAGCAAGAGGTATGGGGGCTGGGGGTTTAGTGAGGCTGGCTATTGCTTGTTTGATAGGATTTAGAAAGTTGTGAAGCATGAGCCAAGACCATCCATTCATATCTTGGGTGGGCCTGTAAGTTGGGCGGGATGGAGTCTTAGCGGGGGGTCTCCGGGGCTGGGCAAACAGTGTTAGCCAAGTTGATGGAGTCAGAGATATGGTACCAGCCTGCCAGCTCTGTGGGCGGGACAGTTCAGAAAAGGGACAGTGGCCTCTGCCTACCTTTCTATCTGGGAGAAAGCTGCTCCCCAGCTCTCACCTTGATGCCAGACACTTCACTTTCTCCCTATATGCCACTGGTGGTCTAAAGCTGCTATCCTAGCGCTGGAGCTCAGAGGTATGAGTCTGATTAAGTTTGTGTGTGACTTCCTTAAAAAGAACTGCTTGGGACTGTAGAAGTTCCTTCCATTGACTCAATTTCCACTGGTTTTTGCAGCTGGATGTTATGGGGACTTACCTTCCCAGCACTGGAACCTTGGGATGGGGGGCCTGCGGTGGGGCATGGGCTCCTCGCTTGGGAGATATCTTTCTCAAATTTTTATCCACCACATGTGGGTGTGGGATGGGCCCATTCTGTGTCTCCATCCCTCCTACCAGTCTGCATGGATGTGGTTTCTTCAATTCCATAGTTGTCAGACTTGAATGAACTTGTTGGAGCTGAATGAACTCAATTTCCAATGGTTCGAAGTGATGGTGGTGCTCAATTTTAGTTGTAATTTTGATGATAATACTTACTCTCAATATAGAGGATATACAGTAGAGAATTCCCATCTCTTATTATCCTTTCTGAGAAGATCTGGTAGAGGTTCTCTTGGTGGTAGAGTAAAGGCTCTGGCACTTGGAATAACTTGTATTTAGAGGCTGGGATGGGTGAGAGGCTGGAAGAAAGGAAACATGGCTGTCTTACACTCGTGCGTTAGGTGTATTAGAAGGGGTAGATGTCTTCTGATGGTGTTTATAACCTTTTTACAGAACTGGAAGAAAGAACTAGAAAAACACAGGGAGAAATTATTAAGTGGAAGTGAAAGCTCATCCAAAAAAAGACAGGTGATACTATTTTTACTTTATTGCTATCCTTAATCTCACGGTTGGGCTTTCATAATACTGCTTTAGGCTATTATTAATATATATTTCAAAATTCACATCAGCTTACTTAGATTTGTATCTTTTTTTGTTTGTTTGCTTGCTTTTAGAGAAAGAAAAAAGAAAAGAAGAAATCTGGTAGGGTGAGCAAAACTTTTCCATTTTTCTAAATACTAAAATTAAGAGCTTACCAAAAAAGTAAGAATTATTTATATAGCTTGTATGCTAACTCCAGATGGAGGTCCTTTGGTAGTTACTGGGTGCTTATGTTCTATTTCTGATGTAAAAGACAGGCGCCAACCTCCTTTTATAACCTAGTACAGCCGCATTGCTGTTAGAGAGGGAATTGCCATTACCTTGTTGAGCCTTTTGTTTTTCCTTTTATTTTCGGTGGGGGTGGTGGGGAAATGTGACAGTTGACTGTTACTACTTTAAGTTTCACAAAGATGGCACTTGTTTCAGGACACTAGATTGATTTTGTTAAGTATTTGAGATACCTAGTAAAAGAAAAAAAATTCCTGCATCTCACAAGCTTTAATTGTTTTGTGCTTGGTCAAGTATTCATCCTCTTCTTCATCAAGCTCTGATTCTTCCAGCAGTTCTTCAGATTCTGAAGATGAGGTAAGGCTTGCTTATAATGATTCATGAAATATGTGTAATTTCTCTATGAAATAGCAGTTAAAAATTTTTATTTCCATGTTTTTATTAGTTTTCTATAACTGAAAGCACTGATACAAATAAACCCCTAGATAGCTAAGTATCGGTGTATATATTTTTTTAGATTTCAGAATTTGTCTTGTTCATTTTTAAAATATCAGAAGAATTAGATTTGACTAATCTAAAATGCTAATTTTAGATTAGCTACTCTAAAATGCTAATTCCTAGCATCTAAATTCCTCTAAATTCCTAGATGCTAGGAATTTAGTGTGACTCAAATCACTTGGCTTTTTTTCTTTAAATAAGCTACAAAAATGGTTTGTTACATTTAAAATATTAAGTGAAACATATGCTTATAAGATGGTCCTTTTGTTAACTTTTGTTTATTGATAAAGATTTGATAATAAAAATGCAGCAGTTATATTTTTGAAAAAGAAAGCAAATGTTTCTAAAAATGTTTTATGTAGGACAAGAAACAAGGAAAAAGAAAAAAGAAAAAGAAGAACCGATTACATAAATCTTCTGAAAGCTCCATGTCAGAGACCGAGTCAGACAGTAAGGTAAAATTTAAATTAGCAATATTTCAGATAGCAAGAACATGTAATGAGGTTTTTCTTTTAGTTTTGCTATCTTAAATTGCTCTCCATTTAAAAATAAGATACGTTTTTTTATGTACTACGGTGTTTTGTGCCACTTACTGCTTTACATGTGGCATTTAATCGTTCTCTAAATACCTTCACACATCTGTCTGTCTCTCAGCATTTCCATGACAGCCTTAGGATGAGTCTGGCAGGCATTTTTTTTTCTATTTTCATAAAGAAGTCATAGTTCAGAGAAAGAAGTCTTATTTGAATTTATATAGCTGGTATTAGAATTTGAGGTTGAATTTGTCTTTTACTAGCTGGTCCACTGTCTTTTCTACTATACCTGAGTCCGTTCTATACTACCTAGAATTGTCTGACACAATTTACTCTCAAACATAAGTGATCAGAAGAAATACGTGCACGTTACAATAAAAGCGAAGGTTCTCGGGCCTCATTTTCAGAGTATGACTTAGTAAGTGATTAGGCTCAAGAGTCTACATTGTTAACAGATATGCTCAGTGATTCTTACCCAGGGGTGTCCATGGACCACACTAGAAAAAACAAATGTCCTAGGGTCTCAGGATAACAAAGCAACTGTCTTATTTTGGGGCAGATATCTACTCCCCTAGTGAGATTTCTTCTGACAAAATGCCTGGTGTCTAGGAAGTAGTCAGTAAATGTTGGTTTTTTTTCATTGTTTTTTGAAGCAGAAGAGCCAATCTAATGATTCTGATAGCTAACATTTATTGAATGCCTACTACATGTTATGCACAGTTCTAAGCACTTGACATATTAACTCAGTTCTCTAAGCAACGCTATGTAGTAGGTACTTGTTAACCACACTTTATGGATGTGAAAGGCGCAGGGATGTTAATAGCTACACAAAAATTCTTACCTCCCATACTTAAAAGGAGAGTAGAGAAATCACATTGGCAGATGTCTAGGCCCAGAGGGAATTGAACTCTAGTACTTATGACCACCTCAGGCAAAAACAGGCAGTGGCATAAAATCATATTAAAATAGATCGTGTGATTATCACAGACAGTATCATTTCAGGTGCACAGAGATTAGACATACAGCCAGATAAACTAAGAAGCCTCATTTTCTTACAAGTATAGATAGATAGATAGATAGGTAGATAGATAGATAGATATACATACACACACACAGCATACATTTCTTCTGTATTTTTAAAATACAATTCTGGTATTGAAGTAAACTTTTTTCAGTCATAGAGCAAATAACCTTTTTGATATTTTTGTTATACTATTATGCTTTATCTTTTACAGTTAAAGTTGATACATATATATATATTTGTTTGTTTAGGACAGTCTGAAAAAGAAAAAGAAGTCAAAGGATGCAACTGAGAAAGAAAAGGTAATTATAATTTTATATTGCCTTAAGATAGTCTGTCATACAATACTTCATTTACTTCAAGATGTAAACAGTATTGTGCCCTGGCTGGTGCGGTTCAGTGGATTGAGCACCAGATTGGGAAGCAAAGGGTTGCCAATTCAATTCCCAGTTAGGGTATATTCCTGGGTTGTGGGCCAGGTCCCCAGTGGGAGGCAACCACACATTGATGTTTTTCTCCCTCCCCTTTCCTCTCTCTAAAAATAAATAAATAATTTTAAAAAGAAAAACAATAATGTGTTACCCTTTTTAGCTTCATATTTATTTGCTTTTATGACATTTTGTGTTGATTTAAGGAAATTATTAGATTCATTATTGAAGATAAAAGATCAAAAGAGTATTCCTGCAGAAAGTTTGAATTTTTGTAGTTTAGTGGATTATCTCAGATTAAAAATCCAAGGTACTGGAGATTAAACATTTCCTTTGTTTCCTCAAGTTATTTTAAAAGAAAGTACTTTTACGTAAAGAACAGGGTCTTCTGGTTCAAATTGAATATACCATAGATAAGTTTTGAAAAAAAAACTTCTATTGCTGTTAGTAGATATTTTATCTTGTGATTCAACTATAATTAGTGCTAAATTTATCTCTACCAATGTTTTTGATTTACATTTTAAAGTCTTATTCTAATTATTAAAAATAAAGCAATTGTTAATAAAAGAAAACTACAAACTAGTGTCACTATATTTTAGTATGTTTTCACACCATTTTTTAAAATGGTGTTAAAATTCACATAGTCTGTTAATCATCTTAAAATTACAATTTGACAGTATTTAGTGGATGTACAGTGCTATGCAACAACCACCTCCCCCTAGTTCCAAAGCTTTTTGAGCATCCTTTAGAAAACAACCTATTAAGTAATCAGTTCCCATTCTCCCTTCTGCCCATCCCCAGGTACCCTCTAATTTGCTTTCTATCTCTATTGATTTGCATATTCTCTGGATATATCATATAAAAGCAATCTTACAATATGTTACCTTTTGTGTCTGGCTTTTTTCCACTTAGTGTAATGTTTTTGAGGTTCATCCAAATTGTAGCATATATGAGGGGGAACCCCCAAAAACCTGGAATTTATATATAAAACATTATGTGTGTATTCTTACATGTGTAATACTTCAGTCACCTTCAAAGTACTCTCCATTTGATACAGTACAACTACCAAGACTTGTTTCCATTGCTCAGTTTTTGAACTCACTGATTTTTTAAAGATTTTATTTATTTATTTTTAGAGAGAGGGGACGGGAAGGAAAAAGAGAGAAAGAGAAACATCAATGTGTGGTTGCCTCTCACATACCCGCTACTGGGGACGTGGTCTGCAACCCAGGCATGTGCCCTGACTGGAAATCAAACCAGCAACCCTTTGGTTCCCAGGCCAGCACTCAATCCACTAAGCCATGCCCACCAGGACAAAAAATGAATAATTTCTATGGTAATTTTAAGAATTGTTTTTTAAATATATTTTATTGATTATGCCATTACAGTTGTCCTATTTCCCCCCTTCATTCCCCTCCACCCGCAAATCCCCTCCCCCACCATTCCCCCCCCCGTTTAGTTTATGTCCATGTGTCTCAAGTCCTTTAGATTCTATATTTCCCACACTATTCTTGCCCTCCTCCCTATCTATTTTCTACATGCTGTCTACGCTATTTATTCTCTGTACCTTCTCCCCCCTTCTCCTCCTCCCACTCCCCTGTTGCTAACCCTCCATGTGATCTTCATTTCTATGGTTCCACTCCTGATCTGTTGTCTTAGTTTGCTTTTGTTTTAGGTGTGGTTGTTAATAATTGTGAGTTTGCTGTCCTTCCACTGTTCATATTTTTTTATTTCTTTTTCTTAGATAAGTTCCTTTAACATTTCATATAATAAGGGCTTGGTGATGATGAGCTCCTTGAATTTGATTTTACCTGAGAAGCACTTTATCTGCCCTTCCATTCTAAATGAAAGCTTTGCTGGATAGAGCAATATTGGATGTAGGTCTTTGGATTCCATGACTTGGAATACTTCTTTCCAGCCCCTTCTTGCCTGTAAGGTCTCTTTTGAGAAATCAGCTGACAGTCTGATGGGAACTCCTTTGTGGGTGACTGTCCCCTTAGCTCTTGCTGCTTCTAGAATTCTCTCCTTCATTTTAATCTTGGCTAATGTAATGATGATGTGCTTTGGTGTGTTCCTTCTTGGGTCCACCTTCTTTGGGACTCTGAGCTTCCTGGATTTCCTGGAAGTCTATTTCCTTTGCCAGATTGGGGAACTTCACCTTTATTATTTGTGCAAATAAGTTTTCCACTGGTGGCTGTGCCTTTCCCCCTTCTGGTACCCCTATAATTCGGATGTTGGAGCGTTTAAAGATGTCCTGGAGGTTCCTAAGACTCTCCTCATTTCTTTGAATTCTTGCCTCTTGACTCTTTTCTGTTTGGCCATTATTTGCTTTCTTCTGGTCCACTCCATTGATTTGAGTCCCAGTTTCCTTTTCATTGCTATTGGTGTCCTGTGCAGTTCCATTCATTTCAATTAGTTTCGCCTTCATATATTTGTCTAATTTGTGGCTATAATCAACCAGTTCTCTGAGGATCCTGATGACCAGTGTTTTAAACTGTGCGTCTGAGAGTTTTGCTATTTCTTTTTTTTTTTTAATATTTTATTTATTTATCTTTAGAGGGGAAGGGAAGGAGAGAGGGAGAGAAACATCAATGTATGGTTGCCTTTCATGCGTCCCCTGCTGGGAACTGGCCTGCAACCCAGGCATGTGCCCTGACTGGGAATCGAACCGCGATTGTCTGGTTTGCAGGCCCGCGCTCAATCCACTGAGCTACACCAGCCAGGGCCCTAGTTTTGCTATTTCTCCATCGCTTAGATCTATGGGCTCTGGGGCTTTGAGATCTTCTTGCGACATTTTTGGTCTGTTCACGCCCTTTAAGTGTGAGAAGCGGCGCCTTGGACTCCCAGGTCGCTGGGTTGTGACGCTGTATGTGGGGGCGTGGTCAGAGCGGGGAAATGGCGACCCTCTCAGCTGTTTCTCACAGCTGGGTGAGGAGCAGCGCCTTACGTGGTTCACCTGGGCCGGGCCACTCAGAGTCGCTGGGTTATGACGCCGTATGTGGAGATGGGGTCAGAGCAGGGAAATGGCGGTGCCCTCCACTGCCGCTTGCCGCGGGGACCCGCCGGGCCCAGTCCAACCGCCCACTCCCTCGCCTGTCCACCCGCGCACAAATGCGCGACCACAGTCCACACGCAGCACCACTCCCCTGCTGTCTCCCCCACTGTCGCTCGCCTGGTGGCTCGCTCACTAGGTCCAACCCTGGGCCTGGATGCCGTGTGCCTGAGTCCCTCTGACCGAGTTTTCCTGTGCAACCCCGCTTCACCAGCCGCTGGTTTCGCCCCTTACCAGTCAGGCTGAAGAATTTGTTGTTAACGGACTTCCGAAAAGTTCAATTTTTCGTGTTCTGGCTGTGTTTTCTGTTGCTAATATTTAGTTGTCTCTAAACTTGGTTGTGTGAGAAGGCACGGCACATCCACCTATGCCTCCATCTTGGCGGAAGTCTCTGGTACCCCTATAATTTGGATGTTGGAACGTTTAAAGATATCCTGGAGGTTCCTAAGCCTCTCCTCATTTTTTTGAATTCTTGTTTCTTCATACTTTTCTGTTTGGTCGTTTTTTTCTTCCTTCTGGTCCACTCCCTTGATTTGAGTCCCAGTTTCCTTCCCATCACTATTGGTTCCCTGTGCATTTCCTTTCATTTCAGTTAGTTTAGCCTTCATTTGTTCCTCTAATTTGGGACTAAAATCAACCAGTTCTGTAAGCATCCTGATCACCAGTGTTTTGAACTATGCATCTGATAGGTTGGCTATTTCTTGGTCACTTAAAGTTATTGGCTCTGGGGCTTTGAGTTCTGCTTGAGCCATGATGTTTTGGTCTGTTTGCACATGTTATGTATGAGGGCAGAGCCCTAGGTGTTCAATAGGGTGGGGCAACCCACCCAGGTTGTGATGCTGTATGTGAGGGCAGGGTCAGTGAGGGGCAATAGCGGTCCCCTCTGCTGATTCCCACTGCTGGGACCTGCACGGTCTGTCTCACTGCTCGCTCCTTCACCTGGCTTATCTGCGCATGAATGTGTGACCGTGGTCAGCCTGCTACCTTGTGCCCTCAACTGGGTCCGCCCATTGCTACCCCACACCTGGGATCCGCTATCCTGCCTGACCCTGCTGCACCACTGGCTTCACCCCTCTTACCGGTCTGGCTGAACGGTTTGTTGTTGTCAGACTTTTGTATAGTTCAATTTTCTGTGTTTTGGTTGCGTTTTTATTACCAAAACTTTGTTGTCTTTAAACTTGGTTGTGTGAGGAGGCACAGTGTTTCCACCTACGCCTCCATCTTGGCCAGAAGTCAGAACTGAAACCTGGATCCCATAGGTTGGAGCTCTGGCACACCAATAGCTAATTTTAAGAATTGTTAATAAAGCCCTGACTGGTGTGGCTCAGTGGGTTGGGCATGGTCTCACAAACCAAAAGATCACCAGTTCAATTCGCAGTAAGGGCACATGCCTGGGTTGCACGCTGGGTCCCTTGTTGGGGGTGTGTGAAAAGCAGCCAGTCAATGTTTCTCCCCCTCTTTCTCTCCCCTTCTCTAAAAATAGAGTACAAATAAAAAATCTATTTAAATGTCAATAGAATGCGGGAACAAAATTTGCATGGTGTAGTACTGTATCTTTTTGAGTTGTGATACATGTATTTTTTTAAAGGACATTAAAGGACTTGGCAAAAAGAGAAAGATGTATCCTGAAGATAAACCTTTTTCATCTGAGTCCTTATCAGAATCAGATTATATTGAGGAGGTATGTATATGATCAGATCTATATTCTTCAAAATGTTCAGTTATTTGATTTATTAAATATTAATTGAAAAAGATATTTCATACATATTTGATTTACTGTGAAGTATGATTTAAAAAAAATAAAAGGAAGTTGTTCCATTTCAGAATAAGTCTTGTATTTTTTCACAGTTCTATTACTGTTATTTTTATAATTAGCCATATTCTCACATACCTTTCCAATCTGAGATAGGTATATTATTTTTACTCTTCTAATGTTTTCTTTTTAAAATTTTTTTACCTTTTATTATATTTTTTCCATTACCATCTAGTCAGTCCCCTTAGACTGCCCAGCCCCCAGCATTTTTCCAGTATTTTCATTTTATTGTACTACTACTTGGACTACATGAAAGATGCTGTATGACGTATTGTGTATTGAAACCCAGCATTTCCTTGTTGTTGTTCAGAGCTGCTCTTTGGGGAGTAGAGAGGCGATGAGATAGAGCAGGACCATTGATTGGTGTGATCTCAGCTTTTCTGTCCATACAGTGAAGGAGTGGGATGAGGTCATCTGTAGTGTCCTTTTCAGCTCTGATATCTCTGTCTTCGATTTCGTACTTTCTTGGAATTTGTCAATTTTTCCTTAGCTTTAGGTCTGTCAGTTACCATTTTTTAAAGTATTTCTTGGGATTGGTTTCCCTGTTTGTAAAATAGGACCTGTTGCTTTCATTTTGTAGTAGTATTTTGTACTGCCCCTGAAATGAACTTGTAGTTTTTATAGAAATATAAAGTATATAAGAAATATATAAGTATATCTATATTTATACTTAACCTACACATTTTTGTATTACTATCCCCTAACAGAAGTAGAAATTTTTCAAAAATTAATAACACATAATTTTTATTAAATTATATTTCAATATGTAAATTCTTGGGAGTGTATTTTAAAACCCTGTATACAAGACTTCATGTTCATAGTACAGTAATTTAGCTTCTCTGTTATCCGTGGGTGTGCCTGTCTGGTGGGCTTCTCAGAGGCATGTCAGGCCTGTCCTGGACAGCGCACGGCAGCGTCTTCTGCCTTGGCCTGGCTCAGTGTGGGTGCAGCACAGCTGCTCCTGCTCCAGTCTTTGCTATGACAAGAAAAACAAAAAATAATACCGTTACATTTGGAGTTAACATTAAATGCTCAGGAACTTTAGCAACTTTGGATTAATCAGTTGGATTATACTGAGTACACTGTATGTATAGCTGTTACTCATTGAACACCGCAGAGTTAGAGAAATGCCCACTTCACTCCATGCACTTCCCCTGCCGCGTTGTAGATGGTGAAACTGAGAGTGAAACAGCAGAGGCAGGATTCAGAGCTCGGCTGGATGGTTGGTTGGTTTGAGAGCTCATGTGTTTTATCCATTATACCTCACTGCTTTTCTTAGGTGCTGGAAGGGAATATAAGAAAAGCCCTTTAGAGATTTAAAATATTAATTTCCCTCTCTTTAAATGTGTTTTCTTTAATTCTCATTGTGATATAACAGAGGTGTAAGGTAAATAAGGCATTTAAAATGTTACTTGGTTGTCAAAATGTTTTTACAGATAAATTTTAAAGACACAAAGTATATTAGGAAATGAAAAAGAAATGCCGTAAGTACAAGTTACATATTTGTCTTCTGTTTTCCACAAAAACTTAAACTTTTTAGGTACGAGCAAAAAAGAAGAAAAGCAGTGAAGACAGAGAAAAAGCAACAGCAAGTATCACTTACATTTTTACATGACAACAGCAGAGCTGTTTTTATTTAATATAAAATGAGTCATGGGTAAAGAAAGCATGGTTGCATTTACTAGGACCAAGTAAATATTTATTACGGTGTTTAACAGGCAGCTTCGTTTAATGGGCTAGCGAAAATTGGATTGGCTCAGGAAAAAGGAATAATACCCTGGTAGCAAACATGGTCTGTTTCCATTTCAGTATTTTACTGTTAGAAATATAAACTCAAACTTTTGTTTGATTTTCTGAAGGTGTAATAATATGAAAGATGATATTAAAGTATGATGATTCCCTCTATCTTCAATAGCAGTTACTTCCAGATCAACCAAACCTGGTATTAACAGAAAAAAATCTCTCTAAACTCAAGAATAATAAGCCAGAATGTGACAACATAAATGATTTCACTAATAAAGATTATTCTTTTGATCATTTCTAAAGCCAGCTCTACTATTATGCAGATTGAAAAGTAGGAAAGACCAAAGGAAGAGGAATAAAAGGGAAATGGAAGTGGTATTTAAATAAGAAACGGACTATCCTAGAGAAAATGAATACAGATTATCAAAGAGTGATGTGGACCATATCAGCAAAGTAACTTAGGAGCACTCAGTATAAGTGTGGACTTTTCCTTTAAAGGCACTTTCTTAGGGGGAGGTAAAATGAAAATGAGAACCACATTTGTAGATTTGAGGGCAACTCCCATAATTTTCCTAGGTCTTAAAATGAGGGTCCTTATCTGATAAGAAGGTTCATGTGGTGATGTATGATTTGATTCAGAATTAACATTTTATATGCCTTCAAGTCCAAGATGACACTTAAAAGACTTTTCAATAATGGAAAAAATAATTTGAATAAAGACTGCTTTGGTCTTTGGCTCAGATTAAGTAATTAATTAAGATAAAGTTTAACACTTTGGATAATTCTGATTTGTGTTTGCATACTTCCCTGTTCTGTGCATTTAGCTAGCATATGTTTATTAAGCTCTATGAGGCACTGTTCCAGGTGTTGAGTATAAGAAAAGAGGGTGATATGTGAGAGAGTGACTTCAGGGAGGGAGAGCCTCTTTAAGGAAGTTAAACTGAAATCTGATTTACAAGGCAGCCATGTGAAGATCAAAGGAAGAATATCTAGGCAGAGAGAAGAACTGAGGATGTTTGTGGGATTGAGTTTGAGGACCTGAAAGAACTTTAGCTGGGTTTTTACCTAGTGGACAAAGAGGAGTAGTGTACAGTGAGGTTGGGAAGTCAGCAGAGCTCATATCCCACAACTGTTTGGGTGTTAATCATAATGTAATTATAGGATGCTATTTTGAGGGTTTCGAGCAAAGAAGTGACCTGAAACAACTTTACTTTTTTATTTTATTTACTATTTTTAAATATTTATTTCTCTTTAGAGAGGATAAGGGAGGGAGAAAGAGTGAGAGAAATATCGGTGTGTGGTTTGCCTCTTGTATTCCCCCTGCTGGGGAACTGGCCTGCAACCCAGCCACATGCCCTAACTGGGAATGACACTGGTGACCCTTTGGTTTGTAGGTCAGTGCTCAATCCACTGAGCCACACAAGCCAGGGCTCTACTTTACTTTTTTAAAACATGCCTTGGCAGAGGAGCCGAATGGACAGAGGTGAGGAATGTGTAGGTATTACAGTGGTAATCATGGAAGGGGATTGGCAGGATGGATTTGAGATGTGTTCTGGACTTAAGTGGTAGGACTTACTTGGTGCTCTGGATGTGAATAGAGTTAAAGCAAAGGGTAGAGTCAAAGATAGCTTAGATTCTTTGGCTAAAGTAAAGTAACAAATTAGTGATACCATTTACTAAGATGGGTACGAGATGATTTGGAAAGAAAAATTAAACATTTTTATGGTAATTTTGGGTATGCCTGTTAGCCAGGTGGAAGCATTAATGAAGTATTTGCAGTCTTGAACTCAGGGTGGACTGGATATAAAGATTTGGTTTGTAAGTGGCATTTAAAGTGTGTGAGTGGAAGAGCACGTGCAAGAGAAGGGAAGGAGGCCCTAAAGGAGGGAAAAGTTGAGTAGAGGAAGAACCAGCGAAGGAAATGAAGAGCTCTTTGTGACAGAAGAAAAGCAGTGGAGTGAGGGTATCATGGAAACCAAGAAGAGAAGTATTTTAGAGAGTGGTCAACTGTCCTTCGAAATGTAATCTAAATGCAAAACTTAACTTCTAAAAGCCCAAATACAAGATTTTGGGCTGGGCTTGTAATGAAAAGAATGATGACAGCTGAGAGCCACAAAATGGCAGAGACCTTTGAGAGAGGAGGGAGGACTGTAGAAAGTTCTAACAGATGAAGAAATGGATAGGTCCCTGGCTGGTGTAGCTCAGTGGATTGAGTATGGGCCTGTGAAGCAAAGGGTTGCCAGTTTGATTCCCAGTCTGGGCACATGCCTGGGTTGCAGGCCAGGTCCCCAGTTGGGGGCACATGAGAGGCAACTACACATTGATGTTTCTCTCCCTCTCTTTCTCCTTCCCTTCTCCTCTCTCTAAAAATAAATAAATAAATAAATAAAATGTTTTTAAAAAAAGAAACGGATAGGAAACTTTGCTTTTACTACCCTTACGTCTTTGTTCTTGCCTTTTATTTTCTTCTCCTGAACATCAACAACTAGTCTGTCATTTGACACCACCTTTCCAAGTGCCTGTTCTTAAAGTTCAGCCTTCTCTTCTGCTTCTGAAACAGTCACGAGATTCAGAGACCAGTAAGATTCCAGCTCCCCTTACCCAGTGACAGTTGGACTACTTTTCCTAGGCTTTCGAGGCACTTTCCTCTGACAGTCAAGTCTAAGCTAAAGGAGACTTTCCAACTACACATCAGTATTTCACGCCAGTCAGTTGTTAACCTGAGTGCTCCCAGTCTAAGCAGTACATAGTGTCTGTGTTCCCGTTTGCTTAGAAATAGCAGATTTAATATATGTCCTCTGAAAATTATCACTTTGCAAAAATCATGTTTTGCTGTAGTATAGGGATTCCTTTGCAGTAGCTACAACTATTTCACCTTTAGAAACTAAATGAAAAGTAGCAATTGGTACCATGACTCAATTGAATTTATTTTCTACACGAAATTTAGTTAAAAGCTACGTTAATATGTTAATGACTTAAAGCTTTTTCTTATTTTGAAAATCAATAAGCACTGTTCATGCTCATGATAACTGGTTATTGATGCTTTTCAAGAAATGTTTTGAGCAGCTCACTGGGCTGTTTGGACTGTTTCAGATAACTATGCAGTAGCTCAGAAGCTCCTTAGTGCACTGGTTGTTTCTAATTTGCATATTTTCATGTAGAAATGTCTAACATGGGACTGTCTTTACAGGAAAAAACAAAAAAGAAAAAGAAGCATAAGAAACACAGTAAGAAAAAGAAAAAGAAGGCTGCTAGTTCAAGTCCTGACTCACCATGACGTTAGAAAAAACCAGGATTCCCTTGTAAAGTGCAATGTCTGAGGAGATCTCAACTGTGAAAATAATGACATATTTACTAAAGTGCATGAATATTGTTGTTTCTAGAATTATTCCTGGACCGTTCAGTAGCCACTCAGAATGCCGCTGTGTGAAGGGGCCGTAAGAGTTGCCTGCTGCCTGAGCATCTGTCCTTTTCTCTTCCATTGCTTAGTGACTTTGGGAGATGATACACTGCAGTCACACTAGTGGTTGTTATTTGGGAATAAAGTTAATATTTTTGACTAGAAGTATCTAATGATAAATCGACAGAAGTTGAGTCTGGATACATCATTAAGATGTACACAGAAATGACCAGATGACTCTAACATTTTTGAAGTAAGGATTGCATTGATATTTCAGTATCCTTACTCTGTAGATAAGTGTATTTTAATTTTTCCCCCCTTGTATACTTTTATTATTTACCTGGGGAAGGAACTTTCAAGGGTTGGGGTGGTTTGCTATTTTCTTTAGCAGAATAGTGTGCCTTTTATCCTCATACATCCTATTTTTGTGGACACAGTAGCCATGCTTCATGGGGAGGTCAGAGCTGGGTATGGCAGTCCTGCGCTTCATTCACTGAGGTTAGTAACATCCTTGGACGCTGCCGTATGCTGCTTTGAGTGAACCAGAGAAACGGCCTTTTGCAGCTCGAGAAGGCCCTGGAAGCTCTGGGATGTACCTCCACTTCAATAATACTGAATGGTTTTAGTATTAGAATGTGTTATAACATTTGAATTAATTTTGACTGTACTTTGGCTTTGGAGAGGAGTCATTTCAAATAGACACTGGTACTTTTTGAACTTGATAGCTAAAGATTCTAAGATGCATGTTTTATACTGTTAAGTTTTAACCAGTCAGGAGAATTTTATGTAACCAGTGATAGTTATTTTTTGTATGAATTTTGTTTAGGCTGTAATGTTTAGCTTTTATTAACTTTTTATTCTTGCTATCTTAAATTCCTTACTGCATTTAATGGCGTTCTTGCCGAGATATTTAGCATGTAAGAAGCAGGTTTTCGGTTTTGTTTTGTTTGTAACAGCTTCATATTGAAGCTGAGACTTACCATATACAAGTCGAATGGCAAGCCTGTTATGCTGTGTCTTGTTACATAAAGCTCTTGCCAGAATCTTAGTAAGTATAACATTTTAAAAGTTTGTCTTTGTATATTCATAAAAAAATTATGACAAGTTAAACTTAAGTGAGAATTACATTATTGCTCTTTCTGTGTCATTTTACTAAGATTTTGTGCCTCATATCTCCTGCTGAATTGTTTACTAGTTAAAAGGGATTGATAAATCAATTTCACTTTACAATTTTATATAATCAGGTAACAAAATATAATTTGATGTGCGATTTTGCCTGCGTGATAATTACAGTGTTATATGCACAAAACATTTTGGCATGACAAGAGGCTGAATAAATAGCTATTTTACTTAAAAATAGCCCAAGTTCTCATCGGCTCCCTTTGGGTCTCAAGTAAAGTGACAGTGATTAAGAAACACTACTAGGTGTTCAGTGGTCAGAGGATAAGACATGTCTTCAAGATTTAGCTGTAAAAATAACAATTTCTTGGTTAGTTTCCTTAAATTTTATGCTTAGAGCTTCCTACTCTTACCTAATAAAAGATATCCATATGTTCTTTTTTTTTTTTTTAGAGAGAGAGGGGAAGGGAAGGAGAAAGAGTGGGAGAGAAGTATCAATGTATGGTTGCCTCTCATGCGTCCCGTCCCCTGCTGGGATCTGGCCTGCAACCCAGGCATGTGCCCTGACTGGGAATCGAACCTCGATACTCTGGTTCGCAGGCCCACGCTCAATCCACTGAGCTATGCCAGCCAGGGCCCTATATGTTCTTGAGTGCACAGTAAGTTTGAAGGACATTTTGTATCCAGAAGGAAGTTTCTCAGAATTGTTCGTGCAAATGCTAAAAGTTTATCAGTTTATGTGTTGATCAGTTTGCTGCGAACATAAAAGTGCACCTTTGCAGACTGGCCCAGTATGTGATGTGTTCCACTAGAGGCAGCTGCTCGTTTTACAGACTGGGGGAGAAAGAGATTTATTTGGCCAGGAAATTATACTCTTTCCATTTCATTGACTGTCTGGGACATAACCTTTTTCACTGTTTCTCTTATGGTAACCTTAACATTCTCCTAATAAGGTATGGGAAGAAAACCTGACTGGTGATGTTATGTGCAGGTCTGACTTCCCCCTCCACCAGATCACCCCTTTTCAACACAGGACATATTATTTGGGTAATTATGTCAAGTAACTGCAACAAAATTGATGGGTGTCTGGATAGAAACAAAATTGAATTTATAGCAATGCTACCTCTTTCTGGTTGTTTTGGATTGATTTGGTTGTCCTTAATATATTTAGGTGTTTTAAATTCATAAGAGTGTCCTGAATTTATTTCATCAAGAATATGGGTTCATAGTCTATTAGTCAAGCTGTGCTTTAAAAGCCTGTTGCTCTGGAGAATAGACTAACCTCAGAAAGACTGAGAACAGTTATTCTTCAGACTTAAGTGACAGGTTTCACTTTTAAAAAATTACCAGTTTTGAACTTAAAGTCTATAGAAAAGCCTTAAGAAAGCTTTTTGTTCCCCTGTTTTATTTGCCTTATTTTAAAATTGTATATTTCATTAAAAACTTCCCAAGAATTTAGTGCCCTAATTTCTAAAAATTATGTTAGTACATTATATTTTTTGCCTTATCACAGTGAAGACCAGCAGACACACCAGAAACTACTTGTTCTCTCTACTAGGATTCAACAGTAGGACTTAAAACAGTTGTTTTTTTGGCCACCTTTGGCATAGTTACATGTTTTCCTAATAGTTAGTCAGATACAAGTGGGAGGAATGAAAGCAGGATTTAACATTTCTCTAGAGGCTCCCAGATTGAAGCCTCCGCTTGGATATCATGAGAAGGTACTTGGTTTGCAATTTCAAATGAGGTTATAGCCTTTGAAGGAAATTATAGAGCCTAGGAAATTATTTTATTTCAACTAAAAGATTAAGGCCTTTATAATCTCATTTAGTTTTGTGTTCAAATAGGAGGGAAACATTTTCATCTGTAGAATTTATGCTGAGGAAATACAAATGACATTATCAAGTACCCCTTTAACTGGTGTTTAGACCCAAAGAAGAGCAATGTTAGACTTGCTGAAGTATTTCAGATCACACTAACATTAATGAAATCACTCATCAGTGCTGAGTGGTAACAGTCATTGTTGCATGTGTTTCCAATGACTTGAGAACCTTCTGTGTTTGGTTGCTGGAATGTTGCCATGGAGACAGTGCTGGGTGTGGTGCAGTGAACTGTGGAATCAGTGGGGTCCCAGGCTGCCCAGGCTCGGAGCTAGGCTATCTGACAAGTCTGCAGTGCATCAAAGCCACATTCACCATGAACCAGCTGAGGAAGCTGGTGGAGCCCATCAGTAAAACTGTCAAGAGCTGTAAGTACTGACCAGACATCCAGCACTGCCTGAGCATATTTATTCAAATAGAAACTTAGTAGACATACTAGTTGGACGTTAAGGAGTGCTTTGTAACTTTCAAAATGGAGTTCCTCTCTTTCCTATATAATACCTTAGTCTCTGTAAAAAATAAGATAGCAAGTGAACAATTATTGCTACACTTATGCTGAAAATAATGATCAGGTGTCCTAAAATATATTTTTGTATGGGAAGAGAAGCTTGAGAATTTACATGACATAAGTGCTAAAGGATTATCTGCCAACCAAGGACCGATTTTATTATAATCTGAAATTTAATAAGATTTCAAAGTTCAAAGGTTTACTTTGACATTTCCCTGAGTTCTTTGGCACAAAATCCATTTAAGTAGATTGCTCTACTTCAGGGGATTGGTAGAGATACGTAACCAGAGATAATATAGATGTTGAAATAGCGTGGTGCTTTAAACATAGCAAGTGTTTATTAAAACTAGTGTAACAGGTTTGGGGGGATTCCTTGCCCTGACCTTAAAAAGTAATCTTGTGAATGTTTTTTTCTCAGGCATGACCACAAATCCTGACCTACAATTCTGAGAATGTTTTCAGAATTTGAGGAAATTACTTTTACATCAGCCACTTGCGCAGCCCATTTTGGGGCCCTTCCACTCTCTCTCGTGTGCCCTCCCTGGTCAGGGTAGGTCCCACCTTTCTAAGTCTCCCTGTGCCTGCCCGGGGTCCCCAGGCAGGGCGCATCAGTATCCTCCCTCTCTTCCTCCCTCCCTCCTCTCCTCCTCTCTCTCAAAAAAGACAGAAGGAAAAAGAAAATGCAGCTTCCTGGGCACACCTAAGTATATTTAAACATCTCTGGAAGCAGGCCAGGCACCCAGATGGTTCTATGTATTGTAGACACTAAAGTTGGAGGATTCCTGACCAGAATTATCTTTTCCAGGTGAAACTTAATCTTGTCAGCCTAATGTCAGTTTCATTTGATAGATTGGGAATTGACCTAGTCTTTCACATGTTGTTTTGCCATAATTTTTACACTTAAATCTCTCTAACCTATGTGAGGAATTTGAAAACTTCTAATGATGTCATGTTTGCTTCAGCTGATCATTTTGGCCTTTAGATGTTACTGTCATCCAGCATATTCCTTCACCTCTCCACATTGCAACAGCTTGATGGTTACATAGGGAACATTTGACAGCTTCCCATCATGCTCTGTAGGCTCTGCATGGTAATGAATCGGTCCCAACATAATAATGATAAGAGATACTGTCACATGGCTGTTAAAATTGAAATACTTTTGTGGACTGTGTTTCTCTGATCCACTCCTATTGGGGGAGAATGAAGCTAAATGTGGCATGACTTGCCGTTGTGGGTTCATGAGCCCCCCACCCCCCTGAGTGTTCGTGAGTTTTTCATGCAGTTGTTTCTTCTGGCACTTAGCCCAGGACCACTTACAGGCCAACTAGTTCGGTACTTGGCTTTCACTTTATTTGTGAGCCGTAACAGTGGGTATGCCTACACAGCTCGTAGGCACACTTAATTTCCTCACTATGTTCTACTGAGAGGGCTTAGCAATATTAACACCCCAGTAGCCACAGCACACCAAGCACCCAAACCTTGGTTTCAGAGTAGCAATCACCAATTTAGAAAAACAGGATTTCTTGACAAAGCTGAACTGAGCATAGAGGGAAAGCGGCACTAATTTGTTTCCCCCCCCAACACTTCTGCCACACTCCTCCATCTGTCACTACGTTCGCCACCTGTGGTGCTTTCTCCCAGGAAGCAGTTCTCGGATACCAGCCGGCTGTCCTACATTTAACTCAGTTCCAACACTACCTGGAGATGGGATGAAATCCCACAGGTTAAGAGTTCAGCCCCCCTCCCCCGTCTTTAGATGCCAATTCCAAGTCCAGGAGGTTATCTGTGCTGCAGATTCTGACCAACTGGCTGTGAATCTCAGGTTCCAACAACCCCTTCCTTCGGTTCAATTAACTTGCTAGAGCAGCTCACAGAACCTAGGAGACAGTTTACTTACTAGATGAGCAATTTATTATGAAAAGATAGGAACAGCCAGCTGGAAGAGGTGCAAAGGACGGCATGTGGGGAGGATTGCAGAACTTCTGTGCTTGCTTCTAAGCACCTTTGTGTTCAGCCCAGAACATCCCCAAACCCTGCATGTTGGTGGTTTTCCTGGAGCCTTCTCATTTACATGATCGATCATCAGTAGTTTCTAGCTCCTCCCTGAAGGATGGTGGATGGGGCTGAAAGGCCCAAGTTTTTAATCTCAGCTTGGTCTTTCTATGACCTGGAGCCACCAACAGTCATGAGAACAAAAGCCATTCCTGTCACCCAGGAAATAGAAATTTAGGATTTAGGAGCTTCGTTTGGAACTCGGGCCACAAGATGCTCCTCCTGCTTGTGTCACTTAGGAAACCACACGGTTGCAGGAGCTCTGCACGAGGAACGAGGCAGAGGCCAACACGTCTTCTTTCTTGTTCTCTCTCAGGTGATAGAGGTGAGGCAGGTGGGTCGTGCCAGAAAGCAAGTAAATGTGGAAAAGCAGAAGGATGGGGGCATGTGAAACAGGAGCCAGCCTGAAAACCCCCCAGTGGCCAAAGCTGGAGCAATTTGAGAACAAAATAGCAATATTGGTATAAATTATATGTGACTCCATAGCGACATAACTAAATGAAAGGAAGAGAGACAGCTTTCTTACAGAGGAATTCTGAATAATGGTATAGATCCCTTCCCAAGGAGTGGCACCTGACTCCCTTTTCTTTGAAGAGACTGGCCTGTAAAGAAGATTCTGGAGAAGGAAAACAGTCATTACAGTGGAGAAACCTGTACTCTAGCTTAACCAAGTGATTGAGGCCACACGTATGCTCCCAAAGTGTGATGACAAGAATAATACTATCTTGTAGTCTCCCAGAAAACATGAATGGTCTAATTATGAGGGAAATGTTAGACACAGCTAAATTAAGGAACATTCTTAAAGTAAGATCAAGGAAAACTGAAAACTCAGAGGAAGCATGACAGCCAAATGAATCCTGGAATAAAAAAGCAAAACACTAGTGGAAAACCTGGTAAGTGTAATTTAGCTGATGACAATGTGCCAGAGTTCATGTATAACTTGCCAAATGAACCATGGTTATGTAAGATGTAAAAGAAGAAACTGAAGAGTTCATGGGAACTCATCATTGCATCCCTTGGAAATCTCGAGTTATTGTAAACCAAGTTGTTTAATAAAGGGTCAGTTTCTGGCATCTCAATACCATTCTCACTACCCAGGACTTCTCAAATATCACAATTGTTCCTTCTCCATGTGTATGATAAGATCTGTAGATACAATGAAATGCAAGCCACGTGGGTAAACTCAGAAAAAGTTACACACCAGAGACTGTCTACAATCCTTGACTGCTTTGATTCAGAGCAGCTGAACCCTCACTTTCTTCAGGGACCCTAACATTTCCACTCAGGTAATAATTCTCCAGAATGGGCATGACAGGTGTCTTACTGTGCACTCAATAGAGTGTGTCTACGTCTGAGTGTCCTCCTCCATATTCCACACACAAAAAAAATGTCTTTCTAAGTTTTTGTCATCAGCAATTGCATCTCTTTCTACCATGTAACCTTGAGAAGTCACAATCCCTGGTTTCCATTGTACACTTACTTGGTTGAAAGGAAACCATCACAAAAGTCCTCCTAGTTACAGGGAGGGAGACAGTCCCCATCTCTCCGAAGGTGAAATATCTACATCACACTGTAAGAAGCACAGTTGGGGTGGGACAGATGGTTTCAGTGGTCTTTGGGAAAATAGCAACCTGTCAGATCTGGATTCACCATTCATAAGGTAGTTTCAAGAACATGCCCAAGTGATCTTCCATAAATGCAAATCTGACCCTGTTAACTTACCAGAATTTTTCAGTAAGCTCCCCATTGTCTGCAAACAGTTCTGCCACCAGGCCAGCACCAAACCATCTGCAGCTCTCAGAATATGCCTCCACGCATTCAAGCTTTCTGCTCAGGCTAATGCTCACTCCTTTGACAGGTCTTAGCTCGTGGCACCTCCTCTTTGGGGCCCTTCTTAAGTACTTACCATCTTCCTTTGGGTCACCCCCAACCACCATCAATCACAGTGCTTATACTACTTTACTGCACTTCTTTATCTCCACCAAAGTGTGCCAATCTTGGGGGCAGGAACCATGGAGTAATCATTTCTTGGTTCATGGGAGACTTAATAAATGCTTATTGGTTGGAGAAAAAAGACCTTTTGTTTTTTATATTAGGGCTAATAGCTAGTGTGAAGCCTGGGGATCTGATCCAATTCATAGAATAGTATTTTTAGGTACCTTTGTAATTGCTTTTTATTTTGTTGGTCATTGTCCTAAGAATCAAGTTGTTTTGACGACAGTGGAAACCCTATTGTAAAGTGCCTGTTTGCTATATGTTGTCATTAATTTCTACTGGGTAACCTGAACTCATCTCAAAGACAGCATCTAAAATAACCTTTTTTTTTCCTCCCCACCTTCCCCACCTGCCATTCCCCCCTCCCCCCCCAAAAAAAAAGAAAGGGGAGGGAGGACAAGAAAAAGAAAAATACTATCCAGCTTTCCCCTCCTTTTGTTTCTCTCAATCTTTGATTCAGAAAATTAGACTTTTAGAAACTTGAGGACTGTCAGAGATCATCTGGACAGACAACATGTAATTTGTGTAGGTGAGGACTCCAAAGCATAAGTTGCTATGTGACTTGTCTGCCGTCTGTCTCTCAGCTATTCAGTCTCTCATAAACGGGAGTAGAACCCAAATGCTTAAGTCTAGTACCCCAACCTACTAAATCTAAGCCCTGAGTTCTCGGGCCTGATGGTGCATTAGACACTCCTGTTCACTTCTTAATTTTCTAAGCCTGGAGTAAGATCCAGATATATGAATATTAAAAAGTTTCGGTTTGAAAATAAGTCACCAAGTCCTACTGGTTCTTTACAGCATCTCGGGCTCCCTCCCCACTCTGACCCCATTTCCACCTCTAGCCCCATCACTCCAAGCCTGGCTTCTGTGCTTCAGTACAGCTTGCCACTTCTCAACTCTTAAGGCATGCAAGAGTCAACCTAGCTCTTGTTTAAAAGCTCACCTCCTGGGCCCACCGTTAACAATTCTGAGAGAGGTCTAGGGCAAGGCCTGGGAATCGCATGTTGAACGAGCAATGGCAAGGGGGTTGCTTCTCACACAGGTGGTCCAAAGATGATACCATGAGAAACACTTCAGTAAAAAATGTTAACCCTCTGGCCAGGCATTCAAGGCCCTCAACCATCAGGCCATTCTCTTCAGTCTCATTTTTCACTTCTTCCCAGCTTGCTGGTTCCCCGCATTCTCCTGCTTTCCTTTACTCATGTTGTTCTCTCTCCCTGCAATTTTCCACTTCTTCACCAACCCCAACTCATTCCTTCCTATAAAAATCCTGTGCATCCTTCAAGGCCCAATTCAAAGCCCACCAACTCCCAGGAAAATGACCCATCTTATCCGGATAAGCTGTTAAAGAACAAGTCCAAGCCCTGGCTGGTGTAGCTCAGTGGATTGAGCATGGGCCTGTGAACCAAAGGGTCACCGGTTCAATTCCCAGTCAGGGCACATACCTGGGTTGCGGGTCAGGCCCCCAGTATGGGGTGCACAAGAGGCAAACACACACTGATGTTTCTCTCCCTCTCTTTCTCCCCTTTCCTCACTCTCTAAAAGTAAATAAATAAAATCTTAAAAAGAACAAGTCCATGTCATATTTTAAAAATCACTAGGGCATCATAGGAAAAATAGCTTTTTAGTAAAATATTTTTACTAGGTTGGAGAACTCAATGATGAACTCATATGTATTTATATTTTCATTTTACAGTCAAAAAAAGTGAAGTAGAGTGTCTGATAATACTTTTTCAGCGCTTGGTGGGAAAAGCCAGTGTGCGACTTGATAACGCTGGACTAGACCGTAATGCCTTCCGGACCGTCCTGTACAGCTTGTTTGGGATGACTGATGAGAAGCTAATGAACAGGGGTAAGAAGGCACGAGAGACTGAAATGGGCCAAGCTGAGATAGCAAACGTGTACATGGCATACATATCTATGTAGATTAATATATGGCAAGTATATGTTTAATTTTTATCAAAGACTTTGAATTTTTTAATGCCAAACTAAAAAGATAATCCTGGTAGTGCCGACAATACAAATTAGTAGTTGACTTTATGGCCAGGATGGTTTTTAGTATAAGGTCGTCAAGGATTTATCTCATGGGTGTACCACTTGGAGGGATAACCTGGAATGGACTAAATAAAAAAGCATTGCTTTCAAAGATAAACATGTGGCTTTTAGTCACAATGTTTGTGGATTCATATGGTGTAGATGTGTACATTTGTAAGTGACTTTTTCCTCATAAAAATGTATCAGTGCAAAACTGATACTCATTACACTGAAAAAAAAGGTCATTTATCGTGAAATAGGAAGTTATTTAATGTGATCTATTTTCACTAACAGATTTTTAGTGTTAGTTTGGTAAGTTTTGACATACATATGTATGCCCTTGGAAACATAACCATAATCAAAATAATTAACATATCCATTACTCCCAAGAGTTGATATTTTATTTTCTTTGGGATAAACTTTCATTGGTGATTTTAAAATAATGCATTATTTTAGTAATTTACCTTTAGGCATTGTACAAACACTTTAGAACAGCGTTCTGCCACTTTTTTAGAATAAAAATAACCACATTGATTGGCTCCATCACTGGACTTCTTGACTTACAGTAACTGTACAAAACATCGCAAATGAAGCTCATCATTGAGCATGGAGGAGAATGGCTCTTCCTGTGAAAATCTGGGGGAAACATATAAGAGTCATTTTGACTCTTTCAAGAAAGATGGTGGCAAAACCCTTTTTCCCCTCTCAGTTTGGGAGGAAGTTTTTAAAAATCTATTCTTACATACATACATACTCTTGAATTATAAAATAGCTGTAAGTTATAATACATTTATATGGTCTTTTTTCAGTATTTTTTGCATTTGACAAAGACAATGACAACTGCATAAACATAAATGAGTGGGTTGCAGGATTATCAGTGTTTCTTCGAGGGACTTTTGAAGAAAAGCTGAAATGTAAGGATCCTATATGGGATTGCTGGTTTACTAATATAGACTGCCAATTTTTTATTTAGTGAATGTTTCAAGTTTTTAAAAAACATGAAATTAGTGTTCTCTATAGCAACCTTGCAAAAACAGTTCACGGCAGCTTTTAAAAATAAAAGCCAGATGAAATGGGTGGCCTATTTCACAGGAGAGTCCCTAATCCCAGGACCCCAAACACTTCCTTCGCTGGCTCTGCAATGCTCACCAGGATGGGTCTTTGGCTTGGGCCCAGGCTACTGACTGAAACTGAGGGCAAGGGCTTATGCCAACTCTAATCAGCTTGCAAGACGGAGCTGCTGAGGCTTTCTCTGGGCTCAGCAGCAAACAGGCCTTCATATGGGGCAGTGCGCAAGTCATGTTAGGGCCCTTGCTTGTCTTCTCATTAAAAAAATGTGAGGTATAGACACAAAGGAAGGTGAAGCACATGTTAAACCACCAGACATCGGTGCCCCAGTTAGTGCAGATGAGTGTAGAGAGGGGAACGCCTAAGGACAATGAAAGGCAAAGGGGGGAGGATTATAAAGAGAGTTTCTTACAGAAAAATAAAAATCTCCCGGTTCACCATTTTGCCTAGAAATAACTCTGGCCTCACCCCACTGTAACAATGGAGTGATGAGTATTTCCTATAGTTTACACCTCTGGAGCCAGGATTTGGGGTGAGAAACCCCGGAAAGAGAATTTTAAACAATTTTAAATACCAGTTTTCAAGGGAACATCGCTTCGCATCAAATTGCTTAAGGTTGTGGTGTTCTGAGGAAGTAAGCAAAATTTTTATTCCTTCTTATTTTTCCACTTGGATTTGGATTTTGAATGTTCAAAAGAAGATCCTTAAATTAAACATCTTTACACAGCAATAGCAACATTAAAAAATCATCAACTTTCTGACAATTATACTTTATTGTTTCTAGTTTTGTTGTTTTCTTTGGTCTAATTTTTTACAGGATAACATTTAAATATAGTTGCCATTTAAGCTTGTTGCAACATTCCTATACAAAAGTCTCAATGAAAAGTGAAAAGCCAACTTTCTTGGATGTAAATTCTTGTGGTAATTCTAATACCTTGTAAAAATGGTTATGATATCAAAAGTAGCCATGCATGACTGAATAGCAACTATCAAAAATTATTTTCTCCTCTAACCTCACTTCCATGAATATGGAATATGGTATACGAAATATGAAAAAATATTTCATGTTTCAGGATATATCAGTTTGGGGGAAAATACCACTTCTAGTAAGGTTGTGTTGCAAACTCATATGTTCAACAGGTTAGGAGAAACTCAACAAAAGACAAAGCCAATCTGATCACCCTGAAGTTTTATACGTGGTTCTACTGCTTTTGCTAAAACATTGAACTGGATCACAAGCTCTTTCACTGCTGTATCCCCAGGGCCGGAGTAAGCACCTGGGGACGAGTGAATGAGCTGTGGTAGCGCTTACTTCATGAGATGCAGGTCACTCCCGGGAGAGGTGGAACATGTTGGGTAGTGCAGTCGCCCCCATGAGGGGACCAACTCACTTCCCAAAGATGCTGATGTTGTCAGTGACATAGCAACGTGTGTGCATATTTTGTACACTATGTATGAAGAGAATCAATGCTGAGATTTCATACACATGTATATGTGTATTGTATGATCAGAGATTTAAAAATATGTATCCCCTTTATTGTAGCTCAAAATCCTGAAGTTATGTCTTCACATTCCAAGGGGTATTTAATCTTGATGAAAGAAATATAACAAAGGGTGCTTTATTTTAAAATCTCTCACCACATAGGCCAATAATTGTAGGTTGTATAATTTTTTATATGTTGAAATAACTAAGGAGATTAATAACATTTTAACTGTCCTTATCCGAGTCTTTAAACTTCTTATGCTTTGAAAAGTCTGTTTTGAAGTTTACTATTTGAATGGTGACGATGGCCACATTTCTCAAGAGGAAATATTTGACCTGTTGAGGAACAGCCTACACCAACTGTCATCTAAGGAAGAGACTGATGAAGGAGTAAAAGAGCTGGTAGACATAACACTGAAGAAAATGGTAAGGATGAAAGACTGTAATTCTTTATATCCAATCAAGTGGGTGTTGGATAAAGCTAAAGATGCAGAGATTGTTTGCCTCCATAATAAATGTAACCTGTATGAGGGCAGGAATTTTTGTTTGTTCTCTGCCCTATCCATTGCCTAGAACAGTGCCTGGCTGACAGTGGGTGCTCAGTAAATATCTATGGAATTGATGGGTGATTAATCACCCCACCAAATTAATGTTAATTTTCTTAGCTTCAAATATTTTAATATCAATAAAGTCTCATTAATTGGGGGAAGCTCCAGGGTTAATTTGTATAAAACTGGATGCTATTCCAGTCGGTCGTTATAATCTTAGCCTTCCAATTTGTCTAAACACTTAACTCTAACAAAATAATATAATCATAAAAGTAGTTGTTCCTTATAGAGGACTTACTGTATGCCAGACCCTTCACAGAACTTAATATAGGAACTTATTTTATCCTTAAAACAACCCTGGGAAGAACAAATTATCTCAATTTTGCAGATGAGAAAGCTAAAGTGCTGGTAGGTTTACACACTAGAAAACCAGGTGCAGAATGAATCTTTCAATGAAACCAATAATATTGATTTATTATGGACATAGTAATGTCCATTTGGGGGAAGTCCAAGGTCAAGGTGCCAGCTGATTCACTTCCCTGGCGAGAGCTCCCTTCCTGAGTTGCAGACAGCCTCCTCTTTAGTATGTCCTGACATGGCAGAGGTTGTTCTGGTCTCTTTCTCTACTTAAAAGAATACTAATTACATCATAAAAGCATCTAAACCTAATTACCTTGTAAAAACCCCACCTCTAAATATTACATTGGGGGTTAAAACATAAGAATTTGGGGACACACATTCAGTCCCTAATACCAGGAACATTTATTTATTCAATTAATAGGAATAAAGTGGCCCCCTTAAATACTTTTTTAATTTTTAAAAAATATTTTATCTTGAGAGGGAAAGGGAAGGAGAGAAGGAGAGAAATATGAATGTATGGTTGCCTCTCGTACGCGTGCCCCCCTCCCCCCAGGAACTGGCCTACAACCCAAATTAATTCCCGGTCAGGCATGTGCTCTGACCGGGAATCAAACCACGATCCTTTCGTTTGCAGGCCCACACTCAATCCACTGAGCTACGCCAGCCAGGGCTCCTTAAATATTTTTTTTATTTTAATTTATTTTTTATTGATTATGCCGTTACATTTGCTCTATTCCCCCCTCCCTTCCCCTCCACCCTGCATACCCCTCCCCCACCATTTCCCCCTTTAGTTCATGAACATGTGTCTCAAATTCTTTAGATTCTGTATTTCCCATACTATTCTTATCCTCCCCCCTATCTATTTTCTATCTACTGTCTATACTACTTATTTTCTGTACCTTCCCCCCCCTTCCCCTCCTCCCACTCCCCTGTTGCTAACCCTCCCTGTGATCTTCATTTCTATGGTTCTGCTCCTGATCTAGCTATCCTCTTAGTTTGCTTTTGTTTTAGGTGTGGTTCTTAATAACTGTGAGTTTGCTGTCCTTTCACTGTTCATCTTTTTTATCTTCTTTTTCTTAGGTAAGTCCCTTTAACATTTCATATAGTAAGGGCTTGGTGATGATGAACTCCTTGAATATGACCTTATCTGAGAAGCACTTTATCTGTCCTTCCATTCTAAATGAAAGTTTTGCTGGGTAGAGCAATCTTGGTTGTAGATCTTTGGTTTTCATGACTTGGAATACCTCTGTCCAGCCCCTTCTTGCCTGTAAGGTCTCTTTTGAGAAATCAGCTGACAGTCTGATGGGAACTCCTTTGTAGGTGACTGTCCCCTTAGCTCTTGCTGCTTCTAGGATTCTCTCCTTCATTTTAATCTTGGCTAATGTAATTATGATGTGCCTTGGTGTGTTCCTTCCTGGGTCCAACTTCCTCGGGACTCTCCGAGCTTCCTGGATCTCTTGGAAGTCTATTTCCTTTGCCATCTTGGGGAAATTCTCCTTTATTATTTGTTCAAATAATTTTTCAACTGGTGGTTGTGCCTTTCCCCCTTCTGGTACCCCTATAATTCGGATGTTGGAACGTTTAAAGATGTCCTGGAGGTTTCCAAGCCTCTCCTCATTTTTCTGAATTCTTATTTCTTCATTCCTTTCTGCTTGATCATCTTTTTCTTCTGTCTGGTCCTCTCCCTTGATTTGAGTCCCAATTTTCTTTCCATCACTATTGGTATCTTTTGTATCAGCATTCATTTCAATTAATTTAGCTTCCATATGTTTCTCTAATTTGTGAGTAAAATCCACCAGTTCTGTAAGGATCTTTATAACCAGTGTTTTGAACTGTGCATCTGAGAGACTGGCTATTTCTTCATCACTTAGGTCTATCGGTTCTGGGGCTCTGAGTTGTTCTAGAGCCATTTTTGGTTTATTCGTGCTGTTTAGTGACGCTGTGTGTGGGGGCGGGGTCAGAGAGGGAGCGATGGCGTTCCTCTCTGCTAGCCCAGCGCATCCAGTCAAACGCCTCGGGCTTGCTTATCCGATCCTAATTTTGCGAGCCTGCTGCACCGCGCTGGTTTCCCTTCTCACTGGTTTCTCCGCACGTAAATGCGCGCGACTGAGCGACCCACCGCGCCTATTCCCTGTGCGCTCCGGCAGCCAGCTCGCTGGCGATCAGCCCTCGGTTGCCTGGGCGCCCCGCGCACCGCCCGGGAATTTTTTCTTGCTAACCTGCTCTGCTTCTGGCCTCGCTCCTCATACCGGTCCAGCCGAGTATCTAGTTGTCCTTTGGACTCCATATTGTCTATTTTCCGTGTGGCTTGGTTGTGACTGCTGTTAAAAATAGTTGTTCTTAGATTTGGTTGTGCACAGAGGCGAGGTGGACCCTCCACCTACTTCTCCATCTTGGCGGAAGTCCTCTAAATATTTTTTTTTAAATTTGATTTGAGAAACATCGATTTGTTGTTCCATTTATTCATGCATTCATTGGTTGATTCTTGTGTGCCCTGATCAGGGATCTAACCCACAGCCTTGGTGCATTGGGATGATGCTCTCACCAACTGAGCCACCCGGCCAGGGCCAATGAGTACTTTTTCACTTATGTAGGTAGTGCCTAAAGAATATGAACCTGCCCTGGCTGGTGTAGCTCAGTGGATTGAGTGCAGGCCTGCAAATCAGAGTATTGCGGTTCGATTCCCAGTCAGGGCACATGCCTGGGTTGCAGGCCAGTTCCCAGCAGGGAGTGCATGAGAGGCAACCATACATTGATATTTCTCTCCCACTCTTTCTCCTTCCCTTCCCCTCTCTCGAAAAAAATAAATAAAATATTTTAAAAAAAGAATATGAACCTAGTTTTATTTGGTGTAACCTTTCATTCTAGATAGTTCTTTTCCACGCAAAATTAAAAAAGTACTCAATCATTTATCAAGAAATCACCTTCCTCTCTAGGATTATGACAACGATGGCAAGATATCTTTTGCAGACTTTGAGAAAGCAGTGAAGGAAGAGAGACTTCTGTTGGAGGTGTTTGGACAATGTTTACCGGAAGCAAAGGTACAGTGTCGACAGCCCATATTGCTTGAGGGAACATATTAAAGATTCTGAAAACGAGACTTGCTAGACACTCACCTTTGTAGGGCTTCAGCCCCTGCCAGGTTTAGGCAACCACGAAGGATTCAGTCCCATCCTAGTGTTTTGGGAACCAAGACAGTAGTGACGATTTAAGTAATTATATTCAATAGACATTTTTTTTTTAGCTTGCAACCTCAGCTATACTCAAGTCCTGATTTCCTAATATACTCAAGCATGTTAATATTTTCCCAAAGAAATTCAACACTTTTTTTTTTTTAAGCTTGTAACTTCAGCTCTACTTGTCCTGATTTCCTGTATGTTAGTATTTTCCCAAAGAAAACCAGGGCGTATTGAGCTTAAGGGACAGAACAGTGAATAAGGCAGATGCAGCAAGAACTGCTAGGAGAAAACTTGACTTCTTTCAACCCAAATGTTGCCAATGAGAAAAAAAAGTTTTAAAAATTTAAGGCACATACTTAGTACTTTAGTGTTTTGTGGCCATAAAGGTTTGTTTGAATTTGACTAAAGTTTTCTGAGCTCTAAGAGGCAGCCTCATAATTCATGACTCATTAACATTTCCTTTAATTCTACCTTTGATCAACTATGCTTTGCAAACATGATATATAAAGACAATTTTTCTTTTTTTCTAAGGAAATTTTTTCTCTGGTAACTTAGATTTTTGTGAATGAACATGAATGATGTTAAACTATCCTTAGCCATCTCAGCTCTCTTCATTTGTTCCACTGTAGTTTATTCCCACATTTAAAAAAAAATCCTCACCAGAGGCTATTGATTTGAAAGAGAAGAAAAACCTATTTGCTGCCTTCTGTACATACTCCAACTAGTGATCAAACCCACAACCTTTTGGCATATGGGACGACACTCCAGCCAACTGAGCTACCCAGCCAGGGCTATTCCCACATTTTAATTTTCTGGAAATGTTGGTAAAAAACTATAGAATAATGGATCTGGTTGGAGTAACTATTTAGGTCTGGATGGAACACCAGCAGTTCTTCAGTTGCTCCCAGAGTCTGTACAGCCTCGCTACTCAGTGTAGTCTGCACCGGCGCAATGGGATCACCTAAGAACTTACGGGAAAAACAGAATCTCAGACCCCACCCGAAACCAGTCGAGTCAGAATCTTTTTTTGGTGCCTTCTTCAGTTATTTTTGACAGTAAAAATATGGAAACAGCCTGCATATAATTGGATTTCCATTGTGTGGACTACTAACAAAAAAAAATGTGTACTAAAAGTACTGGTAGAAGTCTAGTATTTACAAATTGTAATTTGTTTCTGCCTTGGATCAAGTAAATTCTTCTTACAAGTTAAGCATGTAAGTTTCTAATTTCAGCTTTTCTAATAGTTTATTAACTTTTTTACTTTACAGATTTGTCTTGATTTTGAAGCCCTGGCATTCAGACACCTAAACACATCATGACTTCTAGTTTTTTAATGTGAATCACTCAATACTTGTATTAAAATAAAAAACATTTTGGTTACTGTATTTATTTCCTTCGGTTAATCTGCATATAGTTAGTGCAGTGTGAGAATAAGAACAGTTTCTGTAATAATAAGTATGGGTCAAAATAACATCTATAACAGGTAACGATAAGCTATTTCATTTTATTTACTTAAGTTAGCTAGCAGCCTTGGATCTTATAGCAAATACTGTGAATCGGGCACTCCCAACCCTCTTTTCTCTTGCTTCCTCAACCACAGGAGATAGAAACTGAAAACATTCACTATCCCAGACTTCTTAGGTAAGAACAGTCATGGGCCCAGTTCCAGCCAGTGAGATGTAAGCAAAGGCACTGGGTGGAGTTTCCAGAAAAGTTTTATTAAGGGAAATGGCTGGCATGTATTTTGTCCACGACAAACTAATTTTAAAAGATGAAACTAAATTAGACAAGTAGCTTGAACAAAATTACAGAGAGGAATGCACTGAAAAAAAAATTACCAATAGTCAAATCTCTTCGAAAATTAAAATGACGGGCTAAAAATAAAAAATTCATTACTCCTTTAGAAAATATTAATTTGCTACTAGTAATCTTATATTCTTCTTCTTTGTTTTAATGGATGGCTGGTATGCACTTCTTCCAACCTGTCCTCTGGAGGCTTTGGCACAGGTGAAGCGACCTAGTTTTAAAAGAGAGAACCAACAAATCTTAATTTTTCCAGTATAAGAGTTAATGAACTATCAGAAGAGGTAGAACAGATATCCAGTACTTCAATCCTTGCTATCATGTTTGAAGCAGAGCTAGCTCAAGTTCAAGGTTCAGGCTACAATCTAGGCACAGAGCAAAGTTTTCTGTCCAAACATCGATGGAAGTAAAATTTCAAAAGAAATTTAACAGGGAAAAGAAGTTGAGGGGAGAGAAGTAAACATATGCTCTCCTTTCACATTCCTTCACAGATCTGGAGTCACTTGTTTTTGGATACAGATATGGAGCCTGGCTGCACACACCTTGAAAGAGTGATAATGTCTAATATATTTAGGGACATGGATGCTTGTGGGGAGGGAATGAAAAATTTGAATAAATAATCAGAAATTGCCTTCATTTCTTAGGGAAACTGAAATCAAACATCATGAAAAAATGAGAAGACAATAAGTTAAAGCAGAGTAAAATGGTCTTCACTTAAAAAAGAAAATTATTAGAAACTAGTAAATTATATTTAGTATTTCTTCTTTTTGTTGTTCTACTATTTTCTCTATTTCTTATTACACAAATATTGTATTATTATACAAATTATTTTAGAATTAAACACCAAGTAAAAGGATAGAATTTCTTCACAAATCAAATGTTTTAATTTTCCATGATTCTTCTGAAGCCTTGACAATATGTGGACAAAATTTTTAACACAGTAGTAAACATAGTGTATACACGATTTGTTTATTTATTCATTCACTAAATATTAAGTGCCAATGTTATGTTAGGAGTTTGGGATAATTAGGCCCAAAAAAAAATCTCTGCTTTCATGAAAATTAAATTCTGGGAGATTGAAGACTGACAGTGAAAAAGAAGTTATATTATTACTAGAAAGTGATGAGCACTTTGGTTGAAAAAAGAGGAGGTATGGCCCTGGCTGGTGTAGCTCAGTGGATTGACCATGGGCCTGTGAACCAAAGGATCGTGGTTCAATTCCCAGTCAGGGCACATGCCTAGGTTGCAGGCCAGTTCCCAGCAGGGGGTGCACGAGAAGCAACCATACATTGATATTTCTCTCCTTCTCTCCTTCCCTTCCCCTCTATAGATAAATAAATAAAATGTTTTTTTTTAAAGAAGGTATGGAGTTGGGGGTGTCAGAGAAGCGGCGAGGTGGGGGGATGTCATTCTATTTCCATACGTAGGCTTTGGACCTGACATGTTTTTCTTGAAAACACAGTCAGCTGTGGCTCAGACAGCCTATGTATATCTGCACCTGTGCCTCAGTTCAGCTGTGTGTGAAGCAGGAAGGGCACCAGCACAAACTAAAAAATTCAAAAAGAGGCTTAGACACAGAAATTGTGTCCGTGGATTTGTTTTTTAAATCCTCATCTGAGGACATACTTTTCATTGCTTTTTTTTATTTTAGAGAGAGGAAGGGGGAGAGTAGCATGAATTGGTTTCCTCCTTATGCGCCGGACCAGAAATCGCACATGCCCATGCCTGGACCAGGGACTGAACTGCAACCTAGGTATGTGCCCTGACTGGGACTCAAACTTACTACCTCTTAGGCTACAGGACACTTCAACCAACTGAGCCACGCCAGCCAGGGCTGCATGGATGGATTTTTATTATTATAAAAACAAACCTCTTATCCTAATCAGATAATTTTCAGGTAAAAAAATATACATAAAGTTAGTTAAGCTACCATAGTCCCCTCCTTACTCACATTATAAAACATGTACAATAGTATGAAAAGCACTTTCTGAACCTAAGAAAACGGTCTTTCTCCTTCAGTTTTTGATTTCTAAGTCTTGCCCCAAAATAAGGTATTTCAAAAGCAAACTCAAATGTTAACTTTATTTGTGCTCAGAAACTGAAAAATGATTGTGCAAATAATGTAAAAAAATTAAGTAGAAAAATCTAGTTCTACTCTAAGAAGTTTACATTTGAAATGCAAACCTTACGTATTAATCGTTAGATGCCTCACCTTCTTCTGTGGTCACCTCCATCAAAGAAGCAAACAAGCATTCTGAATTTAATGTAATTTGAAATAACTCAATTTAAGAAAAATAAATTGTCATAATTTTACGTCAATGCGGTAGTACTCTCCTTTGGCTAGTATTAGAACCCATAGGTATGAGGGGCACTTTAAAAAAAAGGGAAGGGCCAGGGAAGAGCAGAGCTTTCTCTGCTCTCACAGACTGACCTTGCTGACTGACACTGCTTTTCTACTTTATAGCGAGAGGGATATAAAGTATACAGGGTGGGACAAAGGTAAGTTTACAGTTGTTTATATGGAAAATAATACAATAGTTAATAAATAATAATACAAGAATAAACTCAGTATTTTGCATACTCACAACTGTAAACCTCCTTTTGCCCACCGTGTATTCTGTTTAATGTTTAAGACAAGGATTAATGATATCAAGGCATATAAATTTGTTAGTCAAATTAACAGAATTCCAGGAAAACACATCAGAAAATTACAAATATTAATGGCAATACTGTTGTTCTCATAAATAATTATTTAGTGTTAGTCTATAACCAAATCATCTCAGAGAAGTTTTCTTTAAGTGATCTTACCTCTTTAAGTTTATTCCGAATTAAGTCTGCTGTTGTATTCAATGAGTCATCATGCATATCCACTTTAGGTATACCTGGCAGCAAAGGCCCAATCAGAACCTCCTTACTGCTCCTGCTTGTTTCGAGAAAAGTTCCAAGTTTACGGTCATCTTCTCTTCGTCTTTTCCGCTCCTGTAGCTGTGTTGACCGAGGCATAAATCTGTCCACTGCCTCTGAAGGAGTAATAGCCTTCTGAGCACCAGGGCAGGCCACTGATTTTTTGAAAGTTTGCACCTGCATTTTCTGCAAAGAATCGTTGTGGTTGAAATGCCCCATTGTTCCATCACAGTTTCTGCCATCCTGAGAGGAGTGTGATGCTCTGTCCACATACTCTCCTGATGAACACACACATTTTGGGGAGAAATAACATAAAGGTAATTCACAAGAATAAGGGAGACAAGGATCTGAGTTCCCAGCAGAAGTGTTCAAAGCAGCTTCACAAAATCCAGGTTTCTCTGAATGGAAGTCTTGTCTAAAACCTTTCATGTCTTTATGCTCCATAACCAGTTTCTTCTTTGCCATGAAATGATCTTGGTATTACAATTTAAAAGGTGAGAGAAAGGGAAACAGAAATGGTTCATTTACATTCATCACTCAGAAAAGAGTTATTTTAAAAACAAACATTACTTTAAAATGCTAACAAACGCTACCCTAAAATTTTTATTTCTTGAGCAGGTAGTAGGTTCACGTGGTTTAAAAGCTAAAAAAGATAGGACAGCAGTGTCAAGCTACATTCTTTCTTTGCTCTCTATATGCCTGATTTCTACCCCCATAAGTAATCACAATTTTTACCTTATTTATCTGTCCACTATGTCTTACACTTTTCTTCTTCCACCTACCTCTTTCTCCCCTGAATACACATTTCTCTCACCTTTTTCAGTTAACTGTAGATCTTGGAGAGTTTTTCCATGTTGCTACATACAAAGCTGCTTTTCTTTTTCTTTACAGTTTCACGGTATTTTACTATATAAGTGTATATGCTGCTGAGTTTGTGCTAGTTTTTTTAGAGGAGGCAATCTGGTAGGCCCGTATTTAGTAACTTCCTTTGCCACTCATACACACATACAAATTTGCATGTAGCTACTAATTTACATATCCCACAGATTAAAATTCAGAATCTACAGGTAACCAGGGACTCTCAACAGTTCTCTCGACAAATTTTCAGGTAAAATTTCCAAGAGTCTTCCCTTTATTTCTCTCTTCACCACTGCCACATGCCCATTCCCGAATCAACCCTAAGCTCACCATATTCAACAGCTGTAGGGACGGTGACTCTTTCAATTAAAGGGTGGAAGTCTGGTAATCAGAGCCTCTAGCAGTACTCAGATTCCAGAATGCACGCACTATCTTAATCCAGTGCCTACTGCTCTGATCCTACAGTCTGAATCCCAGACTCCAGGACTTCACTCCAGGCATCTGGAACATCTGTCTAGGGAAACTCAGTTGGGCAAATGGGGCATCTGGCCAGCTCCTGGCCAACAGTGAAACTTTTCCACTTTTAGCAGTTTTACATTAGCAGCTGTTAAAACTGGTCTGCAGATCTTAATTGTTTCTCACTGACTTTAGGTCAAAATTTTAACTCCCTGCACAGGACACAAGGCCTTTCACCATTCCCTTCCTATCCACTTTTGTCATCTCACTGAAGCCCCTGAGTGTGGTTATCTCATATAACACACAGTTCCTTAAGATTCACGATGCTCACTTATTCTGCTGGGCCTTTAAACATGCTACCTGGCCCACCTTTCCATTTCTTCTCCCTTTCTGAGTAATGTCTACTTATCCTTCAAAACTCAGTCACCTCTCTCATCCTATAGGAAGTCTTCCTTCCACAAACATCTCTGTCTTTCCAGCCAGATTATGTAACAAAGAACCCTGTTACAGTTATTGAATATTGTTATTTATTTGCCTCTCTGCCTACTATGCTGAGAGCTCCATAATGCTATACCTAGCAGAATTCCTGAAACATAGGTTTCAGTAACAGGCTTTCCATACCTTTATTTTTAGTAGCTCTTGCTATATAAGCCTTCCTCTCTTGTAGTTTTTTTCTAGTTTCTTCAACTGTTTCATATTCTGGAGCATAGCATACATGCAGCAATCCACCAAAGAAACTCTGCTCATCCATTTTTCTCTTGGCTATCCTAAACAGAAATACATGACAGCATGGTTTATAAATCTAGGTTTACTTAGGATGAAAGCTTGACTAGTATACAATGCACTGCTCTAAAGAACAAGAGGATGGTATCATTTACCAAATACTTATTAAACATCTACAACTGGCCAAGTGTTACTACAATAAATATTTGAGTACTTCTCTGCCCAGGGGTAATAAGAAATACTTACTGAGATTCTACCACGTGCCAGGCAGTATCCTAAGTGCTTCACTTGAATTAACACTGCACAACAACCCTATGACAAGAGTGAGGCCTAGGGAGATGCATCACTTGGCCATGAGCACACTGGTTAGTGGAGCTAGGATTCAAATCCGGATGTCAAACTCCAAGGCCTGTTATATTAGGTGCTGTTGAAAATGCAAAAACTCTAGAAAATATCCTTCTCTAATCATGGGGAGCTGGCAAGTTAGTTAGGGAAGTAGATTACATATAAGTGCAACCTGAGAACAACATCTGACCCCATAAAATAAGCACTTTATGGTAGACAGCAAGTGCTATTTGTGACACAGAAAATATGAAGTGTTAATAGCTGGGAAAGATGAGTCTTGGAACAAATTAGTAGAGGTCACATTAAAATAGATAAGGCATTTCACATTCCAGCTTTTGGGAGCAGACTTTATGTTATACAGAAGGCAGAAGTACATGCAGTTAATTCACACAGGTGCATGACAGTAAGAATCTCAATAGCTAAAGCTTACTGCATTCTGAACAGGAGATGCTATTCTAAGTCTTATACGTAGATTACTTCATTTCATCCTCACACAATCTCAATAAGCTGGTCCTCTTACTGTACGGATTTTACAGATTAGGAAAAATAGACTTAATAGCATTAAATAACTTGTCCAAGGTCATGATGTTAGTAAGCAGTGGAACTGGAAAACCTACTCCCAACCCAATTTTTAATGTACATGACAAAACTGTTAAGCATGGGAATAATGTGATGGGAAGTATTTTGGTAAAGCTAACATTCAAAAAGACTGGAGGAAGAAAAGAATAACACAGGGCTGTGTTAAGTTGTTGGGTAATTCAGGTATGAATGAGGGAAACCTGGGGCCAAAATAATAGCAATGGGAAGGAATGGAGGCGGATAAGACAGTATTTAACTTGCACATTACCTTGCACTTTGTAAATTCATAAATTTAATAAGATAAACTTCTGTAAAGTCTTCTGCTGGGTATTCATCTAGAGCATTATACTGTTCAATTGCACCATATAGAGCAAATCGCTCAACTAATTCCTTCATTGCTCCCACTGCAGGAACTCCTTGTATTAATAAGTACCGAGATTCCAAATTAATGGTATATACCTAAAAGAAATGTAAACAAGATAAATGTATGTCATCAATAAGCCTAGACAAACTGCTTTATAAAAAGCTGAAAAGCTTTGAAAACAAGAAATATTCTTCAACCAGTCTCCGGAAAACAGAAAACCAAAAAACTTGCCCTTCTAATAAAGAATAATTCACCCCACGTGAATTCACCTAACTAAAGCATACAACAGACTACCTTAAACTGACGTGTTTTCCAGAAGTTGGCTCGACAGAAGTTATTGGATAGTTACATATTCATTGAGTGTTTACCACATCGCAAGCAACAGTGTAAATACGGAAGATACAATGATTAAAACAAAGACACGTTTTCGTCGGGCCGACGTCCTCTTAGTTGACCAAAGGAATCGTGAAAATCTTTGGTACCTGATTACCATGGTTCCTCATACCTATCTTCAACGAATAAAGGATCTGATAGCAGCCTTTCAAGGCTTTATTTACATAGGCTGGGGGTGTAGAACTACAACTTACGTAAAGCTACCGAGGGTAAGAAATGAAACCAGAATCACTTTACCCTGACAGCACGGGGCCGTCGCCCCTCCCGATACTTGGCCCGAGTGTCACACACAGCCCTCTGCGTGTGGTGGTCGAAGAACCCGCCGAGTTCCCCACCACTCGACGCCATGTTGCCGGTTTTCGCCACGCAGAAACGACAACATCCGCTGGGCTGCACTCCCGTTTACCCAATAAGATAGAGGGGTGGGTCAAGGCGTGCCCGGATTGGCTGGAGAATCGACAGCGTCGGCCATCGTTTCCTGCAGCTGAGCATTCCATGAAGGAGGTGCCGCCCCCAAGCGAGCGGTGGAGAGGCCAGGAGAGAAGAAGGCTCGCTTGCCCTTCCCTCCACGGGCCGCTGGAGGCGCCCGGGAAGGGGGCGGGGCCTTAGGGCGGGGCCAATCGATGTTATCCAGCTCCGACGCGCCTGGCCCGTGAGGTTGGCCCGGGTCCGCTAGGGTGGGTGGCCCGGGCTTCGCGCGGCCGGCCATGTGGGGCAGCGAACGCCTAGTGGGTGCAGGGGGAAGTGGGACTGTCGTAACTGTGGCTTTCACCAACGCTCGTGACTGCTTCCTCCGTTTGCCTCGGCGCCTGGTGTCCCAGCTGCACCTGCTGCAGGTAATCCGCTGGCCCGGGACGGGGGGCTTCAAGCCCGGAGGCGGGACACCTGGTCGGTTATCCAGTCGGGCGAGGAGAGGCTTTCCCGGGACTTGGCGGCCGCGCCGACCTCTCCCGGTGGCGGGCATGGGCTATTTCCCGGCGTCCCCGAGCAGTGCAGAGGCCAGAATGAGGGCCTCTCGAGGGCAGGGACAGTTGGGGGCCGTGTCTGCGGCCCCCACCACGTCTGGTACAGCCCGGCCTTTAAGTGAACTGGCCTTATTCCAGGCCCTTCACTGGGTGAAACTGGGCTTTCAAACATCTTTATAGTCTAGTTTTGTATTCAAATATTACTTCAGGTTGGAAAACTCTTGAGAAGTTGTTTGTTGTTGATGTTTGTGCTTGCTTTTAAAAAATGTTTTGCCTCCAGCGATTTCCAGGTGTCTTCCAGCTGCAGACCGGGCCTCCAGAGGGAAAGCAGACTTGGTTTGTTAGCTTGACAGATTTTTTAGCTTAACAGGGGCTGAGCGCCTTGTCCCCGGAGCTCAGGGACAGATAGATAAAATGAAGGTTCTTCCCCGCGACCCCGCGGCTCGGAACACTGCCGAGCAGCGCCAGTGGTGTGCGGTGGATTATGCATACTTGAACGTGTGCAGTTAGGGTTATTTGAACCAATGCTGTCAGTTGCCGTTCTAGAGGTTCTGATTGTGATTCATGGCTCCAACCCTTGGCAAAGGTAGGGCGTCCCAGTATTCCCAATTAAAAAGAGAGACACTTGGCCTATGAGTTTGCGTGTACTATTGGGAGCAAAGGGCTAGGTCACAGCCGTACCTTAATTGGTTTGATTCCAAACTACTGCAATCTAACGAGTGTGGCAATAAAGCCAGTGAAGTGTCTTGCTTTTAATTTGTATAAACTGCCAACATCTGTGAAGTGCAATAAAGTGAAGCCCAATACAAGGAGATATACCTTTATTTGAAATCCTTGAAAGTCCTGAGTGTGTGGTAGCCACCACTGCATAATCCATGCAGGAAATATGTATGAGTTTGCAGTAATTTCAAGTATCCCACCTTTCCACTTTAGCCACTTTTTGTTACTTGTTTTTGTGGATCAGCGATTTTATATTAGCGCACCGTAGCAATTTTTAAAACATGCAGTACGTGACTATTTAGTCAAGTGCAGTGACCTCTTTTCCCATAGATTATCAAATTAAAAAATGAGAATGCACCCTGGCTGGGTAGTTCAGTTGGTCAGCATTTTCTCTTATGTACCAAGGTTGCAGGTTCAATTTCCAATTAGGGCACATACAAAAAGCAACCAATGAAAGCTTCATGAGTGGAACAACAAATCAATGTCTCTGTCTCTCCCTCCCCACCCCCTCCCTCTTGAAAATCCAAAATCAATAAAAAGTAAATTTTTAAAGAATGACCACAACCAACACAACAGTGGCCATCAGTTATGAATGAATCAAAAATTTACCTATTTTTTTGTCAAGTCATCAAAAAAAATATTTTTGGTGTGCTGCAGGAGGTTTAGGCAAAAGCAGGCAGTCAGTCATTTGTTGATTAGATTAAAGTAGCAAAGGGCTCCTTTCCAGTCTGTTCTTTTATTCTATCCAAGTGCCCAGGCGCCTTGTGATAGTTTTTCAGTAAGTACTGAAAAACTTCTGGCGTAAAAATGAACTGAGGTCATTAGTCTGCAAAGTTTACTAAATTCAGCTCAACGTAGAGTATGGCTTTAGGAGCCAGTTACTACATTTTGACCAAATGAATAATTGAAGTATTTTTTCATTTTAATAAAGTTGATTTTTCCCCTTTTCCAGTGAGTTGGTGAAATTCTCCTTTTTGATGTTTCAGGGCATACTTTATATTTCCTTACTTAACATTTCTGGCTTTATAATTGATCGCAGTTTTATGTCACTGACTTAGATGAAACACCACAGAAAGCATCTGGGGTATCAGTCAGCTTTACTCTTGTTACCTGTCAGCTCCCACAGTTCCAGCTGACTTTAGGGCTTTGGGCCGTACATCTAGGGCCCTTTCTACTTGATCACACTGTGCTCAGTGGAAAGACTTTTGTCAGCCAGAGCACTTGGACTGTCCTGTGAAGAATTGTGAGAAAAATTATATGACTAAGTGATACATGATGATATTCTTTTTTTCCTTTTTTAAAGATTTTATTTGTTTATTTTTAGAGAGGGTAAGGGAGGGAAAAAGAGAGGGAGAGAAATAACCTACATGCCCCCAACTGGGTCACCTGGTCTGTAACCCTGGCATGTGCCCTGACTGGGAATTGAACTGGTGACTCTTTGGTTTGCAGGCTGGTCCTCAATCCACTGAGCAATACCAGCCAGGGCGGTTTTCTTTATACAGCTTTAATAACATGGTCAATTTAAACTATGTTACTTCAGAAGTGGCTCTAATATCCTTGGAAATTTCTGTTTAAGTAAACACAATAAACAGACTATAACCAGTTTTGAGGTAGTAAAATATATATATGAATACATTTATTTAATAATTTATTTTGATGCTAGTAAATGAATTTGATAATACTAAGACTTCCTAATATGTTAAGTCTCAGTGGGCATGAATGAAATTCTCACTTTTTATTAAGAAATAATGTGTGTGAAAATGCTTGTGATACAGTGTTAAGTGGGGGAAAAAAAGGAAACTAAATCATGACTATATTATACAACTATGTAAAAAATTAACTTTTTACCAGAGGGGAAGGAGTGTAGGGGAGGACGAAGAGGGTAAAGGGGGGTCAAACACGTGGTGACTGAAGGAAACTAGACTTCAGGTGGTGAGCACAGAATGAGCCCATAGAAGTTGATTTATAAAACTATAGTGCACCTGAAGTGTATGTAATGTTATTGGCTAAAGTAATGTTTTTAATTTAAAAAATTGTGCATAGAAAAAAGGATTAGCCAGAAATCAATCAAATTGTACTCAAGGTTGTCTTTTTGTGGAGGAAATATCAATAATTCTTGTTTTTTCCCAACATTATATATTTTCTAAGGTTTCTATAATGAGTTTGTAATTCTTTAATCATAGAAGACACTGTTTTAATTCTTAGCCACAAACTTACATATTTTATATGAATGCTCTTAATGAGAATAAATGTTATTTTACTGTTTTTTGACAAATGTGTTTTCCTAGTTATAAAACTTTAAAATTTTATTTAGGAAGCTGCATAGTATAAAATTTCTGGAAATGTACATAAGAAACTAACAGTAATTACCTCTGTGGAAAGGGGTCTGCCCTCATGTTTTATGCTTTTGTACTTTCACTGTGTGCATTTGTTATTCTTCTAATAAGTAACTGCTGTTGTATTTTTAATGATCATGGTATGTTGCTAGTTATTGACTCATACTTCACTAAAATAGTAAATTTGTAGCTTATTTAATAATTTCCCTATTGATAGACACGCCAGTCCTAAGTTTTTATTGTTACAGAAAACACTGCAGAGATAGGTTTTTTTCTTTTTCTCATCATTAATTCACCTCCAGGCTATTAATTCATTCATTCATCTCCATTAATTCATCTCCAGGCTACATAAGTTCATTGGCTACCTATTGCCATATTGAATTCTGGAATGGTTGAGTCAATTTATAATGCCATCATGGTAATGTGTGTTGGTTTCACCTAAAGTATCACCAGTGTTGGGTGTTGGAAATGATTATAGCTTTTTAAATGCTGTAACAGAGGTGGATAACAGAGAGCAGTCAACCAGCTGTAGAACTGTTTTTGTGTTTGTGGACTACAGTAATAGTTTTATCATTTACGTGAATCCAGAAAAGCATGTAAAAACTTTCAAAACTTCTCCCCCCTTTTTTTATTTCTTGAACAAATAGAATCAAGCTATAGAAGTAGCCTGGGGTCACCAGCCTGCATTCTTGAGCTGGGTGGAAGGCAGACATTTTTGTGATCAAGGTGAAAATGTGGCTGAAATTAACAGACATGTTGGTCAGAAACTTGGACTGTCAAATGGGGAACAGGTAAGTACCAAAGGTGATCACACTGACTTTCTCCTAATGTCACGCAGTATAGAGATGGTAATAAAATTTAAAGTTCAGGTGTTTTTTTAGAGGAGGAGAGATGACACCTGTCCTGGACAGGATTAGTCTAGGATATTAATTAGTCCAGGATATTCAAGTTGACCCTGTATATCATTGTTAAGTCATTATCTTGTAGTCTACCATGCTCTATTTGATTTTTGTATTATATTTTGCTCATTTCCCAGGTTCCCTAATTTTGTTTTTGTGCAATTTTTGCTTTATAAATTATTTCACTTTACTTTAATTATTGAACTTTATTGTATTTGTTTCTGATGAATTTTATAACCTTCCAGGGTTATACTTGATTTTTAAAAATCTGTTCTATAGCCCTGCCTGGTGTGGCTTAGTGGATTGAGCCCTGGCCTGCCAACCGAAAGGTCTCCAATTTGATTACCAGTCAGGGCACATTCCTGGGTTTCGTGCCAAGTTCCCGGTTGGGGGCGTGCTTGAGGCAACTGATTGTTGTATCTCTTGTACATTGCCATTTCTCTCCTTCTCTTTCTTTCTCTCTTCTCCTCTCTCCCAAAGTAAACCAATAAAGTCTTTTAAAAAACAAAGAATTATACTTTAAAAAAATAAAAATCTATCCTATAAAAGAGGGTTATTATTCTTCCATTTTTTTGTCTTGCAATGACTTTAATGTACTTAGATTGTAAACTCCAAAGCTTAAGGACTACTCATGTCTATTTTATGATTTTATTATTTTCATCAATTTATTCTTTTAAAAACATTTTGAACTACAGAAGTAATACATTATTTATTACAAATACTTTACAATCGAAAGTAAAAAATGTTTTCTCTTTCTCTATTCCCAGCCTCAGAATAAATGTGTACTGTATGTTGGGATCTCACTAGACCTTTAGGATTTAAAGAATGAGGTCATACATATTTTCTGCAATTTTTCCCACAAACTATATCAGGGACACCCTTCCATGTAGTACAAACAATATGCATTGAACATCTCTGTGTATATGGAATGAAATAGTGAAAATTGAATTGCCACATCTAGAGGGCTGCACACTTAAACATGGATAGATGGCGCTAACTGCTTTTTATTACCAGTTTCCATTAACAGTACTATGAACAGTACACAGAAATGTCATCTTTTTAACTTGTTTTGAACACATTCACGTTTTTGATAATGAGAATAGACCACTGATGAGAAATCACAGGCCTAGCACTAGTCCTTTGCTTATTCTATATTTTTCCTAGAATCTTAAGTATTTAGCACCAGAGTGACCTTAGAAATATGACTAACTGTGGTGCCCTGCTCTATAAACCAGGGGAGATGGGATATTTTGCCCAGGATTTCATAATAAGTTACAGTTCTGCTCTCTGAGTACGTGCCACTTCCCTGTGAGGAATGTCAGCTTCCCATTGCTGACCTTGATGTCTCATCAGCATTCTGAACAGTCCTGCTTGTTTTGATCTCCCACTGGCTTCAAAGTGAACTTTTACCTGATTTTTTGTAGATACCCTATATTGTAGCAATACCATTAAGGTGATGTCTCCCAAAGCATCGTTGATAGGAACTAGAAATGGACTGGCTTGCTCAGGACTCTGACTTCTTGGTGGGCAGGGGCTGCTTTGTGCTCCTTCAGAATCACCCCCTTCACTTAGGGCATATGGGAGGTACTGAAGGGAAATTCACTGAGGAGTCGGGTAGGGCATGTGGGGCAATTCTGCTCCAGTCCACAAAAGCAGAGAAGGAAGGTCTGGTTACCTGGAGCATTTAATAGTTAGTTGGTGGCTTTGGATTTTAGTCCTCCAAGCTCTAGAAATGCTAACAGGAGAGGAAAGAAAGAAAGACGGCAGATTTCAGTTTCTCGCGGCACATGAGCACTTCCTGTAGCTCTGTAGACTGGAATGAGGGGTATTTGTTTTACTTTACTCTAATAGTAAAGTAATCTAGTATAATTTAGATTATACTTCTAAATTTAAATAATGGGTTGTAGGCCCTGGCTGGTGTAGCTCAGTGGATTGAGCACGGGCCTGCGAACCAGACAATCGCGGTTCGATTCCCAGTCAGGGCACATACCGGGGTTGCAGGCCAGTTCCCAGCAGGGGATGCATGAAAGGCAACCATACATTGATGTTTCTCTCCCTCTCTCCTTCCCCTCGATAGATAGATAGATAGATAGATAGATAGATAGATAGATAGATAGATAGATAAATAAATAATGGGTCGTTATCTCAGTTTGTGTGTTCCTTAGTTTTATAGAAATAGAAGAAGCATGGCTTGAAACTTAGTTATAAAACTAAGAGTTGCAAAACTAGAAATAACGGTATTTCTCTACTGGACCAAGCCATGACTTGATGATGGTGTTTCTTCTTACATTTTTTTAACTTACATTAGTTTTTTTTAAGTGGGTTATTGTTATTTTATAATATTATTTTTTAAATCTGTTTTGCTAGGATGTATTTTCCTTTTTGCTCCTAAAATGCTGTGTATATCAAGGTCTAGCTAAATAGGAACATCTGTCAAGTAGGACTGCATACACACACACTCACACTTAATTATGTACCTAAAGAGGGAAATTATTTTTCAGGGATACCAAAGTGTTTTAAATGTAGCTTTAGCCCTGACTGGTATGACTCAGTTGGCTGGGCATCATCCTGCAAAGTGAAGGGTTGCAGTTTGATTCGCACTCGGAGCACATGCCTATGTTGCGGATTTGGTCCCCCATCCAGGTGTGTGCAATAGGCAACAGATAGATCCCTTCCTCTCTCTCTCAAAAATAAAAAGTACTTTTTTGTTTTTATAATGTCTTTCAGGTGTTTCTCAAGCCATGTTCCCATGTGATGTCTTGTCAGCAAGTTGAGGTGGAACCCCTGTCAGCAGATGATTGGGAGATACTGGTAAAGAAAGTGAAATAACGTTGTTTAAGATTAAAATACATCAAAATATCAGCGTCTTTAGAAGTCTCTCTCTGAGCTTCATCATATATATTCTGAGTTGGTTTGAGTTACAAGAATGACTTGAGATTTTCCTAACAGACATGGAATGGACAAAATGTAAAATCAGTTGTTTTTTTTGTTTTTGGTTCTAGGAACTGCATGCTGTTTCCCTGGAACAGCATCTTCTAGATCAAATTCGAATTGTTTTTCCACAAGCCATTTTTCCTGTTTGGGTCGATCAGCACACTTACATATTTATTCAAATTGGTAGGTGCCATTGTAATATTTGCCACCATACTGTCTGACATAGCACTGAGTCCAAAGCAGAGGCAAATGTGCATTAATGAGCTTTATTTCGTACACAGTTGCACTAATACCAAGAGCCACTTATGGAAGGTTGGAGACCGACACCAGACTCCTTATTCAGCCAAAGACCCGCCAAGCCAAAGAAAATACATTTTCTAAAGCAGATAATGCATGTGGAACATCTCATAATTATGGAAGAGATGAAAAAGGATTAGCAGAAGAACTCCAAACCAAGCAACATCAGTCAAATACTATACATGGTACTGGGTCTGATAAAACAGATTCAGAGGATACAGTTGACTCACCATCAGTACCAAGCTTCTGGGCTATGATAGGAAGCATTTTCTCTTTTGGGTCTGAAAAGAAACAAGAGACATCCTGGGGTGTGACTGAAATCAGTGCATTCAAAAATATGCAGTCAAAGGTTGTTCCTGTAGACAATATTTTCCGAGTATGTAAATCTCAGCCTCCCAGTGTATGCAATGCATCAGCAACTTCTATATTTCACAAACACTCTACCATTCATGTATTTCCATGGGACCAGGAATATTTTGATGTGGAGCCCAGCTTTACTGTGACCTATGGAAAGCTGGTTCATCTACTTTCTCCAAAGCAACAGCAAAGTAAAACAAAGCAAAATGTCCTGCCACCTGAAAAAGACAAGCAGATGTCAGAACTATTATGTCAAAAACAAACTAACCTAGACCATAATCAAGAAGCCGGTAAGGCCTGTGTGCTAAAGGTGGTATGGAATGGACTTGAGGAATTGAAGAATGCCATAAAATACACCAAAAATGTGGAAGCTCTCCACCTTGGGAAGGTCTGGGTTAGTATAAATTTTGTAATTGGGAATGAAATAATTTAATGTTTGAACTATCCCAAATTATGAATTAAAATAACATCTATAAATTGGAAAACCAATGTAATAAGAAACCGTATCTAAAAAATCCCTGCTGGGACACATTTCTGTAGGGTAAAGTCCTTGTTTGGGTAAAAATTGTGTGTTTTCTGCCTAAGTAAACTTGGACAGTAAAATCTTAGGCACAGGCCTAGAGAAGTGAAAATTCCTTGCCAGGGATTAGACAGCTGGTAAGAACTAGGAGTCAAACCCAGGCAGGGTGACTCGAGTTCATGCTTAGCTTGGGGTGCCCTACAAAACCTCACATCTTCACTACCTGTATAAGGTTTGTTTCCAAGTTCTGGAAAGCACAGGAAGGACTTAACTGTGTATTGGGGAAAATGTCCAGTGTAGGGAGAGGCCCACAGCTCCCTCTGGTGGCACCTGAATTGCAATGCACCCATAAACTGCTTGCTTTGCTGGTATCAACTCTTTAACTTGTGTGTGTCTGAGAGAAGAAGTAGACAGAACAACTGATGTTCTACCCTCTCATCCTGGCCTCAAATATAAATGCTACACTTATGTGAAATGAGTTACCAGTCCCCTTTACTTGAGCCTAATTTTGAACCATCGTGAAGTGAAACTTCATGATAAGGGGAAGAAATTGTTAAAATAGTGAAGAAAAATAGGAAGGGATAGGGATTTTCTTTGTAGCTTTCTCACAGTTTAACCTGTGCTTTTTGTGCAGGTGACTTCAAAGTTTTAATTTCTTTGACCTACATCATTTTCTAAAGCTCTGAATCATGGCCTCATTATTTTCTGTTAGCTCCAAACTCAGTTTAGGACATCCCACTGCGTTAATGTGAACTTACCTCCTTTATCAATGGTTCTCCATTAGGTATGAATACCCTTTCATTTCCTTAAAATTGTGTGGTGAGGACAGGGTGAAGAAGAGATGATGGTAAAGTCTCGGAGACCACGTAAGATAGCAGTGAGGAGTCTGCAGTTCCCACTCCACTCAGGGTTGGGTGTCATGGCCCCTGAGCAGTGGCAGTAGTTGCCATCAGGTACTCAAGAAGTCTTGGCTGGGTAGATGGACATTGATCACATTCTAAAGAGGCGTTAAAGAAATACAGGGGGGAAATTGAAATGTTTGTGATATAACGATATTAGAACATCTATCTGTTTATACTGTGAATCTTGGTAACTTACATAATTTTATCTGAATTCATAGAAGTTACTATGAATGTCTATGCTATGGAATATTTTAAATCAACCATTGAGCATAATTATATTTTTTCATTTATTTTTAAATTTCAGATTCCAGATGACCTGAGAAAGAGATTGAATATAGAAATGCATGCAGTGGTCAGAATAACTCCACTGGAAGTTACCCCTAAAATTCCAAGATCTCTAAAGTTACAGCCTAGAGAAAACCTAGTAAGTTCAAATTTATATGTTATGCCACAGTTATTTTACATGTGCTATAAAATTTCTAGTTGCTTTAACTAAGTAATAATAATGTAGTACTGCTTTTTGTTACAAGGGCAAAGAAATATTTTTTCCCTTTAGTAAAATATGTGTAACATAAAAATGCTATTATGTAATCTATTTTAGATGTACAATTAATTGGCATTAATTCCATTCATAATGTTGTACAACTATTGTCATTATCCCCGAAACTTTTTTATCCCTCCAACAGAAATTCTGTGCTCATTAAGCAGTAATGCCCTACCCTCAGCTCCCCCAGATCCTGGTAACTGATAATTTATAATCTCTCTGATTTCACATATTTCAGATGTATCATATAAATGGAATCATATAATAATTGCCCTTTGTATCTGGCTCATTTCCCAATGTTTTCAAGGTTCATCCATGTGGTAGCACATAGCAGAACTTTGTCTTTTTTTAATGGCTGAATAACATTCTGTTTTAAATATACCACATTTGGTTTATCCATTGATCTGTTGATGGACACTTGGGTTGTTCCTACTTTTTTGGCTGTTGTGAGTAATGCTGCCATGAATGTTGATGTACAAGTATCTGTTTGAGTCCCTGCTTTCCATTCTTTGGTAGATGCCTAGGAATTGAATGGCAGGACATGTGGTAATCTTGTGTGTAAGTTTTTGAGAAACCAAGAAGTCTTTAATAAACAATACACACTATATATATACTTATATATATGTATATATAGAGTGAGAAAACATGCGCATATGCGCCAATACAAATATGGAAATATGGAGAGTTTCTGCTTTTAAAAAGTTGGTATTTTTGCCATAGTTAATCTAATTTTTAAATTTTTCTCCCATGTTGTTTTAGTATTAATATTGCAGGCTAAAAGGGTGCTCGACTGTTTTGTTGCTACTCTGTTAATTCTTAAGAAACTGGTGTGGTCAGAAAATGAGATATTGAACTTAATTGTAAAATCTTTTTAATAGAGTATTGTCATCTGTACCAGTTTGGGTTCCCAGTTCTCAGAGAATTATAACACAGGAAAATTATTGTGTTATATTTATATATATTATATAAAGTCCGCATGGTTTTTTCCATGAAGTACAAGCCACATTTTCCATTTTCACCAGTGACTTTGCTAATTTGGATGTTTTGGGTGACTAGGCCACCTCCTGTGGGGTGTGGTACCGACCTCTCTCAGTTAATGTCTCTGTTGATTGCTCTCTGCTCAGCTGGCCTGCCCAGCCGTGGAGCGCCGTCCAAAGGCACGTTTCCAGACAAAACATTTCGAACTCCTCTTGATGTGTTTTTGATAAGTCACCTTCTCCACACACCACACACATCTTTTTTGTGTTTCAGGTGCATTTTTACCTTTCTTGAAAAAATAAAGCACAATATGCAGAAACTATTATGTATTTTCTTCTATCATCAGTATTAAAATGGCTACACAAAAATTCACCAATTTTGATAAGTTTTCTTTGCACACAGATGTGACAGTTGTCATGATACAGTCTAACAAAATTGTTTGGAATGAAGCTAAAGACAACTAAATGCTTCTAGAGCCATCTTGTGGAAGAAGCCAAATTAACTTTTTGGCCAACCCACTATGTTTAAAAAATTCCTGCTCTGATAATTCAGATGGTACTTTGGGATTCTCAGGATCACGATGGTCATTGTGTCAGGAAAGAATCAATTTAACAGAACTTTCTGGTTGCTGAAATGCCAGATAAGATAGCATATATTATATGACTGGAGAAGAGGAAAGCAAATAGAGTGCATGCCATTTCCATAACAGTGTGTAACTGGGCACTTAACCCCTGGGCTCAACAGTGCACAGTGATTTGTAGTTTTGTTTTAACCTTTTGGCTGTTGACCTTGGTCAAGTTAGATCTTGGTCATTTTTCAAGTTAGATCTCTTATGTACGAAAATCATTAGCCACTGAGTGTGAGATTTTTTAATATTTTGGCTTAGTGATGGGATATCACTACAAAGTGCTTTTCTTACCCTAAGTTGTATATTTTAGTGGAAACTTTATGACCTTGGCAGGTCTCTCTGGGCTTTGATTATATTACCTGGGACATAAAGATGTTTGATTCTAGAGGAATTCTGAGTTATTTTCTGATTCTAAAAGTCTTGCTCTTAAATAGTTCTCATTTTTATTTTATGGTTTTGTTTAGTTCTTTAATCCCATTGCCCAATAACATCCAAAGAAGTAACTATTTATATGATACATAAGAGTGGGAAAGTGATACCTTAGTTTAGACTGTTTTTGGTGGTGCTCAGGTTTTGAATTGAACTTAATCCACAGGTAAGTGCTTGATTTTGGATGATGAGAGATAGTATACCAGTGGGGAGTGGTAGAAGAGAGGTTTTATTTCCTAGGCAGATACGAATCATCTTTCCTATGTGAGTTTTGTTTTTCCTGTTTTTAATTTCAAATAGGTTTTAAAAACTTAACATTCAAAAAGGTTTTAAAAACTTAAAGCCTTAAAATTAGCAATGATTTTCTCAATTTCTTCATGCCTTTTGAACACTTTATGTGTTGAACATATCAGCATTGCAGCCAGCTTAACAGAGAAAAGGAAAAGGAGGGACTTGAACATATAAAGAGTTTATTTTTCTCATGTGCGGAGAGGTTTAGAGGAGCTCTGGATTGTTAAACCGTGTCATTAAGCATCTAGGTTCCTTTGGCCTTTCTCTTTTGCCATCCTCAGCCTGTGACTTTCTTCCTCCTGGAAACAAGATATTTGTTATACTGTTAGGCGTCACATCTGCACTACAGGCAGCAGAAGGCAAGGCACAAGGCAAAAGCCCTTTCCTTACTAGGTTTCTCTACCATTTAATGAGGAAGATAGGCCCTTACCAAGGATTGCTGATTGCATGCTGTTGGCTGAGTCCAGCCACATGCACGTGCGTGAGCACACCCCCTACACGCCAGCCCCACTTCCAGGCTAGGGATCCAACCTAGGAGTTTGCTTTCCCACCTGTGTAGTGGAGAGAGGCAAGAGAGAATGGAATCGGAATGGTTATCCAGTAAGTGGAATTATGGCAGTATAACTAATGCTGGGCATAGAGAAAAAGTTTAAAACTGCCACTTGTAATGTTTCTTCAGGCTACATTGTACTCAGAATTGTACTGACTGTAATGTCAAGTCCTAAGTCTGTGCCTCCAGAATGGGCACATCATCCTGGTTTTGTTCAGTGAGGTTTACATTTGATTAGCAAGGTAAGCTGTTAAAATAGGGATGTTAAGGTTAAGATTAGGTATTAGGATAACTCGTTGCTGTTCTTTCCTTTTCTTTGGCAGCCTAAAGACATAACTGAAGAAAACATAAAAACTGTGTTCTATTCATGGCTTCAGCAGTCTTCTACAACCACGCTTCCTTTGGTAATATCAGAGGAGGAATATATTCAGCTGGAAATTAATGATGGTGTGTACATTTTATTTCTTATTTTGAAATGTTTTCTACTGAAGAAGTCATAAAATTTTTTGATGAAGTCACTGTTTTTCCAACTGTGACGTGTAAGAACAGGAAACATAACAGTGATAATTAAACAGATTTTACATACTGAAGAATGCCTGTACTGAAATTTAAATAAATTTGATGTTTAAAATCTCAAAATTTTATCTCAGTTTCAGTACCATCCATTTATTACTTTCTTTTCAATAGGGTTGAAGGAATTTTCTCTGAATATAGTTCATTCTTGGGAAAAAGAAAAAGAAGATATTTTTCTGTTGAGTACCAATCTGCTGCAGAAGATCACAATACAAGTAATTACATGCTATTGAATATTCAATGAAAGAATATTTGTCAGATGTGATTGATAATGAAGTATGAATTTACCTGTAATGCTTTGCATCCTAAAGTATATTAGAAACTTAAATGATAAGAGTAAGGAATAACTTGATTTAAAATATTTTATTCTTTAATCTCTTTAATTTACCCAAATTGTTGATTTACCCTAAATTTAAAGTCAGTGCCTTAGCACAGTTAAGTTTCAGGAATATAGAGTTGGTGGTGTTAACTGGCCAATGGAGCATGACTTAAAATTGTTCCTGTGTTGAAACAAAACTTAGCTTTAGAGGTTTGAGTTATAAATTTCAGATTTTTACTTGCAGTTTTGCTGCACAGCTTGTGTCATTTTGTCAAGTCTTAAATTAAATTCTCTAGTCTTTACAAATATTATATCACTTTAGTTCCAGAAGTATTTTAAAAGTGGTTATTTTAGTTTTTTTAACTGATTTTAAAGACCGAGAGAAAAACATCAGTTTGTTGCTCCACATATTTATGCATTCATTGGTTGACTCTTGTATGTGCCCTGACCTGGGATTGAACTTGCAGTCTTAGTATATCAGGACTACCCAACTGAGCTACCTGGCCAGGGCCAAAAGGGGTTACTTTAGAATATAATGTTTTAGTTAGGCTATTTATTTATTCTTGTCATTATAAAATTGAAGGTGCTCTAGTCATTTAGAATATCAGTGATTTCGAACTAGATACTGTTTCTCTACTTTTAAATTTTAATCGAGCCCTGGCTGCTGTAGCTCAGTGGATTGAGCATGGATGGGCCTGTGAAGCAAAGGGTCGCCGGTTTAATTCCTAGTCAGGGCACATGCCTGGGTTGCAGGCCAGGTCCCCAGTGGAAGACACATGAGAGGCAACCACACATTGATGTTTCTCTCCCACTTTCTCCTTCCCATTCTCTCTCTCTAAAAATAAATAAACAAAATATTACAAAAAATTTAAAATGTAATTGAAAGAGTACCATTCAGAGAAAATTCAAATGTAAGACTTAGGAAAAGAACATGTAATGCAAACTAAAATTGCAAATAGAGATAGATGTGTAACATGCATTAAGGAAATGATACTCTTTACTGCTTGTTGATCATAAATATTTGTTTTCCTCGGATGTGTAAATTATTCTCGTCAAGGCTGTTTTATGTAGTCACCTTGCATGCACACCGTATCTTTTCTTTGTGGTGTAACAGTCAGCAATTCAGTTTTCTGGGACCCAAGTAAAACAGGCAGAAGATACGACTTTGAAATGTAAAACTGATTTTTCCTTGCTACTATAGGTCCTTCTAGATCCTATGCTAAAAGAAGAAAACAGTGAGGAAATTGACTTTATTCTTCCTTTTTTAAAGCTGAACTGCTTGGGGTAAGAAGTTATGGCCAAACTGGCATGTTTAGAGACACGTTCGACATTATCTCTGGCAGGGTTTTTATGTGTAAATATTAAAGTAGATGTTCATGTCATTAAATACTCTTACTAATTCATTTAGTAGATACTACTTCAAGGCTTGTTTTGGTTTCACGCCTAGCTTAGCGATTTGTCTTGTCCTAGGTAACAAAGTCTGAGGCTTATTAGAAATTTTACTTTGAGATTTGATTTGTGAGAATAAAGCAACTAGATGTGAACTGGAGCATATGTGCTTCAATAAAATAGTAATTCTTAGAGCTAGTAAATTTATTCTGAAAGTTAAATATAAAAACATTACTTGAGTGTTTAAAAATATTTCAAATTAAGTTATTCCTTCAATGTCTTATTAATGTTTTAATTGGGGTTATTTGTGTTTTCTCCAACCTGTAGATAAACAAATCTGAAAGAACCTTATTTTTTTCTATCTTTCATATACTATGAAATGTCCTGTAACATTACCTCTTAGAATTCTTCACGGAAGTTTTAGAGGTGGTAGAAGTACTTTGACTTCCTGTTATAGTATAGTCTGTAAGTTTTTATTAAGAGAATAAACCATAAAGTAACAGTGTTTAAATACAGCATAATATTCATTGTATAAAGTAAAATCTCTTTAGTTCAGATTCTAATTTTAGAAGTTTTTGATATTAAGAGAAGTAAATTGTCAGAGCCAGGAAGTAGGTTGAAGTTCATGTTCGTATAATCTACAGATTGCAACTGGATTTCAAAGGCGATTTTTAAGAGAAAATTCGTCTTCAGTCATCCTATCATTTTAAAGGCATCCTTTTATGATTATGTTGATTACCAAACTGAAAATCATTTTGAGCAAGTAACATACAAATCATTTGTATATGTTAAGACAGAGGAGTCCCATTTGGACAAAACTTTCAGTGATTGCACAGGTTTGAAAGTAAATTAGTTGTAAAGCTGTGACTCAAGTTTGGCGTTAATTCAACACACTTTCAAGTAAGGAAGAGTTTCTGAGGTTTTACTCTTTAAAAGACCATTAGCCTGGGAAGGAAAGTTTCATAAATTTTTGCAGCCAGATCTTACTCTGCTTCAGTATTTTATCACGCAACAATGTCCGTGTTTTGCAGAGGAGTGGCCTCCTTAGGCCTGTCCTCCGTGGAGCACATCACCCACAGCCTCCTGGGACGCCCCCTGTCTCGGCAGCTGATGTCTCTCGTGGCGGGACTTCGGAATGGAGCCCTTTTACTCACAGGAGGGAAGGTACGAGGTTGAGATGTGCTCATTTGCATTAACTAGCAGCTTTTCATTTCTCTCTGAGTTTTGATCATGTTATATAGAGTTATTAATATAAGATATGGAAAACTTCCACTAACATTTTTGAGTGCCCGCTATAAATATTGGGGAAGTGGTGATGAATCAGGTGGTGCTCCCCCTGTCCTTTTTCTGTATCAGTTGATACAATTGTATGATTTTTAGGATATTGATAGGGTGTGTGATAGAGTTAATTGATTTTTAAATGTTGAACCAGGTTTATTCTTTGTAGAGCTCTTTTTGCTAATATCCTGTTGAGGATTTTTACGCCTAAGTCCATGAGAGATATCAGCCCATACTTTTCTGTTTCCGTACCTCCTTTGTCTGGTTTTGTGGTCAGGGTAATAAAGAGTTGAGAGGTGTTTCCTACTGTCCTGTTTTCTGAAAGAGATTATATAAAATTGGTGTTCATTCTTCCTTAAATGGTAACAGTGAAACCTTCTGGGCCTGGAAATGTTTTTATCATTAACTTAATTATAAGTTCAATTTCCTTATTTGTCTCTCTTATTTTGGAAGATATTTGGTAGTTTGTAGTTTTTGAGGAATTGTTCTATTTCTTCTAAGTTGTCAAGTTTATGAGCGTAAAATTGTAGTGTTTTCTTATTATCCTTTTAATGACTGTGGAATCTGTTGTAAAGTCCTGTTTCCTGATATTGGTGATTTGTGTCTCTCTCTCTTTAAACTGGGTCAGTCCTGCTAGAGGTTCCTGACCTTTGAAAAGGCCTGCAGTTTTACTCTCTACTAACAGTGTAGTGTTTGTGAGTCTTTGGGCTCTTTTTAATTTTTATTTATTGATTTTTGAGAAAGGGAGAGAGAAGGAGTATGGGGGGGAGATTGAGAGATCACTTTGTTGTTCCACTTATTTATGCATCCATTGATTGTTTCTTGTGTCTTATATGTGCCCTGACAGGGGAACAAACCCACAACCTTGGCATATGGGGATGATGCCCTAACCAATTGAGCTAGCCGACCAGGGATTCTTTGTGCTCCCCCCCTCCCCAACCTCAGTTAAAAATTTTAAGGCTTCGCCCTGGCTGGTTCAGCTTAGCGGATTGAGTGCGGGCTGTGAACCAAAGAGTCGCAGGTTTGATTCTCAGTCAAGGCACATTTCTGGGTTGCTGGCCACATCCCCTGTAGGGAGTGTGCAAGAGGCAACCACACATTGATGTTTCTCTTCCTCTTTCTCCTTCCATTCCCCTTCTCCAAAAAAAAATAAACAAAATCTTTTAAAAACTGTTCCATATATTCAAAATTAATAAAATTATCTTTTAAAAATTTTAAGGCTTTTAAAATTTCTGTTCACTTTTAACTCCAACATAATAACTTAATTTTCCTGTTACTAGCCCAGTTGCTTTCTTCTAATTTTTATTGTAAAAAATGATACATAGCAACTACTCCAATAAGTTTCTTAAGTCTCCACTTGGGAAACTAGAAAAGGATGAACAAATTAAACCCAATGTAAGCAAAAGAAGAGAAATATTGGATTGACCAAAAAGTTTGTTTAGTTTTTTTCTGTATGATGACCGTAGTAGTGCTTCCTTGCCTTAACTTCATTTGAAACAATTTTGTTAGATTATATTGTGACAGCTGTCATATCAGCATGCATTTAAAAAAACATAAAATTTGGTGCATTTTTGTGGAATCATTTTAATAATGAAGATGGAAGGAAATAAGCAACATTTTCGGTATATTGTGGTTTGTTATTTCAAGAAAGGTGAAAACACAACTGAAATGCAAAAAAGATGGTACAGTGTATGGAGAAGGTGCTGTGACTGATTGAATGTGTCAAAAGTGGTTTGCAAAGTTTCTTGGTGCTGTTAACATTTTGGTCAAATGATTCTTTGCTGTGGGGCTGTTTCGTGCATTGGAAGATGTTTAGCAGCACCCCTGGCCTCTACCCACTAGAAGCCAATAGCAGGAGACAGCTGACATACTCAAAATATTCGAATCCATAAAGTCATTAGTGAATTAGTGAAAATGAAAAATGTGTCTTTTACAGAAAAAAAAAAAAAAACAGACTTTCTGGTCAAATCAATAATAATTAGAGCAGAAATCAATGAATTGAAAACAGGTAATCGATGGAGAAAATATATGAAACTAAAATCTGCTTCTCTGAAAAGATTGAGGAAATTGATAAGCTTCTAGCCAAGCTAAGAAAAAAAAGAAAAGATCATGGTAGTTATACATAACCATATCATACACCCAAAGTTGCTGAGAGAGTGGATCTTAAATGTTCCCACCACAGAAAGAAAGGGTGATTCCATGAGGGGTGACAGCATTAATTAATTACCTTTGTTGTGGTTGTCAGTTCGCAATGTCTTAAGTGTGTCCTATCATTATGCTGTGTACTGTAAACTCACCCAAAGTCCTTATTAGATAATGATAGCCCAATAAAGCTGGGGAAAAAGAAGAAAGGAATTTTGAATTTATCATAAGAGGAAATGATAGAATTTGCATTTTTTTACTTTTACATATTTTTAATTTTTAAGTGGAAATGGAGCACTCAACAAAGTGTTCCATTTATAACAAATTATAAACCAAATGAATTGTTAAAAGTAACCCCCTGTGAAAAAGAGAGGACACATTACTAATATCTGAAAGAGGGAGAAAACCAATATATGTATTTTTAAAAACTATAAAAACTTACCAATGTTTAGCCTTTCTAGGGGGCACTATAGCAATTCATAGCAAAATTTTAAATATGTAAAGCAAAGGTTTTGATGTAATTCCACATCTAGATATTATTCTAAACATATAATCTGCCAAATAGGTAAATTTAGATGTAGGTGTATGTTTATTTTAGCTTTACTTGCAATATTTAAAAATTGGAAGCAGAATAGATACACAATTAAGAAAGAGCTTTTTGAATGTTGTGGTCCAATGTGTCCCAAGTGGCATTGTATTAGGGAGCAGACTCAGCTGCTCATTGTTGATAGAGAGGACAGTGGTTTACTGTAAACCCCCATATAGACTGTAATCCCATCCTCCTAAATGCTCGTAAGATGTATGTGGAATCTGTAAGAATGATACATCAAAACAATTGACAGAGGTTACTTCTGTGCAGTGGGATGATTACAGAAGACCTTTACCTTTCTTATTATGTATTTTTTAATTGATCATGTTATTACAGCTGTTCCAGTTTTTCCTCCTCTACCCCCTTCTACCCAGCACTCCTCCATCCAGCAGTACCCCCTCCTTTGTTCATGTCCATGGGGCTTGCATATAAGTTCTTTGGCAGCTCTGTTTCCTATACTTGCTGTTAACATCTCCCTGCCTATTCTGTACCTATCAGTTTGTACTTCTTAATCCCTTCACCTTTTCCCCCATTCCCTCAGACTTACTTCCCACTGGCCGCCACCCCAATGGTCTCCATATCTATGATTCTGTCTCTGTTCTGCTGCTTTGCTTATTTTGTTTTTTAGATTCAGTTGTTGATTGTTATGTATTTATTGCCAATTTAATGTTCATAATTTTGATTTTTTTTCCTAAAGTAAGTCCCTTTAACATTCCATATAATAATGGTTTGGTGATAATAAACTCCTTTAACTTTACCTTGTCTAGGAAGCACTATATCTGTCATTCCATTCTAAGTGATAACTTTGCTGGATTGAGTATATGTTGTAGGTCCTTGCTTTTCATCACTTTGAATATTTCTTGCCAGTTCCTTCGAGCCTACAAAGTTTTTTTTGTTTTTGTTTTTGTTTTTTTGAGAAATCAGCTGACAGTCTTATGGCAACTCCTTTGTAGGTAACTGTCTCCTTTTTTTCTTGCTGCTTTTAAGATTCTCTATCTTTAACCTTTGTCATTTTAATTGTGATGTGTCTTGTAGTCCTCTTTGTGTCCATCTTGTTTGGGACTCTGTGCTTCCTGGACTTGAATGTCTATTTTTATTGCCAAATTAGGGAAATTTTCTTTCATTTTTTAAAAAAAGGTTTCCAGTTTCTTGCTTTTTCTCTTCTGGCAACCCCGTGATGCGAATCGCTTGAAGTTGTTCCAGAGGGTCCTTATAGTATCCTCAATTTTTGGGATTCTTTTTACTTCTTGCTGTACTGATTGGATATCTTTTTCTTATGTTCCAAATTAGTGATTTGATTCTTGGCATCATCCACTGTGCTGTAGATTCTTGTAAATTGTTCTTTATTTCAGTTAGTATATCCTTAATTCCTGCATGGGTCTTTTCTATGCTGTTGAAGTCCCTACTGAGTTCCTTGGGCATCCTAATAACCAGTGTTTTGAACTCTGCAGTTGATAGATTGCTTATCAACATGTTGTTTAGTTCTTTTTCTGAAGTTCTCATCTGTTCTTTCATTTGGGCCACATTTGTTTGTCTCCTCATTTTGGCCCCTCCCTGTGTTTATTACTATGTATTAGGTAGAGCTGCCTTGACTCTGTGTCTTGGTTGTTAGGGTGGACAGTGATGCGGGCTATGAAAGAATTCACCAAGAAAGAAAGTGAAGAGAACAGAGTTTTATTTTACTTTTTTAAGAGAGGGAAGGGGCTAGTGCAGAGACAAGTATCAGCACTGAGGGGTGGGAACTTTGGGTTTTTATTGGATTATAAAAGGGTGAGGGAGTTGCTGTAATGTGCCCCCTGGGCTGTTGGGGTTGTTGCAACACAGGAGCTTTCAGGTGGTTTTGCATAAGCTGCAGTTTGTGCCACTGTTATCTTCTGCCTTCGTCACCCGGGGGTGGTTACATACTCTATTCTTGCTTTCCAGTAATTCCCCATCCTGAGGACATTAGCTGAGAAGAATGAAATGTCGGTCTTATTTAACAAGGTCATAGGCCTGCTCAGCAAATGGTGCCACAATAACAAAAGGCTCTGGCTTTATGTTTTTTTTGGTAGCATGGCCTAATGTAGTAGGTGTCCCGTAGGGTCCAGTGGCACAGTCCTCTTCTATATGCCAAGCTGTATACTCAAGATGCTCCCTCCATGTTGGCTGTGTACTCCCTCATCTTGTAAATGAGTCTTGATTGCTGTCAGCAGGTCAGTGGGAGGACTGGGACGAATGGGAGACAGCTTGTAGGACTGGCTGTGACCCCTGGCCAGCCACCACAGTGGCTTGTGGAAGTGATGGGGTCATGCTCCCACGTGGTTGACATGGTCTGTAACTGTCTGCTGGGTGTGCAGACCCTGGGTTTACCGGGTTTGTTGGGGTCTGTTGGGGTTTACCGGGGTGGTGCAGGCCAAGTTGAGCCTCCGCCTGTGTTCTGTCTGGGGCCCCTTGGTGTAAACTGTAAGCAATCTGCAGATGGCTGCTGCTAGTGCCAGGCCTGGGGCCACTCCGAGTGGTCAGGGGTGGGGAGGCTGGGCTCAGCTGTTGATTTGTTAGAGCAGATTTAGAAAGATCTGAAGCGTGCGCATAGCCCAGCCCTTCACATGGAAAAGCCACTGTTAGCAGGGCGGGAGAGTTGCTTGGGTGGGCCTGTGAGTTGGATGGATCAGACTCTTTGGTAATTGTCAGGGTGGGACTTAACCTTGTGAGAGCCAGGTTGGAAGAGATTCAGATATGGTAACGCCTCACTGTGGCTTTGGTGGAGAGGGCTCAGAAAATATAAGACGGCCGGTCTCTGCAGTTCTGTCTGGGAGGAAGCTGTTCCCAGCTGTCACCCTGATGCCAGACACTTTAGTTTCTCCCCCTGTACCACTGGTGCCCTTCAAGCTACTGCCCCAGTGCTGGAGCCCAGAGGGCGTGAGTCTGTGTAAGTCTGTGTGCTGTGCAATCATTGTGTTAATCTTATGGTTATGTAACACTTGAATCTTGCTGTTAATGCTAAGAAGATGGAACCTCTTGTTTTTTTGTAGAATATTATGTATTTTCTTGGCTAGACTTGACTGTGTAGGAAATAGTTTTTTCCCACTTATCCTGCAGTGGGATTTGTTCTCTTACAACTTCCTGAACCCAGATTTTCACTCCTTCCCATTAATTTACTTGATATTAAATGCTACTCACCATAATGTGATGCTAGAGTTCCAGTGATGTGGGGGTCCCCCAGCTTTTGTGAGCTATAATTGTCATGTAACATTATGTCATGCATATTTGATTGATGAGGCTTTAATCTTTCTGGCTGCCACAGTGACAGGAACTTTTTCTGTGACTCATTGTATTGTTGAGAGTTCTTATGAATTACTTATTTTGTAGGGGAGTGGAAAATCAGCTTTAGCCAAAGCAGTCTGTAAAGAAGCATTTGACATACTGGATGCCCATGTGGAGGTAGTTGACTGTGAAGCTTTGCGAGGTATGAACACTCTGCATAACTCCTTTTTTGGGTGGAAAGACAGAAATGTTATTACTTAGTGCTGTTAACTTAATAAATAAAAATATCTAATTTGAAATTCCTTAGAAATTTTAAATCTTTGGCTGGTTTTCTAATGTTTTAATAAATTTTTAAAAACTCTCCAGAGTTAATGGAAGCCTGTTTTTTTCTAGCCAAAATTCTTAGTTAAATATATTCCTGGAAATGCCACTCTGAGAAAGTTTGAGTTTAGAATATACACTGATGGGTGTGAACTGTCCCTGCGCTGCTGTGGTAAACCAGCAGGGTGGGGCCTGGGGCAGGAGTGAGTGGGTCTAGGCAGCCGAACGGAGAGTTGCAGTTGGCTGTGTGTACATCAGGGCCTTTAAAAGTCTTCAGTGTTGTCATCTATTCAGTAAAGAAAATGATTAGAAAGATTTTACCTTGAGTAGTTATTTTCTCCCCTTGGTTACCACTGCCAGATCACCCCAACTCATCATTTTACTTTCAGGTCTTTTTTTAAGTCTAGTATATGATAAGAAACTAAGAAATGACCTTTAGTGGGAAAACCCACTATTTCATACACTATGAAGGTAAGGTAGTTTTGGAGAGATTGCTCATCTCTCCGTCCTGCTTGAAGCTTCATGTGAAATTTTTGTTTTAGAGCTAAATAACAGGAACTCTTTACATGGGCTTATGAATTGGTATGTTTTCTATTCTTTGAAAATTAAAACTTTGTAATTCAGTGGGAAGTTTAAAACCAAATTTATGATTCAAATATAGCAATTCTAGGATCATTTGTATTTAATTTTATCTGAATCTTGATCTCCTGTTCTCATTTACATTTTCTCACAACTGCTTCCATTTTACTATTTTGTTGTAAGCCATCTGAAATTCTCTATGGAATGAGGCTAGGTGTGGATAAATACATACACACAGAAATTGCAGTAGCATATTCCTGTTTTATAAAATTCAGTACTTGGTCCTTTGATGTGGTATTAATGAAACCATGTATACAATTAACAAATTTTAATAATTGGTATATTAACAAACTGTGGGTCGAATCTTCATAGTTGAGTCAATATTGAGCTTTTCTAATGCTTTCAAAAGGTCAGTCTGAACTTCCCTGACCCTGAAATAACATTAAACCACTTAAAATCTGTCTTAAGGAAAAAGGCTTGAAAATATACAAAAAACCCTAGAGGCAGCTTTCTCAGAGGCAGCGTGGCGGCAGCCTGCAGTGGTTCTGCTGGACGACCTTGATCTCCTTGCCGGCCTGCCGGCCCCGCCGGAACACGAGCACGGTCCTGAGGCGGTACAGAGCCAGCGGCTGGCACATGGTAATGGCAGCGCCCCCTCTCACTGGCTGCAGGCCTTTCTCTTTTGTCAGGCAGCGTCTCTGCTCTTCGTGGTAAATCTGCTCTCTTCAGAGAATAGACTGTGTCGATGCTGTGTGTTGCTTTGGAGCTTCTGGCAGCATTCTGCAGTTGTTCTGTATTAGCAGCATTGGTGGAATAAGCAGTGTGAAGAGTCTGCAACTTCATGACCAGTCTTTGGGGACTTTTCACTCTACTGTACTGATTAGAAATTGCTTAATTGTACAGATTTACTCTTGCTTTGTTTGTTTGACAAATATTTGTCTAACACTTGTGCACAGTCTGCATTTTCAAAGTCTAGGAGAAGAGAGAGAAGTAAACAGAAGATTTGTAGTTCAGAATATTGATAATAATGATAGCTGCCATGAGTTTAATGCCCTTTCTGGGCTAGGGACCTGCTTTGTACTGTACGTACAAATGTTCCCCCTGGTTTTTCAGGTAGGTAAATAGAAATTAAAGAATAAGTCGTATGACCAGGGTAATATAACTAGGAGGTGGTTGGATATTCACTGGAGTATTATAGGGTACTAGGGGAGCACATACCCCAAATTGGGGGTGGTATGGAGGTTTAAAGATTTTTATTTTGAGGGAGGGAGAGAGACATCAATGTGTGGTTGCCTCTCATGTGCCCCCAATTAGGGACTTGGCCCACAACCGAGACATGTGCCCAGACTGGGAATCGAACCAGCAATCCTTTGGTCTGCAGGCTGGTGCTCAATCCACTGAGCCACATTAGCCAGGGCCTGAGATGAGCTTTGATGGAGGAGTAGAAATTAGTGTGAAGCTGATGTAGACTCCAGCCCTCTGCAGTCTGTGTGTTGTGGATGAGGTAAACAAATTCACACGGACTACCAAGTCCTGTGGAGAAAAAGGGATGGCACAGTCACTCTCTCAGAAGAGAGTGCCCCAGCCCTTGCCTGGACAGGCTTTTATTGCTTCCCAGTCGCATTACATCAAAGAAGGTTCTCATTATTTCTAGATTTAGTTAAGTGATTACTTCTTACAGATAACAAAAAAAAAAGTTGCAAATGCAAGGGCACGATAAAAATTATTTGGTTACATTTTGTCCTTGGAACATCTTAGCACAGACTTTAGGGAGTTGCTTCAGAGATACACATTAAACATCTGCAGTCTTAACTCACAATGAGGGAGTTTTACAAAAGCAAGTCTCATAGCAGCCTAGGTACAATGCAGGCCTGATTCCCCAGGGGAAAGCCGATCTGCACACCTGGCTCCTGTGTGCCGCCTCACATTGATCGGTTTTCCGGATCAATACTGGGCTACATTCACCACTGCCATGCTGATCGGTTCTCTATATGAAGCAATTTCATACTACTGAAGAACCAAAGGAAATATCTGTAGGCAGAGGTACAGGTACACGAATCCATGCTGTTACAGAATAACTCATGACTGGAGTTGAGAATGCAAGGAGAGGACTGGGGCAGGGGCACTGGCGGGGTTGGCAGCATTCAGCGGCCTCAAGGTTCTTGAGAGTGAAAATAGTTACAAAATGCAACTACAGTGGCTTAGGCTATCACAAACTGGTGTTAGTCTCACACTTCCAATCCTATAGCACTTGCAAGTCTTGTTAGTGTGGTGTTGAAGGGAATGCTCAAATGTCTGCATCAGGACTCAGACGTGTTACTAATGCCTGGTCCTGGTTTGACCTCATGCTAACCAAACTTGCAAGGCTTGGGGTGGAAAGAGATTGTTCAGGAGGTCAGGATATATGAGCTGTGTTTTGCTTTATTAACAGAACACAATGTGGACATTTATCATCCTTCCATAATATTTATTTCAGAGACTCCTTTTCATTTACTTTACAAGATCCAGAAGTCAGAAACCTTACTAGGCATTGTTCTGAGTTCATACAATGCCTCCTATGTCTCCTCTATTAGATTGGTTAGAGACTGGCCCAAAATTTTAGGTCCTTAGTAGATGAATGAATGAATGAGTGAGAGAAAGGAAGGAAGACTTTTTAAAAGGTAGGACGGAGCCTAACCATTCATACTCTGCCTTAAAGCACAATTTTAGATTATTGTTTTTAATGAATGTATAATTAAATTTTTTTTGTTTACATTTACTAAGCTTTTAACACTGTATTGTTTAATTCTAGCTCTGAATGATATTTTGAAAGAGTTTATTTCCATGGGAAGTTTGGTTGCACTGATTGCCACAAGCCAATCTCAGCATTCTCTCCATCCTTCACTTGTTTCTGCTCAAGGAATTCACACGTTTCAGTGTGTCCACCATATTCAACCTCCCGATCAGGTAACATACTGCTTTGGAAGGTTGTTGAAATGTACCCTTTATGTGAATGATTTTTCAGTTTTATTATTTATGGCTTTAAACTTATGCTTATGTTAATGATCTTAATATTTTAAAAGGTGGCATTTGGTGCATATTGTGCTTAGAAACAATTTCCATTCATAACTGTCTGAAATGTTACTGTGTACTTTCCAAGGAAATGGCTTTTTTGAAAACAGCATTTCTTTTTTTAAATTTTCTTTTTTCCAATTCCATTTAACAAGAAACAAAAACCCTGAGAATTCTGAACTGTTTCATTTTTTGTTGGTGAAATCAGTAAATATACCATAGAAATTAGAATTTTTTCAGCCTCATTGAGGTATAACTGACAAAATTGTATGTATTTATATAACATGATGATTTGATACACATTGTGAAATATTTACTACAGTCATCTTAACACATCACCTCACATAATTGCCTTTTTAAAATTTTTATTTTATTTTTTTATTTTAGAGATAGGGGAAGGGAGGGAGAAAGAGTGGATAAAAAACGTTGACATGTGACAGAAACATTGAGTGGTTGCCTTCTTTATGTGCCCCAGGCGACCAAACCTGCAACCCAGCTATGGCCCTGACCAGGAATCAAACTGGCAACCTTTCAGTTCCCGGAAGGTGCTCCAGTCAACTGAGCCACATTATCCAGGGCCATAATTACCTTTTTAAAGCATTTTTCTTAATGAGAAAGAGCAGTGAGAATGCAAATAGATCTATTTTAAAAATTCGATTAACTGATTTTTTTTTACCAGCACTAATATTCTGCACCTACTACAATTCCACATCCAGTTCCAGCATGTTAGTCTTTCCCTCACTACTAAGCAATTCAGGGACACAAGCTGAGTGCCCTACAATTCAACTCAATTCTTTTATTTATTTTTTTGTATTTTAGTTCATCTTTATTATTATTTTTTTTACTTTACCTCTTAGTCCCCTTTTACCCCCCTCCCTCCAGCAATCACTACACTCTAACACTGTCTGCCTGGAGATGGGTCAGACCCCACAGGTTAAGGACCAGGCAGCCCTGCACTTCAGACACCAATGTCAAGTCCAGGCTGTTACCTGCGCCTCTGACTGGGTAAATCAGAGGTTCCCACAGCCCCGTCCTTGGGTTCAATTAATTTGATGGACCAGCTCATACAATTCAGGACACTCGTTTACTCACTGGACCGGTGTATTAGAAAGGATGTTAAAGGAAATGAATCAATAGCCAGATGAAGAGACACATAGGGTGAGGTCCTGTCCTCCTAAAAGAGCTCCTATGTCCTATGGAGTTTGGGGCCCAGCACCTTGGCACATGGAAGTATCTAATTCACCAACTCAGAGGCTCTCTGAACCCCCTCCTTGGGACTGTTTTGGAGGCTTCATTACATTGATGTGATTGATTAAATCACTGACCATTGGCAGTTGATTCAGCCTCCAGCTTCTCTTCTCAGGAGGTGGGTCTGAAAATTTCAACCTCTGTTTATGGTTGGTTCCCCTGGCAACCAGCCCCCATCCTTAGGTGTTTCCAAAGTCACCTCATTAACATAAACTCAGGTGTGATTAAAAGGGGTTTTTTATTATAATAGCAAGGCACCTTTATCATTCTTCTCAGGAAATTCTAAGGGTTTTAGGAAATCTGTGCCAGAAAAAGAGACAAAGACCATATATATATTTCATACTATAAATCACAGAATCACAAATACATATGGCACATTGTCTCATTTAGGGATTCAAGTTCATGATGGTTTTAGTGGCAGTGGCACATTTAAACTTCATATTTAAAATTCTTTCCTAGCATCTACCCTGAATACTCAGATGCTGTGCTAATTGACTGTTACTGAAGAACAAAAGTATTATACCCATTATTAAACACAGTAGAATGATAGTAGTATAGTGGTGTTCGTCATTGAACGTGTTTCTAGAAGTAAGTTTCATAGGAACAAAAAAAAAACCACTCAGAGTAACCAGATTTTACTAAAAAGGCTTCTTATTGGAGAAAGAAATAGTAATCATTTATCAGTGTGATTTTTTTATAACTTATTGAGCTATAACTAAAGAAAGACTTATTTATAAAATTCACAGTTTTCTCACTTTTAACATGTGTCTATACCATGACACCATCACCACAGTTAGGGCAGCAGATGTCTCCCTCACTCTGGGCAGTTTCCTGGTGCCCCTCCCCCGCTCCTCCCTCCCCGGCTCTGCACAGGGATGGCCACCAGAGTGCTTCCCGCCACTGCAGGTTATGCCAGCCTCGTAGTTCTCAAAGTGTATGCACTAAAATATACAGCTGAGCAAAATTAGAAATTTGAATTTTTTTTCTTCAGGAACAAAGACGTGAAATTCTGCATAACGTAATAAAAAATAAACTGAATTATGATATAAATAAGTTCACCGATCTTGACCTGCAACCTATAGTGAAAGAAACTGAAGGGTTTGTGGCGAGAGATTTTACGGTGCTTGTGGATCGAGCCATACATTCTCGTCTCTCTTATCAGAGTATATCCACCAGGGAAGGTATGTTTTACTATTAAAACCAAAATTTGGAATCTCCATTCCGTGATGTAGAAATGTTATTGTAGTAAAGCAAGAATTAAATATATTCCATTATAGTATTCAAATACATAGTTATTTCAGTAGAAGATTGACATGGCTGGCTAAGTTGATTGACATATTTTGAAAAGTCATATACAGATAGGACGACCAAAAGTAGCTTTGTTCATTTTTAAACAGAATTAGTTTTAACAACACTGGACTTCCAGAAGGCTCTCCAAGGATTTATTCCTGCATCTCTGCGAAACATCAACCTGCACAAACCTCAGGACCTGGGCTGGGATAAGATTGGTGGATTACATGAAGTGCGGCAGATACTTATGGATACTATCCAGTTACCAGCCAAGGTATGTCAAAAATTCAAGTACTCCCAGACGAATCACAGAGCCATTGGCTTTGGCTCCCTGTGTTGGCTTGCCCAATCTCAGTTGGATCCAACAGGTATTTACTTAGTTACCAGAGAAATGTCCCATACTGCTTTTGGTACACTAACAGGTTTTCAAAGTATTTGTTATACTCTTTCCCCATAAGAATCTTTTAAAGAAAACTGGGGTGATAGTTACAGGAAATACATTTTGATGTAGATTTCATAATTCTTATATTTTGCTTGACATATTCAGGCTGTACCAGAACGAGCTGTCAGCTGGGATTTGAACAGAAATAGATGGGAATCAGTTGGGAGGTGGAAGAGTCATCTCAGTCATGGAACGGATGGATAAGGAGATTTCCAGACTCTTGGTGGCAGTCCTGGGAAGGCGGGGTTATCAGGCAGCACAGACCAGGCAGATGGCAGGACACCTGGAGTGAATGTAGGTCGCTCTTTCCATCAGAAGGTCGTGTCTAGGGGTAGTGTGTTTGAATTGAAAACCTGAGAGAGAAGGATCACTGCCTGAGATCAGGGACCCATGCACAGAGAAGAGAGATGGGTACGGACTTCAGTGGAATTAGATGGGAGATTTTACTATGATCATTACCCAAGTTTTTCTACAATTTTCTTTCTTCGAATATACATAGCTGTCATATGAACCATACAAATAGACGGCAGTGTTCTTGTTAAAAGATTGGTTTTTATTTTCTTAATGTAATACTTTTATAATGTTAATTAAACAGGAAAAAATGGAAAAAATTTGACACAGCTACATTAGAATGTATATTGTGGTCCAGTTGAGAAATCCCTAAGGTAGTTCGTTTGACTTCATTTTCTGTCATTGCTCTGTAATAAAGGTGGCAGTTATCACCATCCGAATACTTCCTTCTATACATTGGTCTTTGGTTGCTGCTTAGTCCTTCATTTCAGATGTGAGCTCTTGGTCATGCTTTCGTATTTTCCAGTACCCAGAATTATTTGTGAACTTGCCCATACGGCAGAGAACGGGAGTGCTGCTGTACGGGCCTCCCGGGACGGGGAAAACCCTGCTCGCTGGAGTCATTGCACGAGAGAGTGGGATGAATTTTATTAGTGTCAAGGTATGTTGTGCATTTATCTTTTTTTTTATTGAGGTAAAATTTCTGTGACATTAATTAACTATTGGGCAATTCAAAGGCATTGAATGCTGTGTGACTGTCCCTTCTCTCTAGTTTCAAAACTTTCCATCCCATTCCCTATTCCCTCCTTCCGCCAGCAACCACTAATCCACTTTCTGTCTCATGGATTGGCCTGTTCTGGACACGTCATAGAGAAGGAATTGTATGTCACACAACAGGCTTCTTTCACTTAACATAATGTGTTCAACGTTCATCCAAGTTGTGGCACATACTTTAGTCCTTATATACCTGGACAATATTCCTTTGTATGGGTGTGGCACAATTTGTTCATCTGTTCATCATTGCTAGACATTTAGGTTGTTTTCGCCTTTTGACTGTTACAAATAATGCTGCTATAAATTGTGTACAAATTTCTGTGTAGACATGTTTTCATTTCTCTTGAATATATACATACCTTGGAGTGTAACTGCTGGGTGATACGGGAATTCTATGTGTAGCTTTTTGAGGAACCACCAGTTTTTCACCATGACTGCACCATTTTATGTTCTCACCAGCATATATGAGGGTCTCTCTCCACATTACCACCAACACCACTTAAGTCTCTTGATTGTGGGTTAGTTTCATATTTGGAAAGCTAGTAGGAGCAGTGACCCATTTTTTAAAGCTATGAGGCACATTTAGTAATGAACCACCTCTCTTGTAGGGCTTACTGTGTTCCTGCTTAAGGCAAATCTGCATGCCTTATAAATAAAATTATACATAAATAAGCAAAGAGCAAAGAGCACACTATACTTGGAGGGAGAAGAAAACCTAGAAGACTAGGGGCTGGAGACCACACTGAGGCAGGAAGCCGGGTTTTTATGGTTCTGTCATTTGTTGGCTGTTTCACCTTCGCTAGTGTCACACTAAGTCTAAGTGTTTTCAGATACAAGGTGAGTGTGGTAATTAAGGGACATGCTATTATGTCTTGTAGGCCATGGGTAAGCCTCACAGTCCTCTAGTCTGGGGTCCGATATCTTCGTTGTGCAGGTTCAGGGTCCAGCAACATTAGTCTGCCAAAGCGTGATTACATTGCAGGCATATATTGTAACATGATTCATATATAACCTGCAAGCCAGTGCAGTAAATTCGCGATCTAGTTAATGCCTACCCTTTTTTATCATGTGAATTGCTGTGAGCTGGTTTCATGGCAATAATGGAGAAACACTGTAACGTTTACATTTTCCTGTCTTTTTTTCTGGATTCTGCAATAACTGACCATTCTCCTCTTTTTGCTTGTCACTAGAATATAGTTTCACTATTTTTAAAAAGACATAATTTTCGAGATTAAAGCTTGTGATAAGTGTTGCATTTTAGATTTTTCCATCGGGAAAATATCTTACCCCTTTGTTAAATCCGCAAATCACCGTTAGGCGTGAGTTCTCTATGGAAAGGTTTCAGTAGCAAGCTCATACTCTGGGGGCGGGGGGGGGCGGGGCGGAGCGGGGCTGACCCCAGGCGGCGTGCCCCAGAACAGGGTCCTTTCACTGACACAAGTGTGCTGCCTGGTCCCCCCACATTTGGGGGGACTGGGTTGTTTCTTGTTCCGTCCTCTCTAGTTCTCTCATTGTGTTAAGGAAATCTAATTAAATGGTGGCATATTAATAGATATATAGATGGCTGTGTATTAGATATTCTTGATTTTGGTCACATATCCTGATCAGTATTTCGTTTTTTTGAGGGAATAATTTTTCACTGGAGATCACTATAGGGCATATTCATTTTTTTTAAATTTTAAGATCCCAATTTAAAATACTGTCCTTATTACTGATTTTGTTATATGTAGTAAAGTTTATTTTAGATTATATTCTTCAACTTCTGTACAAATAAACTGGCCTCATAATTGAAGATGCTGATTAAAGTAATTCATCTCATTACATAATTTTGGGAATCTCCAAAGATTTGAGGCAGATGGAACATTTTCCCTTTGTAAGCCATTCACTGCTTTACTAAACAAGTAATTACTCAGCTCTTACTATGTAGAAGGCACTGCTTTTGGCACTGGGGATTCAGGAGTGAACGGAACTGCCTTTTTGGAGCTCGTTTTTTATTTACTGGCGAGAGACAATCAACAGATACAGTCAGGATGATATACTGCCGGCTGGTGGTGGTAGATGCTGATGAGGAAGACAAGCAGGGTCAGGAGGTGCAGAGTCACTTCACTGGACTGGGTCATAGAGGGGGTTGTTGGCCCTTTCCAAGGACCTGGCATTGGGTCAGAGATCTAAATGGAACTGAAGCAGTGGACTGTGAGACTATCTGGGGACAGATGTTGTAGACAGAGGAGACAAGGGTAGAACTTGTGGTGTGATATTTATTCCAGCCACATAATTTTAAATGTGTTTGAGACATTTATTTAATCATACTAAAATTTTTTCATGACTGCATTCAGACTTAGTCTTAAAAAATTATATTTTGTTTTAAAATAATTTTATCTTACCCTTATTTAATTTTATTTTATCTAATAGGGGCCGGAGTTACTCAGCAAATATATTGGAGCAAGTGAACAAGCTGTTCGGGATATTTTTATTAGGTCGGTTACCTATGGGTGTTTTTTAAGCCACTGACTATTATTTATCAGTCAATGCTGTTTGGTCTTCAGTTGTTTTTGTTTGTGTGTGGGGTTTTTTGTTTGTGGGGTTTTTTGTTTTGTTTTAGAACTGATATTTTAGACCTGTGATTTATGTGGAGAACAAAGATTCTGTTCCACCAAAAATCACTTAAATATGAAACATTTTCAGTATCAAGTTTTGGGAATTGTTTGGTTTTATGTTAATAATAGAAATATTCCTGAAGTGCTGAAAGTGGAATCATAAGTGGTTATTTAAAGGAATCTCAAAGTAGATCTTTGTATGAACCACATAATCCCTCTAGTCTATCTTTTTTAAACTAAGATTCCATGTGGTCAACTTAATTAAAATAGAGTATAGCTATTGCTGTGTTTATATAAAATACATATGAATAAGAAACTAATATTTAAGAATCAAAATATTTAAATATAATCAGATTATAGGGAGTTTTCAAATTAAAAAGCTACTTTATTTTATTCTTCTAAAATTTTATTAGAATATATGTAATGTACATATATATTTTGAAGAAGAATAATGAACTCTTAAGAGTATATCCACCACCCAGTTTAAGAAATGGAACATTATCATTATTAATGGAACATCCATTAATAATGGAACACATTATTATTTAATAGATAAAGACAGTCACCACATATTGAGAAAAGGGTCTATTTACCAGCAAGATAGTACAATTCTAAAATTTTCTAATACTATACCTTCAAAATATTTAAGGCAAAAATTGACAGAACTGCAAGGAGAAACTCACAAATCCACCTTTTAGTAGAATTTTAATACAGGTTTCAGTTGTGAGGTTGAGATTTTTTTAAAGAGTAAAAATTTAGAAGATTAAAACAATATATTCTACAAGATTGATCTAAGCATATTTAGAACATGTACCCAACAACTAGAGAATATTCTTTTCAAGCACACCTGGAACATACTCAAAAATTGGCCATATGCCATTCCATAAATAGCAGTAAGTTTCAAAGAAACAGTATCATATAGATTCTATTTTCTGAAAACACATTAAAATAAAAGGATAATCCCCTCCCATTCGTTTAGGTATTTAAAAAAAAACAAACACTCTTCTAAGTAATTTATGGATTGAAGAGGAAATGGAAGATACTCAGCACTATTAAGTAATAATGAAAATTCTATTAAAATTATCAGATGCCCCACAACTTATTTCAAGGAAAACTTGTAGCCTTAAATTCTTATTTAAAAAAAAAGATTGAGCCCTGGCTGGTGTAGCTCAGTGGATTGAGCCCGGGCCTGTGAAGCAAAGGGTCGCTAGTTCGATTCGCAGTCTAGGGTATATGCCTGGGTTGCAGGCCAGGTCCCCGGTAGGGGACACATGAGAGGCAACCACACATTGATGTTTCTCTCCACTCTTTCTCCTTCCCATCCCCTCTCTCTAAAAATAAATAAGTTAAATATTTTTTTAAAAAAGATTGAAAGTTGATCAGCAGGTATCCATTTTATGAAATTAGGAAAGTATAGATGCAAACTAAAAAAGAAATAATACAGAGCAAAAATTAATGAAATAGAAAACAATAGAGAAGTTCACAAACCCAAATATTTTCTGAAAGCCTGGTAGAATTGACAGGTCTCCAGGAAGTTTGATAAAAATAAAGACAGTATGAATAAACAATGTGTATTAGGGTTATAGGAGGGACATGACTAAAGATACCCAGAAACAAATGATAAGAAAGGAAAATTATGAAATAATATTATGAACTTTATGCCAGTATTTTTGAAACTTGGGTGACAGACAAAAAGACAATTGACCAAAATCGCAGAAAGAGAAACAAAATCTGGATAGTACTATAACTATAGGGAAAAAATTAGTCACTTGTTAAAATTCTTTACCCAAATCAAATATCAGACCCAGTTGGTTTTCTAGGAGAGTTTTGACAGTCATTCAATGAACAGATCATTCCAGTCTCTTGTTGGCCCCAGAAGATTTATCTTGTCATTCATTTATCCCTGCTGATGTCATGACTGATCTGTGAGATACAAACTCTTCTTAAGTATTGTTACATATATCAGGTGCATAGGTTCAAGGTCATGACTAGGTGCGTGTTTGTATGTGACTAATATTAAGCCATTAACATTTAAGCTGTAAGTCTGGTTATAACACGTGTGCGATATTCTATAGTAAATCATACCTGAGAGATACTGAGAACTTTGAAGTCAGTGTTAGTGTAGTTTTTTTCATGATCTTTGAAGTCAGTGTTGTGTTTGGGGTTGGTTTTATTTACCACTGAAAATGGCTAGAAAATATACTGATTCAGTAATCCAAAATATTCACTGCAGAATTTCAGTGAATGCTACTCAAGTTGCTTATCAAAATATTTTTGCAAGTGTTGTGAGAAGTATTTATGCCTTGAGCACAGCAATACTGTTTGCAATGACTATCACAAACGTTTTGCAAAGCCAGTTATTGAAGATTCTGATTAATGTTAAAGACATTTTCTTGATTGCATTCTTTAGCAATATCCATGTTTCCATCATTTGAAAATATTTTTGTTCTTTGCTTTATAATTTTTACATTGTAACTATAAATAATTATGTATTTCATTATATAAATATAATAAATGCAAATTTGCAGTATTTTTACTTCTTATATTTCAGTCCATACTAGTAATGAATGTGTCTCTCAGATACATACTGCTGTTGCAGGATTAATGAGATGTTTCTTGGGCCTTTTTTTATCATCAGCATGACAGGTGTTTTGTATTATGGACAATTCTTCAGACATCTAGTCTAACCTGTTCCCAGAGATGGAATTTGTTTTTTTCTGTTTAACTAAAAGAAAATTAGTTAAAGTTCAAAGTTCAAGTTAGAAAAAAGGTAATATACATAACTAAAATATATTTTATAGAGTTCTTAGAAAACAATATGAAAATAATGAGCTTACCAAATTTTAAATGGACAAGATGAATGGCATTTCACAAAAGAAATAAAGGTGGCCAATAGGCATATAAAAAATGTTTGCTTATATTAAGAATTAAAGAAGCATTTTACTTACTGAATAAGACTCTGGTTTTTGTTTTAGTCCCTGTCCAGAAGGCCTCAGTCTTAGGCAAACATCTTGACCTAAGACCCAATTTACTGAAAGCTAAGATAATTACGTATGCCTTCCTTTTTTCAACAATTCATTATGAAGATTTAAATACATAACATGTGAGCATATATATATATATATATATATATATATATATATATATATATATATAAAATTACATTGCAAACTCAGAAGCCCTATTCAACTGTGAAGTATTATTTGTTTTTCCCAGAGCACAGGCTGCAAAGCCCTGCATTCTGTTCTTCGATGAATTTGAATCCATTGCCCCTCGCCGAGGCCATGATAACACAGGAGTCACAGACCGAGTCGTTAATCAGTTGCTGACCCAGCTGGATGGAGTAGAAGGCTTACAGGGTAATCATTGTAAATACCCAACTATTTTATTGTAACAGAGCCTTGCCAGGACTCTGAACAGTTTGTGTTTTCTTCCCCCAGGTGTTTATGTGCTGGCTGCTACCAGTCGCCCTGACTTGATTGACCCTGCCCTGCTTAGGCCTGGCCGCCTGGACAAATGTGTATACTGTCCTCCTCCTGATCAGGTGACAGTTCCGTATTCAGAGTCCAAAACCCAACAAATGCTACACTCTTTCCTTGTGAACTTGTGCCAGGTAAAATAGCAGCTGTCCTCAAAAGACCAGCTTTAGGCAACGGTCTTAGCCACTGCTCACAGCATAAAAAGTTTCTGAATTAGGTACAGAGGCTGTCTTTGGCCCAGCCATTTCCATGCAAATCTGAAAACTTCGTGATCTTTCAGTGTTGGCCAGTTGGGGAAAAAAGGAAGGAAACCCCAAGTATTGCGTGTCCACATTCCCTGTTTAAAGATCCCATATTTCATTATCCCAGCAAAAAACTCTGATACAGAGTCAAGCATATGACTTGTAAGTACATTGCAGGTTAGGTAGAAACAGGAATTTTAACTGTTCCTTTGTTGTTCCAACTCTTGTTCACAAATTTAGAAGCTAAAGAGTAAATTAGTCAAAGGTGTAAAATATCTAAATATATGTCACATGTAGCTATTCTTTATTTTAATTTTTTTGAAACACAGCACATTTGTCCAAATCTAGAAAATAAGCAGCGTCTGCATAAGAAATGATTTACACTGAATAGTTAAGAATATTGCTTTTCATTCATTTTCTTCCCTGTACTTTGTTAGGGAACAAGTCCCAAGATAGTAGACTGATGGTACATTTTTTTCAACTTACTTATAAAACTTATTAGATATGTAAAGCTAATTTCTAAAAAATCTTAAGATAGTTTAAAGTAATATTTAATTTTGTTTTATTTGTTAAATCAGTTTTTCTCCCTTCAGGTGTCACGTCTTGAAATTTTGAATGCTCTCAGTGACTCTCTCCCTCTGGCGGACGATGTGGACCTTCAGCACGTGGCCTCAGTAACTGACTCCTTCACGGGAGCCGACCTGAAAGCACTGCTTTACAACGCCCAGCTAGAGGCCTTGCACGGAAGGCTGCTGTCCTGTGGGCTCCCCGTAAGTTATGTGAAGACATCATTACTAAGGTGCTTCACGAACAGTAAGGAAAGTCCAGTACCAGAATCGTAACCTTGAAAAAAAAATCCTGTTTTTTTTAGCAACTTTGGTAAACTGTATAGAAATTTACCTTTAGTCAGATGTTCCCTAGTTGGAATATTGACTCTGCAGAGAATTTGTAATCATGAAGAGTTTGGTGTCTTTTTAACATTACCTACTATTGGTGAAGTACATTGGTGTGCAGAAAGATATTTAAATTGGGATATCATGAATTAGATAATACAGATAGAAAGATACTTTAATTTTTAAAAAATAACCATTTTGAAGCTCACATTGTCCCCAGTCTGGTCAGTAGGAGCTGCTTTTGAATGGCTTTCGTGTCCTTTGCTCATTCTTTGGTTACTTACCTTACTTCTTGTACCACTTTCTGTAAGCCTTAGAATCAGCTTTTTCTCTAAGAATAGTAGTTTGATTTGAATTTTTACAGCAGATAATTTGAACTCTGCTACATTATGGACTTTACAATACATTTTCCAGGAAGAGGTTTCCTGTGTACACTCCTCTTTCCTATGTGTGTTTTTGTAAGGCTCGATGTCCCTAAATCAGACACGACTAAGTTCTTGTTGTTCATTTTGGTTAGCCATTGAGGTTCTTTCTTTTCCTCTTTCATTATCAGAAAAGGCTTATGTCTGGAAAGTACAGAAATCTGACTCCTAGGTTTGTTACAGAGTTTTGGGACAGCTGGTTAGCATATTATCTACACATTCCATATGGTCTTTTAAAAAATTATAATAGTTAAATTTCTATCATGTCTTCAGAACCATTGGAGAATAAGTTTTGGGTTTTTTAATGCCTCAAGTTGCCTTGTACTGGTCTGTTCGAATGTTTTGTGTTATTTCTTGAGTTGCAGATTATTTAGATCTTTACAATGGGTTGCCCTCTGTGTGTTTTAGGATGGAAGCTCCAGTTCTGACAGTGATCTGAGTCTGTCTTCAATGGTTTTTCTTAACCACAGCAGTGGCTCTGATGACTCAACTGGAGATGGAGAGTGTGGCTTAGATCAGTCCCTTGTTTCTCTAGAGATGTCTGAGATGCTTCCGGATGAGTCCAAGTTCAACATGTACCGGCTCTACTTTGGAAGCTCTTATGAATCGGAACTTGGAAATGGAACCTCTTCTGATTTGGTATGCTGTTGTCATTGGACAGTTCTGAAATATGATGCCATATATTGATGTAAAGTTGTAAAGTGACTTGTCTCCTAGCCAGCTCCATGTGTTCTTTCTCATTGGTTGGTTCGTCAGTAAAATAGTCTTGTTTCCCTCACACTAATTAGTCATTTTCATTCCTTGGTCAGAACTGTAAGACAGAGATGGCCACTAGGGGGAGGCAAAGTAGCCAGATGGTTTCTTTCAGATTTATCTCCATCAGTGGTTCTCATACACCTTTAGTAGCAGATCCATTTTATATTAAATTTAAATTCTGTTATTAGGACATTTGAGGATAATGAGGAATTTGGTAACATACTGTCAAAAATCTTTGATAACCAAATGATATCTGTCTGTGACACTTTTGGTGTAAAGTACAAACCCAGTAAAAATGGTGTAAGTAGTAATAATGTTTTAACAGGGGGAATGTTTAGATTAAATATAGGAAATATCATTTTTTTAAAACTTTTTTTTACTTTTTAGAGAAATGGAAGGGAGGAAGAGAGACATCAGTGTGTGAGAGACACACTAATCATTTGCCTCCTGCGTGCCCCCAACCGGGGAACCTGGCACGTGCCCTGACTGGGAATGAAACCAGTGACCTTTCGGTTCACAGGCCAGCGCTCAATCCACTGAGCCATACAGCCAGGGCATCACTTTCTTTTAATTAAAGTAGCATTCAACACATATTTCCCCAATATTAAGAGTAATTCACTGTGACTTTTTTGGGCATGAATAACATTTTTATGTATATTTTTCTTGGTTTTTGTAAATTTGCCTTATTCAGGTTTTGAAAAAATAAAAGTGACCGGTTTTTATTCCCAAGAGTAGTAAGCTATTGTTTTAATTCCATTCTTTAATTCTGTTTTCCATTTCTTAACTTCTACGTGGAAATGTCCCAGAACTTATACTTGCTGAACCAATCCCTAGGGCGTCAGTGTGGTGGATTTAGTAACAAAGCATTGGCGGGACCTTGCGCTGTGGCAGTTTTCACTCGATGATGGTTCAACGTAGATATAAATGACCTTTATAAAATGAACAGTTTGCTTAGTTTCAGTTAGTTAAAATGTAAGCTTACCCATATTTAGGTTTTAGTGCCTAAAATTTTAATTTTGTCTTTGATAAACACATACTTTTATTGTTTTCCTTTTTTCCCTTTCTTCTCTCATTACACCTAACCCTGCAGAGCTCACAGTGCCTGTCTGCACCAAGCTCCATGACTCAGGATTTCCCTGCAGTTCCTACGAAAGAGCAGTTGCTCTCACAGCCTCCCGTGTTCAGAACAGCTTCACAAGAAGGCTCCCAAGAACTTACACAGGAACAGAGAGATCAACTGAGAGCAGATATCAGTATTATCAAAGGCAGATACCGGAGCCAAAGTGGAGTATGGCTTTTCTCTCCCCGCACCATTATAATTGTAACAACTTCCTAAAAATCATTTCCTTTTTTAATTTACACCTGTTTATTTGATTTGTAAATGAGCTATATTTATAAACAAGGGACTGAAACCTGTTGATCAAATTGTTATGTGCTTCCTGCTTTCAAACAAATTTTAGTAATCTTAACCAGAAAGGGAGTGCATGGTCCCTGAGAAGACTGACAGAAGGAGAGAACACTCGGGCTGCTGCTTTCTTTCATCATGTCCCAAAGTTAACTTTTTGTCCTTTTCTTTCTTTAAGGAGGATGACTCCCTTAACCGTCCAGGACCAGTCAGAGCCAGTCTGGCCATTAGTCAGTCTCATTTAATGACCGCTCTCAGTCACACAAGGCCATCCATTAGTGAAGATGACTGGAAGAATTTTGCTGAGCTGTAAGTAACAGACTGATTCATAAGTATGTATTATTAGAGGTGATAGTTATTCGCTTGAACTTTTTAAATTCTTATTTAAAATTATATTTTGAATATTTAAAAACCAATTCAGAAATTTGTTTAGTAGCTCGCTTGAACTTTTTAAATTCTTATTTAAAATTATATTTTGAATATTTAAAAACCAATTCAGAAATTTGTTTAGTAGCTATGCATTTAAACACCCAAAAACTCTAGGAGTAAAGAAGTAAAAAATGAATTTTCATTAGCCAATTCATTTGACTTGAATTAATGATTTAATTTTAAAAGCTTTGAAGAAATGAAAGAAATATTAAAAGTTCAAAATGATTCCAATATAAAGTTTGTGAAAATGTTAGGGAAAATATACCTGTTTCACTTAAATTTTTTAAAAGATTTTATTTTTAGAGGGGAAAGGAGGGAGAAAACCATGTGTGGTTGCCTCTTGTACCCCCTACTAAGGACCTGACGGGGACTTAAACAGGAGTCTCTTTGGTTCTCAGGCCAGTGCTCATTCCATTGAGCCACACCAGCCAGGACCTCACTTTCCGTATAATTTGTATTTTATTAATCTCAAGAACATCCCAGTACATTCAGGCTTACTCACTTGTACACATTTGGATTTACAGGCTTCTTGCAATTGTGTCTGTAGTGACTTAGTCCGAGACCCACAGACTAGGGACCAACTCAAGAAATTATTTTTCCTATTCTTTAGAAGTTATAACTCTTTTTGGCAGAAAAATTGTCTTCTCGATTCTTTGGCTGATCTAGTAAGTAAATTACCGTAACACAGATTAACAGAAAAATTTAATTGCAGTTACTGGAGCCCCATAAAAATAAGAGACTCGGAGGCAGCCAGACAGTTGAGGCTTAGATAGCAGCACTGTCCTGAGGAAAGGGGCAGGGAAAGCAAGGTGAGAAGGGCAGCCGTGTGGTAATCAGATGTTTGTGCTGCCATGCAGGTGTCTTTCAGATAAAAACAAGTTACCTCTGGGCCCTGGCCAGGTGTCGCAGTTGGTTGGAGCATCGTCCTAATGTGCCTTATTGTGCAAGCAATCAGATTTCTGTGGAAACAAAAGAAATACAAAGGTTAATGATTAGAGCAGGCCATAACTGCAGTCTTGAGTTCTAAGGGCTGCCAGTTGAGGTTTCTAGATGTCAGATGACAGCATCTTCTGCAGGTTGAATGTTTCTGATGATGTTATTGGATGTTCAGGTAAAAACTCTGAGTGGCCCACACAGCAGCAGGCACAAAGATTGTTCATGCATGAGCCGTTGTGATTTGTGGAAAGTTTTTGTTGGGTTGTTTACATTCGGTTTTCAGGGATTGGGGAAGAGAGCAGGTTTTGAAATTATTTGTTTTTATTGATTTTAGAGAGTGAGACACAGATTTATTATTCCACTTACTTATGCATTCACTGGTTGATTCTCATATGTGCCCCGACTGGGGATAGAACCTGTACACATTGGGACAGAGCTCTAAGCAACTGAGCTATCCACCCAGGGCCTAACGGAGCAGTTTTTGTTTACAGTGTTTCCAAGTCGAAAGAGTGAGGTAATTTAGAAATGTTCATTTGGAGACTTGTAGCCAAATACTAGAAGTGAGGAATAGAAATCAGGAACCAGTCCAGTTTACAGGTAGAAAACAAAACATCAAAGGCAATTGACAGCTCTAGAACCTTGTATCCACAAAGATATATTACTGAAACATAATTTCTCTTGATATTCACTCCCATTTTTATCAAAGATAACCACAATAAGACTGATCTGTTTGCAAAACAAGTGCAGTTTCAATAAACTTGGCCTGACTGTTTACATAAGTGCAGCTCTTTTAAACCTGCTTTACCAGAACATTTCATAAGGAATCTCCGATTGAACTTAAAAACCTCTTGAGGCTAGGACGCCAACAGGGACTCATCATCAGAGTCTGCTTGCAGTACATTCATGTGGGAGTTCATTCCCCGCTTCTGGAGGTCCCCAAGATATTCTGAGGTTTCTGCATCTGCTAGGAAGTGATGTTCTTTACTCACCTGATAAGGCTACTGGGAACCCTATAAGCAAAGGTGTGCAGGTTGGTGTTCCAAGGTCCTTTATTGGCTCCGTAATGTCAACCTTCGTTCCTCCTGTGTGCATTCTCAGATGTGACATTCTGGTTCAAGCCTTCAAAGTATCATCAGTGTTTATAATTGTGTCCTGTTACAAGGAGAAAAGATTCTTACTGAACTTATGTAAATATATTGTAAGGAAAATAAGAATATTTATTCAGTAGGAGTTTCTGAATTCTGAAGGGATCAGGTAGGGAGAAAAAATGTTTCATCTTTGTTTACATAGTTATATTTACCAAGTCACTGATAGCCTAAAAGGTTTCCTTAAATTGGGGAAAAAACATAAAAGAAACAATGTTTCAAGCAAAAAAATTACAAAAATTGTAATCATCCTCATCAATTCATTCAGTCCCATGTAATTAATTTTCTTGACTTTGCTCTTTTGTTAGTAGTTTTTATAGCCATCAGTAGTCTGTAGATTCTTACCCAGGTCAGTGGTATGGTCTGAGAGTATCAGGAACCTGCACTTGTGAGCGTCTCCTTCCCATGAGGCTTGATGAAGAACTACTGCAGGAACACTTTTGCAAAAACATCCAAGTAAAACAGTAAGTGTCTGTAAATGACAGAAATGGCCATGTTTAAAGATCTGATGTGAGTTCATTGTAATTCACTTAACATGGTAATGTTATTTTTGTGACACAACATTTTAAAGGATAATATACTTGAAATTATGATGAATACCATTATGTATCCGATTTTAGAAATTTTATGTAGTTTCTGGAACACATAACAACATCTATTCATACAGATAGAACTGAAAGGTTTAGTATTACTTCTAGGCTTGTGTTAGTGAGTATACTCCATGACGTTTCCCAAAACTACAGATTTGTCCAGTGACTCATTTCTTAGTGTATTCTTGCCATTAGGTGGTGCGTGAGCGCGTATCAGATGAGCCTACTCAGTTTATCACTTCTCATCGTATAAGGAGAGGACACATCTTTTGAGATGTTCCAGGGTCTCTTAAATATTCCAAAGTGAATTAGAGATCCTAAGACTTTTCACTTAGAATTTGATTTGGGGGACATTTGTCAAAAATACCAAAATATTTTAAAACAGTCAAATAGGATTACATATCACTGTGAAACAATATGTAATTATCTATTTAACCAAAGTGACAGTTAAAAACTTTGTAGGCAAATACAAAAAGTTACATAGTTGTAAAACAAATAACACTTAGCTCTTTTAATAGAGAAGATTGTTTTCTTAAGTAATCAAACATGAAGCATAGGAAAATTTGTCCTTTTAGCAGATGAAAGAAAATTGTTTTATGTAAGTACACTACTGATGTTAAAGTTTACTTTTTAAAACTTTATTCCATTTTAATCAGCTTGACTACACCAACTAAAATTCACTCTCCAACTTTCTGTATCCTTTTAGTTGGTTCTTTTTCCCCATTCTGAAACATTCAGTTGTTTACAATAAAATTATTTTCCCTTAACAAAAGTCCATCTCTATACGTCATACCTTTTTACCAAAACAAACCCACTTTCCTTGTATACAGAGTTGTTTTCCTTATTTTTTGCAGGTTTAATTACATATATTAATTAGAATTCTTAACACTTAAAAACCTTAATTTTTAGTAGTTGTGAAATGTTACATCAGCATTCTCTAGGTTGGCAAATCTGTGGATACATTTCATCATTTCTAGAAGCATAACCCTCTCTTCAATAGCACAGTTTTTCACTGTGACATAGGGCATGTTCACTTCTTAGTTTCTCTGTAATAAGAAACCAAAAGTAGATAAACCTATGTTCAGTGCTATTTCAGTATTTTATTTTAAAATTATCTAGATAGTCAATGAACTTCCATCATTTAAATTAGCAAAACTCTTAAAGAGTGTAAGTTACCAAAGGCATTTGGGAAACTATTCGAGTAGACCTCATACAACATAATTGTTGAAAAGTTTACTTAAGAACTTTTTTCTTAATATTTAGATTATGAGACATTAAAGTAGCTAGCTAGCCATTGTGAGAATTTTTTAAAATTTATTGGCATGACACTGGCTAACAGAATGCTACGGGTTTTAGCCACAGCACATCTGCACACTGCTGATGTGTGTTCACCAACCCTGCCAGGTCTCCATCCATCATCTTTTGTCCCCCCAGACCCTCCTCCACATGATGAGAGATTCTGTGACAAATACAGTACATAAGCTTATTTGACTAAGAAACCTAGGTAGAATAAAAGTTGTATGTCTGCATTATATTAAAAGCTGATAACTTTGAAAATGTGCCTGTTGTAAATAAACCAACAAACTTAAACTAGCTTTTTTTTAACCAAAGATTATTCCAGATCACATACATTTTAAAAGCATTTGGGTTAATTTCTGTTACATATCTGAGAGTTTAGAAATACTTAATTTAATGAGTGCTTATTTTTCTTTGGCCAAAAAATTCATTTTGTTCTTTCTGTATGGTGGCTCTAGTAATGCTTAGTTGTCTTGACCTTCATTTGAAACAGTTTTATTGTATTGTGACAACTGTCATATCAGCATGCATTATTTTTAAAAATTATCAGAATTGGTGAATTTTTGTGTAGCCATTTTATTATTGAAGATGGAAGGAAACAAGCAATATTTTCAGTATATTATGCTTTATTATTTAGAGAAGGTGAAAACGCAATGGAAATGTAAAAATATTTATGGAGAAGGTGCTGTGACTGATCAAACCTATCAAAAGTGGTTTGTGAAGTTTTTTGTACATTGACATTTTGGCCCAAGAATTCTTTGCTGTGGGGCTGTCTTATGCATTAGAGGATATTTAGCAGCGCCCCTGGTCTCTACTCACTAGGAGCCAATAATGGGAGATAGTGGACATACTCAAATTATTCAAATCAATAAAGTTATTTGTGAAACTAAAAAAGTCTTATTTTACAGAAAAAACTAAACAATTTTTGGCCAACCCAATAAACAGCTTTTTTAGAAGTTAATTTTGGCAACACCATCTGGACAGAGGAAAATATCACATATTTGTAACATATATCCATAGACATACAGAGACACAAACAGAGTCCCTGTAGCTCCCATTCCCAAAATTGAGCCACAAATCAGGTGCAATGATACAAAACTCAGTGTATAACAGTTGAATCCAAATTATGTCTCTAATAGAGCAAGTTAAGAGTATTTGCTCAAATGGCTAAAACTTTCTACTAATATTTGTGGAGAAGACTTCTAAGATTTCTATTTGGCCTTTGATAAGTAATCTTACAGAGGCTGTGGACTAGATTTGGGGCAGGGGAGCTCTTATTGCAGTCTGTGCTTTAGAAAGTCCTTTTGCCCTTCCACTGCGGCCTCAGGTGGCTGTGGGCAGTGTCGTAGTTGTCTGCCTAGCTGTTCGTGTCTCAGAGACATGGTAAGATTTCCATTTTCAAGACACAGAAATAATGCAGGTTTTCTCCTAGGAGTTATTAGGTTTATTTCTCTAGTATCTAGGTTTATTTCTCTAGTATCTAGGTTAATTACTATTTAAAACTTTCCTTCCTTTTGGGACAGTTCTGCTGTAAATATCTGTAAGAATTTTGAGAAGAATAGGATAGTTTGGGGGTTGGTAAAGATGGGTGGACTTTGAAATGTCTCTAGAGCTACACTTCTGGTTTGGCAAAGACTGCAGGCTGTAAAATGACCGTCTGAATTCCTCAGAGAACTGGTTGCAGCCTGAATGTGGTTAAGGGGCCGACTGTCAACTAAGGCGGAACTCAAAAGTTGCCTGTATTCTAAAGCATCAGGGTTTAATGCAGTATGCCTTTAAAAGGCCTGTGAAGCCCTGGCCAGCGTGGCTCAGTTGGTTGGGGCATCGCCCTGTAACTAAGAGGTCATGGGTTTGATTTCCGGTCAGGGCACATACCCAGGTTGTGGGTTCGATCCCTGGTTGGGGTGCATGCAGCTGATCACTGTCTCTCTCACATTGATGTTGCACATGCGCTTGCTCGCTCTCTTCCCCCCTCCCCCTCAAATGAGAATTTTTTAAAACCTATATGAAGTGTTTAGCAGAGGCCTCGGAATGTTTTCCTTTTTTCCTCTGATTGTGCAATTCAACCTTGGATTAGCTCACCTTAGCAGGAAAGGCTCTGCTGTTGCTTCTCTCGGCCCCTGGAATCTGCTTCCCCGTGGGGCCGCCTGGCTTGTCTGATAACTACAGTAGAATCCAGGTGGGGAAGAATGCCCCTCAGCAGCCAGTGGAGGTCCCTGTGAGCAGGGTCCCAGTAGACAGTAGTCCTTCTGACATCTCTCTAAATTTGGCAGGATGTCCTGAACATGGAAGTAAAGACATCCACAAAGGGCATGACTCTTCTAAATTCACCTCCTGGCTTTCATCATGTACATGAGTGACCTGTACAACCCCAGGCCCGAGGGCTAACTGTAAGTCTTGTAGGGCAAGGGACGGTAACACAGGCAGTGGTGCATGTATACAGTGGGATATTACTTGGCCGTAAAAGGAGAATGAAATGTCACCATTTGTGATAGCGTGGGTGGACCTTAGAGGGTATATGTTAAGTGAGACAGAAAGGCAAATACCATATGAGTTCACCTGTATGTGGAGTGTAAAGAACAAAATAGAAGAACAAAGGACATAGAAGCAGACTCATAAATACAGAGAACAGACTGATGGTTGCCAGATGGGAAGGGGTTGGGGAACTGGGTGAAAAAGGTAAAGGGACTGGGAAGTGCAAATTGGCAGTTACAGAACAGCCTCAGGGTGACAGCACAGGGAATACAGTCGGTTGTGTATACTTATGTGTGGTGCCAGGTGGGTACTGGGAAGAGTGGGGAAAACACATTGTAAATACACGACCGTAACCACTGTGCTGCATCCCTGAAACTAACACAAAACGATGGCTGTAACCGAGGTTGAAAAGACACAGCAGACAGGCCTGGATCTCCAGAAGGGGAACCGACAGCGCATGTGCTCTCCGTCCTCCCGCCTGGCTAGGGCTGCCCCTCCCGAGGCCGGCACCACACTCCCGAGTCCGCTTTCTAATTCGGCCTTTCCGCGGGTGCGGTAAGCATGAGCGGTCTCTAAAACGTTTGAAAATTTCGAAGTTTTTCCAGTCAGAGGATCTATCTGGCCATTGACAGGTAGAAACTTAACGTAAATCTTAACAGTGATTCAAACCAATAGGCCTTTTTAGGACTTAACCTAAAGTGGGTGCAAGCAGCGTCCCAAAGTAGGCCGCGAAAGATGGAGCCCTCCCGGAACTAGCCAGAGAAAGCGAAGACCTGCCTTCTCGTAGGTGGCACAGGTGGTGCGGTGACAGCGGTGTCTCTGGTTTCCCGCGAGGCGCCTGCAGTCACAGACAGGCTCACAGGCCCTGCTGGGGTGGGACTCCCTCGGCACCGGTGGAGCACAGGAGCCGGAGGCTCTTAGGGAAGAGCTGGCACGTCGGCAGAGCGTCTCGGGTCCTCAGTCCGTCCGGCCGCCGGGGGCACGCCGGTACTCGCACCTTCTGGCCGACGGGCCACACGGCCAAGCTCTCCAGGCACACAGTTAGGCGGGAGGGCCCCTCAGCAGTGAACCGACTGGTCTGTAAGGCGGGCTCGAGCCCAGGGCCTGCGGCACCAGCGTCTGCCTGCCACCCTCGGGTTCCCCCGCTGACACCGGACCCGAGAGGACAGCCGTCTCTCGGGACGAAGGGTCCCTCGGAGACGAGCTCGCGTCTTTCCCGGTCACTGTACCCAAGGAACAGGGTCACCCAGATGGTCTTTCCTGCTAATCTAAAGTTCAAAAAACGGAAGGGACCCTCGCCACTCTCCTCCCGGACCCTGCTGGGAGGAGTCCCCGAGGCTGGTGCGGCCCCAGTCCTACCTTCGCCCGCGACTCGGGTCCGAGGGCCGGGACCTCTCCCCGCGGCAGCCACTGGGGAGCTCGGGTTGGGCACCCGCTGCGAGGTAGAAACTCTCCCTTACTCCCTCCTCGGGTTCTTTGTTGAATTCAGTTGACAAAAGACAAGCGAACAGGCAAAAAACATTTAATCTCGTACCTACGGAGCCCCATAAAAATATGAAACTCAAAGGTAGGCAGGCAGTTGAGGCTCCCGTGCTCTTCCGAGCCAGGGAAAGCGGCGGGGCCGGGGCCCGGGGAAGGCGGAGCACAGCCAGAGGCCGGGGCGGCCGAGCGCGGGCGGGGCCGCCCTGCCGCGCGGTGAGGCCCGGGTCAGACAGGCGCCTCTGCTAACAGCGCTCCCTGCGCCGCAGGCCCCACCCAAATTCTGCCGCACCCCTAGGGGAGAGGCGGACAGCGGCTGAGGCTGCTGGGTCCCTCTTCCCTTCAGCGCACACTGACCCACCTGCCGCAGTGGCGCGTCTTCGGGGGGCAGGTTCTGCTCTCCCTCGGTATACTGTATAGTATGTATTTGCTGGATAATGTGCACTTACTGTAGAAGAATGAGAAATCTCCCTTAATCCCTCTGCCTCCCAAAGCATATTTATTTGCACGTTCAGGTGTTTCTTTCTCACTAAAACAAGACACCGCACACACGGCTGAAGAGCAGCTCCCCTCTCATCCGCCCGCTCCTCTTGAACGTTCCCGTCACATTTTAAATAAGTTACTGCCGTATTGTTTTTGACACACTTTCTAATATGGTTATCCCACATACCCAGTTTTGGGACACTTATTTGCAGCTTTTCACTTACAAGCAATGTGATAATTAACATTCTTGAGCTGAACGTTCGCACGTACTCTTATTTGGTGGGGGTAACGGCAGCTTTGTCGCATCGCCTTCGAAGTGACTGCCCCTCTGCCTCCCGGAAACACCAGCGCGTATTCCAGCCGCAGTGCAGTGAGTGCCCTTCACCACACGCTCACGAACAGTGTCAGCCTTTCTCCAGTCCTGGCTGATGGGGGAAAATTCTATCTTGTTTAAAATTTTACACTTATTTGGTTAAAACTGTAAAGGTTATTTGGTTAAAACTGTGAAGGTTATGTTTTTATATTAATCACTGCCATTTGCATTTTATCTTTTCTAAATTGTCCATACATCCCCTTTACTCCTTTTTCTAGTGAGGTGTCACCTTTTGAAAATATATTTCTAAGAACTTTCTGTAATTTCTGTTTTGAACACTATTTTTCCAGCTTGTTAGTTTGTTTTTTAAAACTATTCTGGCCCTGGCTGGTGTGGCTCAGTGGATTGAGTGCTGGCTGCAAACCTAAGGGTCGCTTGTTCAATCCCAGTCAGGGCACAGGCCTGGGTTGGGGGCTGGGGCTGGGTCTGGTGGGGGGCGCGTGAGAGGCAGCCACACACTGACGTCTCCCTTTCTCCTTCCCACTCTCCCTAAAAGTAAATAAAATCTTTTTTTTAAACATAATTGTTTGCAAACAAGGCATGGTCTTTTGTAATTTTAGCATTGACATGTATTAAGTATCTCACTTTTTTTTTAGGTATGAAAGCTTTCAAAATCCAAAGAAGAGGAAAAATCAAAGTGGAACAATGTTTCGACCTGGACAGAAAGTAACTCTGGCATAAAATATACTTCTGATTTTTTTTCTTGGTGACTTGTCCCTATGTTGTAATAGTAAAAATTGTGTCTGTAATTTTTTAAAATAAATTAATTAAGTTGTAAAATCACAGATTTGTAAACCTGTGGTTATATAATGATCAAGATTACTTGAGAGTAATACTGTATAATGGGATATTTATAACAGATTCTGTATTTTATTTCCTATAAATCTGTATTAAACCCTTAATGAAATACTTGCCAAACAGTGTAATTTTTTTCTTTTGAAGAAAAAGATAATAAAGAATGTAATTACATTTCTTAGAACTCACAATTGCACTTCCGCCAAGATGGAGGCATAGGTGAAAACACTGTGCCTTCTCGCACAACCAAGTTTAAAAACAATAGCTGAGTCGGGCAGGAAAGATCCCCCAACCCAGGCGCAGGCAGCTGTGGGTGGACCCCAGCTGTGAGGTAGCAATGGGCGGACCCAGTAAGGGCGCAAGGCAGCAGGCTGACCGTGGTCACACATTCGTGCGCAGAGAAACCAGTGAAGGAGCAAGCAGTGAGACAGACCCCGAAGGGCCCAGCAGTGGGAATCGGCAGAGGGGACCGCTATTACCCCTCTTTGACCCCGCCCCCACATACAGCATCACAACCCTGCAACCTGGGTGGCCCCGCCCTGGTGAACACCTAAGGCTCCGCTCTTCTTATGTTACAGGCACGAACAGATCAAAACATGGCTCAAGAACAACTCAGAGCCCCAGAGCTGATAAATCTAAGTGATGAAGAAATAGCCAAACTTTCAGATACACAATTCAAAACACGTGATCAGGGTGCTCACAGAACTGATTGATTTTACTCACAAATTAGAGGAACATATGAAGACTAAACTAATTGAAATGAAGGGAAATGCACAGGAAACCAATAGTAATGAAAAGGAAACAGACTCAAATCAAAGGAGTGTACCAGAAGGAGGAAAAAAATGACCAAACAGAAAAGGATGAAGAAACAAGAATTCAAAAAAAGGAGGAGAGGCTTAGGAACCTCCAGGACATCTTTAAATGTTCCAACATCCGAATTATAGGGGTACCAGAAGGGGAAGAGGAACAGTCACGAGTGGAAACCTTATTTGAACAAATAATAAAGGAGAATTTCCCCAATCTGGCAAAGGAAATAGACTTCCAGGAAATCCAGGAAGCTCAGAGAGTCCCAAAGAAGTTGGACCCAAGGAGGAACACACCAAGGCACATCATAATGACATTACCCAAGATTAAAATGAAGGAGAGAATCCTAGAAGCAGCAAGAGATAAGGGGACAGTCACCTACAAAGGAGTTCCCATCAGATTGTCAGCTGATTTCTCAAAAGAGACCTTATAGACAAGAAGGGGCTGGAAAGAGGTATCCCAAGTCATGAAATCCAAAGACCTACAACCAAGATTGATCTATCCAACAAAGCTTTCATTTAGAATGGAAGGACAGATAAAGTGCTTCTCAGATAAGATCAAATTCAAGGAGTTCAGCATCACCAAGCCCTTATTATATGAAATGTTAAAGGGACTTATCTAAGAAAAAAGATAAAAAAAGATGAACAGTAAAAGGACAGCAAATCACAGTTATTAAGAACCACGCCTAAAACAAAAGCAAACTAAGAGGACAGCTAGATCAGGAGCAGAACCATAGAAATGAAGATCACATGGAGGGTTAGCAACAGGGGAGTGGGAGAAGGAGAAGGGGGGGAGAAGGTACATAAAATAAGTAGCATAGATGTTAGGTAGAAAATAGATGGGAAGGGAGGACAAGAATAGTATGAGAAATATAGAATCTAAAGAACTTGAGACACATGGTCATAAACTAAAGGGGGGGAATGGTGGGGGAGGGGTGTGCAGGGTAGAGGGGAATGAAGGGGGCAAATAGAACAACCGTAATGGCATAATCAATAAAATATTTTTTAAAAAAAGAACTCACAATTGCATACTCAACATCTTTCTTGCATTTGACAAGTTTTCTACTTAGCAACTTCTTGACTTATAGAAATAAAATATCCTATTATTTACAAATCCAATTTTTCTTCTTATATCAGCAAATGTAGCATTTATACAAAATTCAAATAAATTTAATTATTCCATTGACCAGAAATGAGATCCCGTTTTCCTAACGTACACATGCAGTGTCAAGACCAGGGTCCTGAGTGACGTCCACTCCTTCCCCAGCTTCATCAAGGTTTCACTTATGTTCTTGAGGTGAAGTCGGCCTCCACCTCACTGTGAGCCACACTGTGGCCATGCACAGCTATGTGACATAGCTCACACAGAGTGTAGGGTGATGGATTCCCTCGGGTGGGCCCCCTTAATGGAATGAGGGCATGATGTCTGCAGACACAGACAACCATCTCGCAAACATGAGGGTAAAAACCACAGGCAACTGAGGTCGGAGCAAGAAACAAGGAGCGGGGTTCCCTGAGCGGGCGTGTTAGCCCTGGGTATCCTACTCCCAGGCCTTTCGTCCCAGACAGATACACCTCTTGTTTACTTCTCCGAGTGGGGTTCCTGTTACAGCCAGGACTCATCCTAACAAACACACCGATCTCTTTCTTAATACTTATTTTATTTTTTTAGAGAATGGGGAAGGGTGGGAGAAAGAGAGAAACATCGATGTGAGAGAGAAACTTTGGTTGCCTCTCACATGTGCCCAAACCTGCAACCCGGGCATGTGACCTTTCGCTTTGCAGGACATTGCTCAATGAACTGAGCCACACAGGTCATGGCAACACCAATTTATTTCTTAAGGCCATGAAGGAGTGTTTTCTAACATCACCACCATCGTGGGGGACAGAGCTGCAAGGTGATAAGTTGGCAAGTTGCACACAGTGCATTCACTGAATAAGCCCAAGTCACGAAGTCTGTGGATTTCTTTATATCACACCAGGATGTTGCTGGCATCTCACCTTTATTCAGTGTGAGTCACTGAGTGTCACTGCCAACCACCCAGCCATGGAATCAGCAGAACATCCCTGACGCTGATGCAGCCTCTGAATCAAAAATTAAGTACATTAATAAAAAGATACATTCGGGCATTAAACTTGACCAATAATTATGTTTTTCCTAATGTAAAAAATAAACAGCCATTTTAAAATGGAGTTGGAGCTGCCATCCATAGTCATTGCCTCAAACCTCGGGAATGTTGAAACTGGGCAAAACAACCTTTAGACTGGGCCTAAAGCAGCCCTGTAGCCTCAACAACTGTTTGCTAAGATAACAAGAAAGCAGACATTCTGACTGTGGACTTAAAATAAAAAACGTTCTTTAGAATTAGCATCACTATGTCAGCTTATCTGCACCTATAAAGAGTCCTCCCTTCAATTCATGTGTTCGTGCCCCTTCCCTTTCTCACTGGCACCCACCCCATGCCTCCACCTCCTAACCAGAACACTTTGGGGTCTCCTCCGGAATCAGTGGTTATGTAACAGCTATTCTTTTTTAACTCAAATAAGACTTTGTTGCCTCTCAATTTGGCCTTTTATTTCTATTACTATTTTTTAAATATTTTATTTATTTTTAGAGAGGGGAGGGGAAGGGAAGGAGAAAGAGGAAGAGAAACATCAGTGTGTCGTTGCCTATTGCTCACCCCCTACTGGGGGCCTGACTTTGCTTGAAACCCAGGCATGTGCCCTGACTCCAACCTGCAACCCTTTGGTTTGCAGGCAGGTGCTCAATCCATTGAGCTACACCAGCCAGGGCTGGCCTTTTGTTTTTAGATTAACACCTACTTAGCCTAGCACCCAACACATATTATATCTCTACACATTTTCTTCAGATTAAAGAAAAAAAGCAAAATATTGTAGTTTTTCACTCCCTGGGACTTGGGATCTGACAGTGGATAGTTTGGAATCGTGAATCAACTCCCTTTGCAGGACTGATCCCCCCAGATAAGGGCATTTTGGGGTCTTCCAGCAAGAGACATAGGGGCTGCTCCACTATCTAGACAAATGTAAAAGGGGTGGGGGCCCAGTTCCTTCCACGTGTCCCCACCCCAACTCTCAGGGGCCCACACTTTTCCGACCTGTCCTATGAGCCTTAACTGTCCTATGAGCCATCTGATGGTGCTGTGAACCTGAAGGACAATACAGTCCAGATCACTGTGGGATCAAACTCCGCATTTGATCTTCAGCTCTCAGTCTCGTGGCCCCAATAGACAAGGCATACCTAAAGCAGACACAAAACCCCCAATTTTCAGTCTTCCTTGAGCTGAAAATACAAACATCGGAGCTTGTCTTCCTCTTTTTTAAGCTCTCTAACTCTGTAGTCAGCTCACCGATTTGAAATCCTCGTGTGTTTCCTACTATTCTGTAGCAGCAGCCCCCTGGGCTGGCGCTTCCTCCCTGGGTCTGATCAGTGATGCTGCGGTGGCTGTATCGGCACTGCACGCTGTGGACTCCCACTCAGGCCCCTGGACATGGGTTCCACTTTCCTTGCCTTCAGCCTTTACTAGTCCCAAACTCTTCCTTATTTCTTCAAGGTGTGTTGCCTACAACTACTTTTGGTACTGATTTCTGCGCCCATCAGAGTGTTTAGTTGTAAGCAGCAGAAACCAACCCCAGAAAAGGAATTTGGCAAAAGTTTATTGGGGCTAGAAAACAAGGAGATGCTCAAAGACTAGTGGGGTCATGTCACTAGTCTTTGCATGGAAACTGGCTTAAAGGAGCCCTGACTCCAGACCACCCTCACCCAAAAGACCACGCTGTGGGCACCACTGTCCCATTCCCACCCCTTGAAGTCTGTCCGTTCCTGAACATGCAGCTTCCCAAAACCCTCACAAGGTCAGCAGTCTGTCTGCTCTGCTAAGGAAACCTGGGCCTGAGCAGCCCAGCACATAAATACTAGAGCAAACAAAAAAAAATTCAGCTTTATATTTTTATTTCAAATATTGAGGTGGTCTCATCATCCTTTGATATTTCCCTAAGAAGTATTAATAATTCCTACCCTGAAATCCTGTTGTCTGTTAAGAGTCTGACTGGGAGAAGGACACTTAGTGGGAGTACTAGCTATTAATTTGCAGTTTATTTTTAAAATGCCATCTCCATTGTCTCTGTGCTTTATTGGACATTCCCCAGTGGGTGGGGCTTTATGTACATGGTTCACTGCTAGAATCTTGGACAGTGCCTCGTACTGGGGTTCACTCAATAAATAATATAATGTGTGAATGAGTTGTTCCTATTTCTCAACTGAAATTGGAATAATCCTCCTTTAAATAAATAAAGGGGGGACTTCCACCAAGATGGAGGCATAGGTGGAGACGC